GGGGGGGGGGCGACTTACGGATATTAATCTTAAAATTGTGAAAGAAATCTTATGGGAATGCGTCAGGATAACAATCGTCTTCTCAATGAGAATATTGAAATATATCAGAGCGAAAATATGAATTTCTTCTCACGATTTTGATACGTCAATCCTCCGAAGTTTATGGAGAGACCGTAGATCAGGATGGAACCTGGGTAATGGATTGGTTCCTTATTATGATTGTCAGGGGTGATCAGTGTCTTCCAAAGAGTTCAGCATTCTCCTCAGTGTCCATGGATCTATACCCCTGTCGGCCAATCAATTCTTTGGTTAATTTAGAGGTAGTCTCGTGTTCACCGCGGTTATCGTATTACTCACCCGTCGTTGACGACTATCAAAGCCTTCATCAAGCAGTTCAGTCTCCCAGTCATCTTCTCCCTCTTCATCAGGATCAAAATTGTATAGAGGCATCAATCTATGACGTAGCTGCTCCAACTTTCTCTTTCGGGAGATTATAAGTACCTGGACATTAGATGTAACTTTGAGTATAATATACATTTGAGAATAATAGAAGTTGTAAGAATAATGCTTACTACAGCAGAAAGGATAACCACAAAGACCATCACCCCTAGTGGTACAAAGATGTATTCAATTCCCTCAGGAGGATCGAATTTGCCAAAAGGATTTTCTGTAGAAGTCGTTGTACATCGAGTTGTTTTTGTTGTGTTAATATGCACTTCTGTGGTAGATTGCGTAAATTCTAAAATGGTCTTCTTTATATCTGTTATGTTATTTATGAGTTTTGATACATTCCAAGAAGACTGTATGGTCTGATTAAGCTCGGAAGACACCGTAACATTCTCAGTAGAATTCAAAAACACACTGGTAGTGTCTGGTACAATTGTGGTCAGATTTAAGAATGTTGTAAAGTCAGAACTTGTACTAGTTTCATTAGACTCAGTCATCATCATGGTAAATTTATGGTAATCCTCACTTAATCATAATCTGTACACAAAGAAGAGTACGCGTTATAAACATACAATGAAATACAATAAAAAGCTTAGTTTGATTTAATGGATACAAATTGCATCAGTAATTTTGTTGTAACAAAATCAATTGACATGTACATCAAAGCAGTTAAAGGTTGCATAAATAGGGACAAAGATTATATAGTTAAAATAGTATATTGAGACTTTGTTCATTATATACCTTCTTGTGATTTATGAGGTAAATGCTATTTGACTTAGTCAATAAGAATGGATAACGGTCAAATAAATCGATCGTTTTCTCGCAAGCAAGGTAAGGGTAATTTGGGGATATAAACAGCTGTAAAAACGAATCGTCAAATTGACAGTTACTTGTCTTTATACCTTCAAATCGACGGAGGGGTGAATCTTTTAAGGTTAATCGTGGGTGTCCTTCACAAGAAAAATTACAAGCCGTTCATAATTCCGTGATCAGTCAACAGAGCAGTGGCTGAAAAGTTCCAGGAGTCGTAATATTTGTAATCGAGAAGGTAGATACGTAAGCCACTTGAGAATTTGAGAATTTCTTAGACACTTTGACACTTCTCGAAGAACAATTCGGAAAACGTGATTGTTCGAAGTACGTGGTGAATTAATATACTTTGTATGTTCTCTTATGTGCCATCAAGTGTGACAAGTATGAATCAATATGGATCTATTAAATTCCATAAAGAAGAACTGTGAGTATCGAATTTTTTGATAATAGACGTTGAAAAATAATATCCATCGAGTTCGTCCCGGTCGCCATTAGACAACTTTCCAAAGTGACAGGTGCCTAGAGCTTTTATAAGTAAAGGGTAAAATGCCCGTGAGATAAATTCGTCTCGGAACCGTTAAAGTATCCTTTACGAATGTGAAATAATTGACAGTAAAGACTGTTCAAGGTCAATACGCTTGTAATCGTTTTAAATAAACTATTAATTCTTCCGACGTATTTGTCCCTAGGGAAATTAACTGGAAAGATGGCTGTTATGTCTTTTCGTTTTCGGCTAATTTCGGTGAAACTCGTGAATCTCCGTATTGTAATTTTACCCCAGACGGAATTTATGGCGGCGCTGTAAAGTGTCGCATAGCGTCGCAAGGTAGCGCCTTGGTGGCAGTAGAAAAAAATGGTGATTATTTGGGTGTAGTCGGGCGAATTTCTGCTAAATAAACGTGAGTACCGGTCTCACGACCAATTACGAGTGCCGTTCCGTACAATAGGCATAAGCCTGTTAATCGGCCAGTATTCTTCAGGTCCCCATACGCAGGATAACTCAATGGGAATGATAACATTTAGTCGGATAGTACGAGCAATAGTGTGCCTACTGTCGTTCACGCATCTCCGCATGACAAGTAACCGCGGCCTTTACTGGACTATTTGTCAGTCGGAAAAGTCGCAATTGTCATTAAAATTTCATCGATAGCCGGCGTTGTTATTTAATTCCGTATGGCACAGCAACAAGATGCAAGACAGTCTGTAAAATACGCCTAGATGCGATATTTTTGGGATAGATGTCACATTGTCGTTACATACCTACGTCTTGCCGCGTTCTCTCCTCTTCCTTGATCACTTTGTGTGTGAGATGTACGCGTGTGATTCTTCTTACTTTGACGTAGTTAATACGTGTGTTATTGGCTATCTCCCTCTGTTTCTCTTTTTGCTTGGTCTGTCTCTCCTTTTTTTTCTTTCTCTTTCTCTTCCATTAACACTTTCTTGCCTTGTACTCTTTTACTCAAGTCTCTATCCTTCTCTATTGTGTAGTCATGTAAATATATGGATGATATATATATATATGTATCCATGTCATATATAGGTGATATATATTATAACAGATGTATGTCCTAAATGTACACTTACTTAACCAGAAAGTAACTTCTGCTTTGTTGCCTGGAATTACATCCTGACAATTACAAAAAGAATCATAGACTTGTATTATGACAATTGCTACCATATTTGTGAGATTTCATACCTTACACTGTTATCAATTTACATTGTCTGCAGTCTCAAGGACATAAACATATCTGAATGTCCAACAATAATATTTGCAATATTGGTCCAATTCTTGCATTTAGTTAAAGTATCTTTGTTTTTAAGAATTTCAGAAAAATACTTTGTTGGCCTATTCTACAGAATTGGGGCAACGACAAAAGTATTTCTTTTCTTTTTATGATGTATTCAGTTATCTCTGTAACAGAAATAACATGCTGTCAGAATTTTTGCATTAAGAGCAATGGTGCCTAGATAGCAAATTGTTCTATTAATTACATTTGGCTGTGTTCCATGCACAGAATTGACAGTGCATTGCTAAGAGGCTATTGTTATGTTGCATATGGTGAATAAAAAGACGCGTAGATGCGTGTACGAGCATACGTGGGCATGAGCCCGACTTGCCTAATTCGATTAATAAACTGCAACAGCACTAGAACCATTCTATTCCTTTTGGCATGGCTCCCTAGTTGCTTATATATATCTGTACGTCTTAATATTGCCCTTTCTTTTAACATTGATTTACCTGTTTATCAATACAGTTCATACATATTTCTTTCTGCTGTATACATAGTTCAAAATTATTCTTGATTCATCCATCCTTTTAAGAAGTGATTCATAAGATTATAGAAATTTCTATTTTACAGCAGAATGTTCATGAAGAAAATATAATGAGGATCAAAAGGAACTATCAAAAGTTGCAAGCAGAGATTCAATCGTACTCCAGCTTTTAGACTACTGATACAACGCCTATCTAGATTTTTAAAGGAAAACTAAAATCATAGGAGTGTAAGGAGAGAGAGAAAGAAAGAGTACACACAAAGAAGAGGAAGTAGTGTAAACTGAAAGAAGGGACAAAAATTAGTTCAAAGGTTTGATCGTGACATCCTAAGTACAGCCAAAGGATAAGAGAAAGCATAGACTTGAAGCAACAATTGAATAAGATTATGTTTCTAAGAGGATTTCATCGGTGTCATTTGATTCTTAAAATAGAAATTTTATTAAAATTCTGAAAGAGGTAACTATTATGAAAAACATTCGCCACGTCTTAAAATAGAAAAGAAAAGGTTGAATCGACGTTTCATTGTCTTCCGTTTCAGAATTCTTTGGCTGGGTGATATACAGAGCTAGTGCTCCACCTCATATGGATTGTTTGATGGTAACAATTGTCTGGCGAAAGGAACGTAGTAGCCTCTCGTCGAGCTTGGCAGAAGGTAGTTCCCTGTTGAATTAAATTCTCATCGGAGTCATCGCCAGGATATCCGTGGTGACGAATAGATCGTTACCTGGGTTGAATTCTTGTGAATTTTGTTCGGGACAAAATTGCACGGAGGTCATTGACGGGGCTCAGGTTTTAGGGAAAGGTAGCGTGCAATGCCGAGATGCTGCAATGAGAGCAAAGCAGCGAGTCCGGTGAACAGCAACAGCGACAGGAACAACTCCGAGGACATAACACTCTCGCAGACCCACGCCTTCTCCATTGGCAGTCAGTCCGAGCCAGACGAGGATCCACTAGTGCCCGAGCGCTCCCATAGAAGATTACGTTGTGACCTGAGCCCCGTCCCTACGAGTACAACAACAGGATTGAGCCTCAAGCTACTCAGCATTAAGGTACATCTTATTCTTTATGTTACCTTTCTGCATGTACTGTAGAAACATCTATTACTAATATATAACGAAAACCGACGTCTCTGGTCTTACTAGGGTGATCGTGCTAGCAGGCAGCAGCAGTTGAGCTCAGGAATAGGCAGTGGGCACAGAGACAGAGAAAGAGAGGCGAAAAAGAAAGCAGCTATAGGAAACGCGGTGCGCGGTCTCTTCCCATCTAGCCACAGCAGGCAGGACAGGTATAACGATGTCTGTATCAAATCCATGCTTCTTACATTGTCATTTTGTCCGTTCTTTTTTAACGCTATACCTATTGCTTCATTTAATACCACATAACCTATCTGCTGAAGTAGCATGTTTAACTAAACAGTAACATGTCCATGTTAGTAAATTTAGCGCGTTGGAAAAAAAATTGGATAAAATAAGAAATTATTTATTTCTGAAGCATTGTCGCTTATTTTTTGTTTTCTTTCTTTTCTTCAGTCGCATTTCTCAATCCTGGAATTAATGCGGTTGAGTAATACCCAGATGTAAATTCGTGCAGTCTGCGAGGACAAGTATCATTCGCGAGCTTTCGGGCATGCTTTTGCACCATTCATTACGCCATGCACTTACCTCTAAGGATTTGAATAGATGGTGTTGTGTGTCGGATAGTCGACTGACGTTTCTTTAAAAGTTATAGAGGAGTAAGTCCTCGATCGACAAGAGTAACCGTGGGTATTTTCAGTATATTATACATGCTTACATAAGTAGTTTAAGGATTCCTTTGGTTGAATTTAATCACAGCGAACTAAAATAACAATGAGTAAGAGGATAAGCTTTGAACGATGTTCCAAAAGGCGGAACACCCGAAAGCACGAAAATCCGTCAACGTACGTACTACATTTTGAAGGATCTTCCTTTTCAGGTATGAGACGAGCAGGCAGCGTTCGCCAGGAGGCACTGGCGGTGTTGGATTGTCCGGACTTTGTCCGAAGCTGGTGGCCGGTGGAGGATCCGGAGGTGGCGGAAGTCAGTCCGGTATTGGTCTTGGTGTGGGCCACCTAGCAAATCAGGAAGGAGGACCTCTTGGAGTGGTGACCACCCAGAGGACTCATAGTCATACGCACAGTCATCGCCGTCAGCGAAAACTCTCGGTGGTATCTCAAGCAGGTAGCAGTGCTAACAGCTCGCTAGATCGCAAGGTGAGAAATCATTGGGAGAATATATTGAATGAAAGTGAGATGATATCAGGACAGGAATTATCAGAGTGATTGTAAAAAGCTTACGTCACGCCTTCCGGCTAATTGATAATATTAATAATAATAAATTTACAAAGTCTCGATTGACCGTTATCAATTTTTTGAGAATCAGATTCAGTGCTGGTGATGCTTGGACTTGGTTGCATCTCTGAGTCATAACTTGGCTTTTCTTGTCATTAGAATTTCTGCAAGCTATCCTCATGTGTGGCTCAGCTTATCTTTATATTTGTTATTTCGTTGTGAAAGATTTCTCGGCATTGTTAGGTTTTAGCTTATCGGACACAAGCATGTGGTTCAGTGGGACTTGTTCTTTTGGAAGTGATGATGGGGTACTGGTTTAGGTTTAATGATTTTTATTGTTCAGTGGAAGCTCTTTGTCATGGTCACATCCTCTGGGACTAGTTTGTTTATTTTTAACAATGAAATATCCTCTTGCCTGAATCGTTATATTGAGTCAATTGTAGTTGGTAACCGTTCTGTTGGGAGGTTAACTTATTTTGTTGGTATTGCAATTTTGTTTTTCAATTCTCTTCTAGATTTTGCCTAGTGTCAATCGTTCCTCGGTGGCTATTTGCAAGAGGCAGACACGTACGAGTCGCGCGGAGCATAACGCGGACTCTGTATCTATAACCAGTAACGGTACCACGGGTAGTTCACCATCGCCGAAGAAGAAGACGCCATCCGCACTGCATATCTTGGAGAAAACGTCCTCCCAGGGTCTCCATCTTACCTCACTAGAACAGGAGAATGATAGAAGCTTCAGCGACGCTGAGGAAGCTATCAGTGCCACGGAGAATCTCTCCAGGATACCAGGTTTGTAGGAATAAAAATAAGGAATATTGGAGAGAAGGATTCTCTATGTGTTGAATTATTCTAGTCATTAATGCTTGATAATTTTATTATTTAGGTACGAGTTCAACGCCTTCCACGCCCACCGGTAAAGTGAAACCTAGGAAAATAAGTAAAGAGGAAAAGACTGCGGATCTAAAAATGCTGTCAGAAGCAAGCGATTCGAGCAAGCTTGAAAAATTCCCTGAGGAACAAGATAAGAAGTCTCAGGAGTCTTCCGAGTCTAAGATCGTGAGTGGACGTAAGGGATCGCCCGCAGAGGAAAAAAGTGCTAAGAGAAAGACCGAAGGAAGTACGGATAAGACGGTTACTAGGAAAGAATCGAAGGATTCCGATGCGGATAAAAAGGATACGTCGCCACTGTCGAAGCAGACCACAGCGGAGTCGACGGACACTAAGAAGATGGAGCCCGTCGAATCTAGGCACGGAAAAGTCAAGAACTCTAGATTTGTCACATCAAAAGTCTCTGAGGATGCTGTAGACACCACGGATGTTAAAGATGCCGAGGAAGGAGAGCCTAAGGATACCGGGGAGCAAGTCACCATCTATGACGAGGACGACAACGGGACCAGTATCAGTGACATTGTTGCAACACAGGCTCTACACGAATCACTGAGCAAGATGGGCAAAGTACCGCCATTAGATAGCGAGATCAAGGCTGCTGAAGGAGAGTTAAAGTCGGAGTCGAATGATGCCAAAAAAATGGTGGATGGTCAGGAAGTTGTCCAGGATGCAGGACAGGAAGCTGGTCAGGAAGCTGGTCAGGAAGACGTCGTGGAAGGTTTTATAGGACCTCTTTTAGATGAGAACTTTAAAGCCGATGAAAAGCTTACCCAGAATACAATGGCTATGGAAGAGGTGCGGAATCTCCTAATGAAAGTAAAGGTACAGGCGGTTGAGGAAGATGACGACGAAGAGAAGGCTATCGGAATCTCAACCGATGGGCGGTTTTTAAAATTCGAAGAAGAGATCGGTCGAGGTAGCTTCAAAACTGTCTACAGAGGTCTCGATACTCAGACTGGTGTCGCGGTTGCCTGGTGCGAACTGCAGGAAAAGAAACTTAACAAAACCGAGAGATTGCGTTTCCGTGAGGAGGCAGAGATGCTTAAGGGGCTTCAGCATCCGAACATCGTACGCTTTTACGATTACTGGGAGGTGACGTTAACCAAAAGAAAATATATAGTTTTGGTGACGGAATTGATGACATCGGGAACTTTGAAGACTTACTTGAGGAGATTCAAGAAGATAAATCCCAAAGTTGTCAAGTCCTGGTGCAGACAAATCCTCAAAGGCCTGAGTTTCTTACATTCAAGAGCACCGCCAATCATCCATCGTGATCTTAAATGCGACAATATATTTATCACCGGCACTACTGGTAGTGTTAAGATTGGCGATTTGGGTTTAGCCACCTTGAAGAATCGTAGCTTTGCCAAGAGTGTAATCGGCACCCCGGAGTTTATGGCTCCCGAGATGTACGAGGAACATTATGACGAGTCTGTAGACGTTTACGCCTTCGGGATGTGTATGTTAGAGATGGCAACTAGTGAATATCCTTATTCAGAGTGTACCGGACCAGCTCAAATCTACAAGCGTGTGGTGTCGGGTGTGAAACCGCAAAGCTACGACAAAGTGGAAAATCCAGAGGTTCGTGACATTATCGAGATGTGTATTCGACTGAAAAAGGAAGAACGTCCACTGGTGAAGGACCTTCTGAATCACGAATTCTTCGCAGACGACGTAGGACTCAAGCTGGAAATGGTGTCGCGTGATTCCGCAGTAGCAGAAGCTGAACTTTCTCGCGTGGAGTTTCGCCTTCGTGTTTTGGATCCTAAGAAACGCAGCAACAAACACAAGGAGAACGAGGCCATCCAGTTTGACTTTGATATCCAAGGTGACAATGCTGAGGAGGTTGCCTCAGAAATGGCGAAGTCGAGTCTTATCCTAGAGGAAGATGCTAAAGCCGTGGCGAAGATGCTCAAGTCCCAAATAGCAGGTCTACTGCGCGAGCGCGAGGAAAGAAAAGCCAAGGAGGAAAAGGAGAGGCTGGATCGTGAAGCTGAAACTATTACGACGGATAATCTTCTTCAGCAGCAGCAACAACAGCAGCAGCAGCTACAACAACAACAACAACTGTTGCTGCAGCAGATGCAAATTCAGCAGCAACAAATACAGTCCATGCAGATGCAAAATCAGGTGCAAATGCAATCCACAATGCCAATGGGCCAGATGCAATCTGGGCAAAATCTTCAGCCACAGCAGGTGCAGCTCGTACAGCAGCAACCATTGATTCAGCAGCAGACATCTGTGGTGCAACCACAGCAGGCTCAACAGCTGCAACAGATAGCCACTGGCCAGCAACAAGTGCAATATCAACAGCAGCAGTACCAGCAACAGCTGCAGCATGTGCAGCAGCAACAATATCAGCAGCAACAGTACGCGCAACAAGTGTCGCAAAGTCTCAGTGGTGGTTCTTCGCAATGTTCGACGCCTCAGACAATTCAAGGCCAGCCACAGTTTCCGCAGGTGAATCAGCAGATACAGCAACAACAACATATGCAACAGCAGCAACAGCAGATTCATCAGCAGCAGCAGCAGCAGTATATTCAACTGAATCAAATGAACGTGCCTCAGCAAATGGCGCATCAGCCGCAGATACAGCAGCAGATGCAGTCCCAGCAACAACAGCAACAGCTTCAATCACAGATTCAAATTGCTCCTCAACAACAACAGCAGCAGCAACAAGCACAGCCACATATTCATCAGCAGATGCCTCCGAATCAGCAACAAATTCAGTATTCACAGCCGCAACTGCAGATGCAACACATACAGCAGATTCATCAGCATCCTGTGGGCTCGCCACCCGTCCAGAATCAGCAATATTATCAGCAAAGCGCAGCTACAACAGCCGTCCCTTATTCGGGTGGTCAGATATATCAGCAGAATATTCCACAGCAAATGTTTCATCCAGCTTACTCGGCGTCCTCAACGGGAACTGGTCATGTAGAAATTCTACCTGGTGCTCAGACCACCCAGCAAGTTTATTCTCATTCAAATCATCCTGGTGGCAGTGCTGTGGCTACTTCCCAGGGTTACGTCCAATCCGTAGGTCAGGTTCAGGCCTCCGGAGCACCCGCAGTCAACGTTCAAAGTTCCTCGACGGTTGCCCATGTGCAAAATGTACAGCAGCAACAGTCACCCGTTCCAAATATACAAAGCGCACCTGCGCTACTCTCGGGACAACAGCAATCGCAACAGCAACAACAACAACAACAACAACAACAAAACATTATGGTGCAACTGCAGTACTCTCAAAGTGCTAACGTTATGTCAAACACAGTACCAATTACTCAAAACGTACCCATAGCGTCTCACTCCTCTGGAAATATTCAGCAACAGGCAAATATGCAACAGACTGGAAACATTCAGCAACAGCAGATGCAACAACATATTCTGGCTGGCACGGATTCCGTTCAAGATAAGAGCAATCTTGTCAAACAAGATACCATGGATTCTGTTCAATCTCTACCTGCCGATAATTCTGCTCAGCCCCAGGACGCGTCTACCACTGGGTTTGCTCCAGTGCAAAATACTAGTTCCAACGAAGGGTAAGTTTTCTCTCTAAACTTCATTAGATATTGGATGTCACGTGATCTGAAATCGCTTATTGATGAACATCTGTGTGTTTAGGATCACGCCAGACAATTCTGAGAGCATCCCAGTGCCAGAGCGGAACCGCGTGAAGCGCTCCGGTACAAAGAGAAAAAAACCTGGAATAAAGTTGACTGTCTTATCAGTAAGCAGTGGCGAAGGTCAGTCAATGACCGTAGAATGTCAGTTAGACACCAGCAAGCAGAAGACCGTAACATTCAAATTCGACAGGGACGACATGGTACCCGTGGACATCGCAAACAACCTGGTGAGTAACCTTAGAATAAGAATACGTATAAGAACTAATGATGATTAGTGGAATCTTTAAGTCGCTCTTATAAAATTGTATCCAGGTCGCTGAGAACTTGTTACCCCAGTCCCAGTGCGACACCTTCATTGAGCTCATTGAAGACATCGTGAAGCAATTACGACTCGATCCCACCAGAAGTTTACCTCTCGTAGCTCACGGTCCACCTGATCAATCAGCAGGTGGCAGTCCGGTTACCAGTCGTAGGCCTAGGGATCGTGATCATAGTCTCGACACCTCCAAGGTAAATATATATTAATAATAAGTCTAAGAGGTCCTCGCAGAAGATGTTCGAGTCTGACCATATTGCATACTCCTGTCTGTAACATTTGAATGAAAATATGCAAGGTCGCAGAAACGCATTGATCTTTAATGTAGTGTATAAGCTTTTAATAATGTTAATGAACCAATTTAGAGTGCTCGAAAAACAAAAAATTACGAATCTATAATAGTCTGTCTGTGGTTTTGGACGCAGCAGGTGAGACATGGCTCGCTAACTCGTCAAAGCAGCCACCGATCATCGTACAAAGCCCACCGTAGGCACCGTTCGGTGAGTGAAAATTGTCTGCGCAGATCCAAATTCTCGATGTTCGTGTCCCAGTTTCTCGTTATTATTTTTTTTGATATATATACTTCCTCTTTGGATTACCATTCTCGCGGAAGATGAGAGATGAGAGATCTTGGCCGGTAAGACGAGAATTATGAGATTCGTCAACAACAAGAAACAAGAAATTAATAATACTGTGCATCTGTTATATTGTAGCATACATATGTTTTATTTTTATTTTCTTTCCACTTTACATATTTTATTAAGGATTGTGGTGTTTTCGTTATTGTTAAGTCCTAGTTGGATACTTGGGATTTTAATGTTACCTATTATACATTGTACAGTGTGTTCTATGAGATTTTCAGCAGTAGTCACGATTGGATCATCAATTAGTGTTATTTTCAGAGAGATGAGACATCGAACACCTCTACGCCTACGAAGTTACTTCCCATCGATCAGATATTGTCGCATATCACTACGGCGCCTTTGGATAAGCAGCATAGTGTACAGACACCGGATAGTCAGACTGGACCCGACAGCATCTCTTCGGAAGCATCTAGAAGATCTTCTACGTCGACCCAGAATACGGATACTTTGACTCCTACTAACATACCGAACGATCTTACGGATACTCAGGAGAGCACGATATCGGGGACGTCGACGGAGACCATCCTTGAGCCGTATTACCCGAATGCTGAGGATGTGCTTACATTGCAATTCCAGGAGAAGGCTAAGCAGCCTAGTCAGACTGCATCCCAGAATAAACAACAGGAACCTATTGGTGATACATCGAAAACGGACGTAGTTAAGGCCAGTACATTGCAAGAGAAGCAGGATGCCCCTGACGAAGATGCGAGTAAAGGAGCTGTCCCGGATGTACCATCTTCGGAGGTTCCTAAATTGACGGCGCCGCCAGCCAGAAAGATCTCTAGATTTCTAGTCAGTCCCGTAGTGGAACAAAAGCCAGTTTCTGAATTGGAGCCTAAGGAAAATCAGTCAGCAACGTCGCACGTACAACCACTTCATGGTAACGATATTCCCAAAGTAACTGAAGTTGAAACGAAGGTGCCGGATGTTTCTACCTCAAATTACGAAATTCCTGTGGATGCTCTTGAGATACCACCAGGAGATGTTACCCAGCAGGTGCAGCAGTTTCATTCTCAGCAACAGAATGTGCAGAATGTACAGCAGATGCAGAATGTTCAGCACATTCCACACACTGTCAGTTCCGTGCAACAGAACTCTTGTCCTGTGCAGATGCAGCATCAACTTATTCATCAGGGTACCGCAGCAGTTCATCAAGGGCAGATGCAACAGAACGTGGTGATGCAACAAAATTTAATACAGCAACAGGATATACAAACTGCTCAGCACATGCCGGGCATTCCTATTGGCCAAACCCAGTATCAAGAGCAACCTATAATCCAGCAACACGTTCAACTGCAATCAACACAAGTACCCATGCAGCAGCAGCAGCAGCAGCAGCAAGTACAGCAACAGGTACTTATACAACAGCCACAAACTCAGCAACAACTACCGGTACAACAGCAGATGCAACAGCAACATACTATTCAACAACCCTTTGTGCAGCAACAACAACAATACGTCGTGCTATCCGGTCACGTTCAACAATTACAACCGCAGCCAAATATCGATGAAAGAAATCGTCGTGTCTCTAATATATCCACTGTGTCAAATGTATCAGCAGATTCTCAGTTGTCAGAATCATCGAATATAGCAGACGACCGAAGAATGTCAAGTGCTGTTACGAATGCAGCCATGCAACAACACGTGCAAAACCTGCAGAACTTACAAAACGTGCAACAGATGGGCCAAGATACAGCTACGGTGTTCTCACAAGGACCAATGGAAACTGCGCAAGTTAATGTTATCCATCACAATGTTGTCCATCCGACACAAACTGGTGTTTCGCTCTCTGTGCCTACACCGACACCTGTACCTGTACCAATACCAGTACCAGTACCTCTAATAAGTAACGTGGATGTTACACCAAAGGTTCCCGTGAAGACCAAAGAGGTCTCCTCGACCTTACCAGATCTTGCTCAAAACCTCGCGAACATTCTTTCAAATCCAAAAACCAAATCAGTAACTCCGCATTCTGTAACGAGTCACGAGCCGAGTTCAAACTTGAACCAAACTCCAAGTGTGGTTGAACATAAATCTGTGGTTCACGCTGAGCAATTCTTTCCACCGGTAACAAATGTGGAACAATATTTCCAACCGATACAACCGGAATTGCCACTGGTGCAGATTCAACAACCCCACATGCAGCAGAGCTTCCAGATGCAGCAGCCTATGAACCAGGGCATACAGGTGCAACAAGGTTTTCCTGCACAGATACATCAGCACCAGTTTCAACAACCTCAACCGACTATGCAGCAACCACCTGGCATACTGATGCAACAAGTCCAACAGATTGAGACTCCCCAGCAGATTGTGCAACAACCTATTGGACTCCCGCCACAAGTTCCCATTCAAGGTCAATGGAACGTCGCGCAGTATCCAGCTGGCTCTATGGGACAAAATGTACAACAATCACTTCCAGTACAACACGTGCAACCTGTGCACAGTCAGCCACAAATACAGCACGTGGCGCCTATGCAACATCAGCAACAACCTGAACATATTGATGTTCCTATAGATTCACATCATCTGCAGCCGAAACCTCCTGAACAACAGCAACAGCAACAACATTTAACAGCCACCGACGTAGATGGCAATTTTGAGTACAGCAATGGCAGCAGGTATATTATACATTTTTTATTTTATTCTTATTCTAATGTCAACGTATAAATTATACTTATTGTTGTATTGCTTTTGACGTTGTTTAGACGAACAAGTGCCGATTGCCAATTTCTGTCGTCGGAAAACGAGAATTCGAGCCATGATGTCACTCCAGAACATACAATTGTTGAGTCTGTGGATCCAGTGTTGTTTGCCCAACAACAAATTTCCCAACAACAACTACAGCAACAGCATCGCAAGCTTAGTCAGCAAAATTCATTGGACAAGATCACCGACAGCAATGCTAACGCGCAAGGACCACAGACTATTGCTGATTTACAACAGAAACTGGTTCAACTGACCAGTCAGCCATCGGAATCATTGACTGTGGGTACACCGCCAATGAGTCATCCTGCTACTCCTCATAGTCATCAAGCTGCTGGAAGTTATGACGTTTATATGCATTCACTGCAGCAAAAGCTGGTGAACATCGGAATGCCTGTAGTGGCTTCTCAGACCATGGTAAATATTGCTGTTCTCATTATCTGAAGTTGTTGCTGCGTTGAACACAATTTAACTTGCTATCATTTCAGGGTCCATTGTCTCCTCAAACAACAATGCACTCCTCGTCATCAGGACTTCCTGAACCTAGCGTTAGTACCGTTACTGAAGGAGTCGTGCTGGGTCAAGAACAGCAACCCTCGCAATGTTCAACAAGTCAACCGGTAGGTGATAAGATGATGGACAAAAGATTAAAACTAGATGAAACACTTTTGCTCGATAAATAGCAGAATGTTCGATCATATCTAAAATCCTTATCAATGCACGGTATAATATAGTTTTATCGGGGACATCTCTGGCAGATATTTTTCTTCAATAAAATCATTGAGTTATCTTAGTCACGTCTTCTATCAAGATTAGTTAGATAATAAATCGTAATCCTAGTATTAACCATTTGAGAATCTTCTTTAGGGCACTGAGTACGCTATTGACAGTCCCATACCTGGAGCGGGACCAAGCGGATTTGATATGATGAGTCCTAGCAAGGAGAGTGTAAAGATGCGACCGCAACGACCAGGATCTCGTCTGCAAGAATTGGAACAAGAACTCGCAAAGATTCATCAGAGAGGCCCGATCCTCTCATCGTCTTCCCCACAACCCCTTACTCCAGTTCCGACAGTTCAGCCACTGCAACCCCAGGTTCAAGTTTCTTCTCAGAATTTATTGGCTACTGTACACCCAGTTTCGACCGTTCCTATTGCCACTATTTCACCAAGTATCATAACTTCCACTTCCGGTACCAATACTCCCGTTCAGTTCGAAACTCAGGATAACGTTGAGGTACGTATTCGTTTCCATGTAATATCTAGAATTCGATGGAAAAATAATTAATAATTTGTATTAATTACAGAGAGTTGTTCCGGAACAACTTGTTAGAAAAATTTCACGATTTATGGTATCGAAAGTTGCCGGTCCTCCAACTACCGAGACACCGGGACCAACTCATTTAGATTCTAAGGCTCAGCAGTCGTCTTGTTTGGTACAGGAAGATCAGAAAAATATCCAAGGTAAACAAATGAATGATAATCAAAATGTATATTATTCATTTGTGTATTTACTCTTGTATTTTCGATTACTTTCTTAGGGACTGCTGCGCCAATGCAGGTAATTCACAGCCGGGAAAGTTCCGTACCACCGCAGGCAGGTTCAAACATTTCAGCCGGTGGAAGTTGTGCAGAGGTAAGTCTTCGAATGCTCAGGATATTCTCTACCTTTAGAGGACCCTGGAATTTGTATGGGCTAGATGTTTATTAACAAACCGTTGTGTTGTGCGTTTTTTTGTAAGTTACTAATTCTCGAGTCCCCTTTGACACCCTGGTTACACCCAGTATACATTCTGTCCCACTTTTCTTTTGCCCACCCTTTGTTTTACCTTTGCATGGTAGACAGAAAAGTGAGAGCGATACGTGTACTCTCTACTACCCCGTTGGAGATTCCCCAGGTAGACGATCATCCGAAAATCCTACGTTTTCTACAGTTATTATTTTTTTTAAACATTGCTTGCAACCAGTGCTAAGTAGGCAGCGCACTGAACGTTACAAGTTGTATAGATGTTACAGATAGATATGATACGTTACTTACGGTCAGACCAAGCCTCGAAGCCAGTTTGCAATATTTAATATATTTTTAATAAACAGACAGAATAGCATTTTAAAGTCAAAACGATACGAGTTTGCAATAAATCAAAATCAGCTCCACGGAATCTCATATGATGGGTAGATCCTTGACCTATCTCTTTTTGGGGGATTTTTTTGTTTGGGGGGCTAGAATGTCTCCTATATCTGGACAACTGGTTGCCAGGAGAGCCTCACTTCCTCATCCCAGTCATCGTATACACACTCAATAAAAACCATGCCGTCCTCGGCTCATCAACATCAACAGCAGCATCTACACACGCATCATCCTCAACATCGCAAGAACTTCTCCACTCAGACGTTAGATCGTCAAATCCAGAATATCTTCCTCTTGAAACCACCTCCTGGATCGAAGCAGCACGCCATACCTAGAGACAACCTTCTACGGGCAAGACGTGAGGGAGTAGGCCAGGAAGTGGTGGAGCGGTCCCAGGAGGATTCTAGTAATCAGGTAGCAACCAGGAGAGTCAACGAGAATCAGGATGGAAATGCTTGGCAGCATGTGGCTGGAATAGCACGAGCCAAGATGCACGAATCCAGAATACCTTTTGAAAGTCCTTCAGGACATCTCTGCGCTTCTTCGATGCCAGTTGCTAGTTCTTCCAATACGTCACCAAATCCTTTGATGAGGTACTCTAAGGGTCAGGATGGATCTAACATTTTGAATGGAGCTTTACAAACTGCTTCGCAAGATCAAGGGAATGGGTTATTAAGGGATCAGATTCTTGATGGACAATCTCTACTTGTACCCGGTGCTGTTGCTACTAATGCCTTCTTTGGGAATGTACCTGGTACGATGAACTCTACGAACGTTCAGCAGTGTCCAGGACTTGTCAGTCCTGGTGTTCAGGCAGCTGTTAATGCCCCTGGGCCCAACTATAATACTACTGGCAATGTTAATCAGCGGTCGAGACGTCGTCTAGGAACATATACGCTGCCTGTTTTTCAATTTGACAGTTATCCTCTTTTGGGAACTAATCAGAAATCTGAATTGATTGCTGATTCAACTTCAAGTGCTCAAAAAGACAGAGACCCTGCATTTTTTAATATCCAAATTGGATTGACTACGTCTAAAAAGATTGACAGTCCGTCAATAGTACTGAACGAGGGTTTCGATGATCAGGCACGAAGATCCTCTGCATTTTCTACTATAAAAAGTGACGCGAGCCATCCTAAAAACCCACCGTGTTATCCTGGTTCAAGTACGGGAGACTTGGATGAGAAGAAAGATGATAAACAATTATTTACGTTTGGATCCTTCAATTGGGCTGACATACAAGTTCCAAAATTATTCGAATTCAATTCTAAAACTTTTTCGAAAACATTACCAAGTTCTTCTTTGCAAAACAGAAGACTTGCCAGTTCAACAATAGATATCAGATGTTCCTCGCCAGTAAATCGAGACAAGAAACACTCATTCAACTTGCAATGGCCACTTCTGTCGGATTCCAAAGAAAAATCAAAATCCCAGTGGGACCTTAGAACGTGGGACTTTTCAACATTGAAAAAAGAATCTGGTGAACATGAGAAAAAATTTAATTTCAGTTCATCCAGGAAAATATCTAGTTCCATGCAAGATCTACGAGGCTTTACTAGCACCGCAAAGCAATCTGATATTTTTTCCTCCACCACAGAACTTTCAAAGTACCTCAGTAACTCCTTGAACAATCACACGAGGCTAGGCTCACGAAATTTCATCGATCCCGATTATGGAAAACTACGTAGACATCATCCTTTGGTAAGATCCATGACTGATTTGAGAGATAGAGGAAAAAATACAAAACATTCAAGCCATAAAAATTACAACCAATGGATGTCCTTGAATAATATGGATACGTCAAAAAAAGATAATGTAAAGGTGCGTCCAGTATCCACCAGTCAGAGATCAAGAGTCGGCCCTATAAGGGCACTAAGAAAAATCAACAGAGACGTAAATCCTGGTGAAATAGTCAATTTTGCTGAAAGCTTACCTAAACGTAGGAAACATTCTATGAGTCATGTACCAGACTATTTCCGATATAGAGAACGTCCAATAAAGAGAAGCAACAGCTATAAGCTACGAGAGGATGAGCACTATTTGACTGTTCTTCAGACACTACGTGAGATATATGATCACGATGTCCAGGATGATTTTCAGGATCAGTTAGAACTGGACCTACATTGTCAGAGTCCCGGCTGTAAAAACAGATTCACGGGATTTTCAAGTTTGGTACCAATGGATAACGGAAGCAGAGGAAAAACAAGTAATTCAGGAAGTCGAAGTCGTCCAACCTGGATAGGTTTCTCTCCAGAGCCAAGACATCTGCTCAAGATAAAGCTAAAGCAAGCTCGTAGTCTAACCAATCTAGTACCTGGCCACGGTCCCGTCAAGGTCTGCGAGAACCGCGTCAACAGTCCCATCACTGACCTGAGCACTGACCCGTTTACCAGAAGATCAGACACCGGAAGGGCCTATCACACTGTGCACGCCGGCATGAAGATGCAGGACTTTAGCAGCTGGAGGAGATCCAAGAAACCCAGTGAATCCGACACTACCGGTACGGATACAGACGCGGAGAGTAGCAACAGCGACAAGAGAAGCGTCATTGAGGATAAATATCTGGAACAGGAGGATTTTTATTACTGGCCAGGATACAAAGACAGGACACGACTGTACAAAGGACTGGAATCAATGAAGTATCAGGATGAGTACAAGGATATACTTGAGGAACCTCCTTCGAAAAGTATTACCAGCCACAACCTTCCCAAATTCTTATCCAGGCTGAAGGCGGACGAGTCCTTGCGACAGGGTTTGGCGTCAATGCCATATCCTAACAGTCCTATCAATAACGAGCAGTCTTCTCAGCCGCTTCTGAACAACCCGCTGCATAGGGTAAGGGAAGAGCACGCTCTAGGAGAAGAGACAGCATTTACTTCGGATGCCATATTTATGATAAAGAGGAATAGTAAACTGAAGCTTTCATTTGTCAAGTGTCATCCTCCATTGATGATTCTACTCCAGTGTATCCACGTCTTCGCGATTACACAACCTTTATCCTAGATATGGATCTCGAATAAGGTCGCTGGTGGAGGCGATAGAACGATTCTCGAAGATGACGTTCAAGGGATCACGTATTATCAAGATCCTGGTTGAGGTTTTACATAATGGGAGTAGGCTCTATACCATCTGGCTTCTTTGCTGGCTTTTGAATACTTATTGTATTCAGCTTGTACTGGAGGACTGCTCTTATGTCGATGCCCTCACAAGATGTACTACGAGTTTCATCTTCCTTTCTCTATTATTAATCACTTCTTTCATAATTACTTATTTACTCATTCATCATTAATGCAGTGTCCGTTACAAAATCAGATCAAACTCTCAGGAATTATTTTAAGTCATGAACAAAAGTTTCTGTGCCTGAATCGTCATTACTTAAATGAATTTTGTGATGTATTGTCTTATTACCATTATTGGAATTATGAAATCATTTATGTACTATAATATCTATATGATCAAAGATCATGGAGGATTCCCTTTTTTTTTACTTAACATGGCTGCCTACCTGCTGGGTTAATTCTTGAATGCCTTAACTACTTTTTTTTAGTTAATTCCCATTCCTTATCCCAGCCTGTAGATCTCCTGGGCGTTTCGTAGCTTGCACGAGCTTTTATTAGTTCTCATGTGTATGATCAGGAATGTTATTCTGTCGCTGATTCATTAGATCAATTAATTGAAATTCAATGATGCATGCGTTACAGTCTGATAAGGAAGAGAAACTCCAAGTATTGACGCCAAGCGAGGAATATCAGTTGTTAATAAAGAGGTGAGTCTATTTGTATTGATTGCTATATTACCTATAAGAAATTAATTAGAAATGTTCTTCAAATACTCACACTCTTTACTGTTTAATACAGGCAAACGATGGAGCTGGAGTCCCTTCAAAGAAGACATAGGGAAGAGCTGGAACGTTTTCAGCAACATCAGCTGCAGTTGTTGATTCAGCAACAACAGCAAGCCAGTGCGCTTCATCAGCATCAACATCATCCTCTGCTTTATCATACAGTGGCTGCCAATGTGGCCGGTAGGTTATTAATTCTGTAATTAATTAGAAAAGCTATCATTAATTTTCTAATCTGTTGGTGATTGTACAGGACAACCAAGAGTACCAGGTATGGAGGAGTATCTGATGTTTAGTACAGCACCCCAAACACCGATGCAAAAGGTGCCTAGCCAGTCTCCGGATACAGACGAAACTCTTCGCCTGGCGACACAAAAATTAAAGCAAGCACCGCAACAACAGCAGACAGGAATACCGCACGCATACGTGATACCCATTCCCGTGGTGCCCCCGGAGAACGTGCAGCACGTTCCTCCGTATCCTAGTGATTCGGTAGAACCTGTGGGTTCAACGAACGGTCCTACAATTCTTAACCCCACACAGTACCAGTTCGCCCCGATAATACCGGACGGTACTAACATAGGTACCTCTGGTGCTCCAGCAACCGCTAGCCTTGCAGCACCGACACCAATCTCTAACCCCACTGCGAACGGCGCCTATCTTCACTATCATCAGGCTCCCACCCTTGCCAATTTCCAGACCTTCGGATACACGCCCCACGGCGGCTTTTTTTTACCCGCTGGATATAGACTCATCTACGCACCCACGAGTACGCCTCAAAGTCAACCAGCGACTCCGGCCACGCCACACCTGGGTAATTCTCACGACGGCACTCCGCCCGGCGAACCTCAAGCGCCCCAGGAACATCCTTCTACCTCGCAGAACGAGCAGTAAAATACACTTCTCGGATAAGCTCGTCTACGAGTATCTTCTGTAATTATCCTGAATGAAAGGGAATCACGTAGGTATATCATCCGTCATCAATCATCATCAGCATCATTATTGTCGTTGTCGTCGTCGTCGTCGTCGTCGTCGTCGACCTGGATGCGTCTCGAGAGTCCTTTCGAATTAGTCACTGTTTATATGCTTTAATTGTAATGTCTTATTAGCGGTTCTATCGCACGCGTGCGCAAGTTTGCCTTTTATTATTGTTGTACGGCAATGGCCAGATCCTCTTCGACGGCTGACCTCTATTCACCTGCGATCGGGCCTCGATGATAACGGGTTCATATTGTTATTATTATTGCTACTCTTTTTTTTTTAATTTTTAAACTTCTGGTTGGATGTTCCTCGGTGCAGAGTCGTCGGATTCTCCCTGGCTGATTATACACACCCACACACATATATATTCATTTCCATTAGACAGATTTATTAGTTTCTTTATTTCATTCGTGAGTTTCTTTTCACTATTCTATTTTTTTCGAAATGGCGAATAGACCCGCTGCTCTGTTGGTACGACCACTAAATGGAAAGTGGTAAAACGTCATTTTGTTTTTACTATATTATGATTATTATCTCGTTAGTGAATTTATTACCTCTTACTACACTTATTGTCGGTACTAGTATTATTAGTACTACTACTTCTACTGCTACTGCTACTGCTACTGCTACTGCTACTGCTACTGCTACTGCTACTACTACTATTACCGTTACTATTACTATTACTGTGAACAACACTATTTACTATCCAGTACTATATTACGTACTATCCGCTACTGTGCAAGACTAGACTATACTATACTATCTACTATATACTGTACTATTGCAGATATAAATACTTCGGTTAGCGCGTTCCTCCCTATACTTTGTAAGATTCTTCTTTTCTAACTTTTACATTACACACGTTACAAACATTAGAATTTTTCAATGTTCTTACTGTACGGAAAACAGCAGTTTGATTGACAAGATACGGGATTCATGATGATAGTGTAGGAAGCAGTGCATGCTGCTTGGAATGTCAAAATTGAGTATAATGCAAGTAGCGATTAAGGAGATTTCGTGAACGACGTCGTACTCTGCACGGAGAATAAAAATGATATATGTATATTTTTTAAATTTTCTCTCTCTCTCTTTCTTCCCCCTTCCCCCATATATGTATATACATATATATTCTCACTTAGAATTTTCTTTTATATTCTTACTGGTACAATTCTTTGTCCTTAACTTCTTTTATCTTATAATATACATATTACGATGTGTGTGTGTGCGCGTGAGAGGGGGGTGGGATGCGAAAGAGGTAAAGAGAGAGATAGCAAAAGTTTGTATAAAAGCGAGATTAGCGAGGAAGAGAGAAGGAAATGTGAGAGATCTAGATCCGTTTACGGACTATTTCAATTATAATACAATTCGGCGTAGCTAAGGATATTCGTTATAATTAGATAAAAATGATTAATTAACAATTATTAGTCAGCCAGATGATCAGCTTGCGGCTTGTTTCGTCTCGATTACGGCGGATCGTTTATTTAATTATCCCCTCTGCACCCTTTCGCCCAGCCTCGCGACTATATGTATACTGTCACAGGAAGAAGGGTTTCTCGAAGACGAGAGCAAGTTATTTTGCAATAGCAAAGGATTATTCGCGAGGCTTTTTTAAATACTTGTTTGTTTCGAGTCTCTCTGCTATTTGTACTCAGCGTCTTCGTTGTCTTTATTGTATTCGTTGTATCCTAATGCGACGTATACAAAAAAAAAATTGTATACTATAGCCAAAGAGCTTTACGCTACTCTCATTTTCTTGTCTCACCCTGGACAGTGTCCACGACCCTGCTCCTGAACGTTGCGCGACGAACCGCCTGCGAGACGCTGTATTTGTACAGATTGTAAACGTGATTTTAGATTATCCTAGGGTATGATACGATACCGACGAATAAGATTTAAATTAGCGTGGATATCGTTAGGAAGTTCCCGGCGACGCCATTATGGCGTACGAACAGGAGTCTTCACGACCAGAGTCGAACCTGGTGCCGAACGATAAAAAGATAATGATCGATCGAGGGGATAATATATGTATGAACGGCCGTAGGTTTCAATGGGCTTTGGGACAATTAACCAAGACTGATTAGGTAAAAAGAATGGGGATGACGATAAAGAGGAAATGGAATAATTAGATATGATTGGAAAGAGTAATAAAATGGAGAAAAAGAAGATACACGATGTTAAGAATTGTTTAATTAAGAGATAATAAAAGAGATAAAGAGTGAGAGAGGGACGGGTTAGAAGAAAATGTTTGTTTGTCTGTCTGTTGTGAAAGCTGAGGTTGTTTGAGGTAGAATGTTAAGGGAGATACAAAACGTCGAGGAATCATGACCAACCTGGGGAACATCGTCAGGGACTCATTTCGCTTACCTAAAGAAATATACAACTCTTGAAATTATTTTAAAAGTATCAACATCACAGCACTTAGAGGATGTTCCTAACGTTGTCGTTATCCGGCCACGACTTCCACGATACTTAGAATTTGCAGTGCGTAAGCCATATAGAAGTCGGACGTTCTACTTGCTTTGGATGAGAAACTCCTCTGTCCAGAGTGCAGGTTAACGTTTATAAATGTGAATCCTCGCAAACTCTTATAGCCGAGGAGGCTGTCAGTTATCGTTATGAGAATCCTCAAAAGCCGAGATGCTTCCTCCTGCGTTCTTGTAGAAGTGTTTTCACGGTTCTTGTTGTTAGGATGGCTGATGCGAGAGCTTTGTGAGAACCGGTACCGTCGGCCAGTTAGTCAAAAAGAACCAAATAAAAGAAAAAACGTGCTCGGATTTTGTCTCTCCGAGGATTAAGGATGATAGAAATATGAATTGTCTGGAGCTTGGAGTGCTGGCTACCTAGTACATATATATATATATATGTGTGTATATGTATATATATATATGTATATACATAATAAATATATATACGGTATACGTAAGAGGTAATAATTAATGACCCAGAAATACGTGAGTCTGTATCTGGAGACTATTCACAATTGGCGACATATCCTCGCTCATGTAGAAATTTATATACTGTACTGTGGGGATATGAAGAATTAAATACACAAAGATATATATACAGGGTGTCCCGAAAATAAAAAGATATGGAGTAAACCATCAAGTAAAAGAGGAAAATCTGAAACAAAAAGTCCTGCTCCATTTCTTTTTACCAAGCTTTCCTCTTAGAGTTATAAACAAAGCTAGGCAATCAACGCGCGTGCGTACCCGCTGAATATCCAAGAACGCGGCAAATGGGTGATAAAGGGATGCTCAGCAGGTACAGCCGTGCGTTGATTGGTTAGCTTTAATTGTTTATAACTTTAAGAGGAAAGCTCGGTAAAAAATGCATCAGGACTTTTTGTTTCAGATTTTACTCTTCTGCTTGATGGTGTACTACACATCTTTGTATTCTGGAACACCCTGTATAAGTGTGTATAGCTGATTAGAGGGTATCCCCAGGGTACACTGTTTCAGGTGGAATTAAACTCGTAACTCATCCTTAAATGTAACATAGCTATGCTAGGTTCTTTATTATGGTTCCTTCTGGATTTTTGGCCTTATATCTTTATTTTATCTTTGTAATACTTCGTTGATCTCCTTGTCATTCCTATATTTGGTCGTGTTTCTGCTCTTCTTTATCTTTGAATTAATTATAGTAATTTGCTTAAGGAAGATGAGTGCTACCAGCTCCAGTCGTTGTAAACACGTGCTTAGCTCAGGAGCCTTTACATGTCCTTTCGCGGGTGATGCATATTATATATTAAAACAAGGAAGTGAAAAAGGGAGAAAGTCTGTTTCTTTCCCTCCAACAATACATTTCATATGTATAAAACATATATATATATTTTGTGTCTTTTGATTTTGCCTGAGCAAGCACCTCCTATAGATTCTTCTCATATGTAACATCTGCCCCAAGACTCATATAGTAAAAATGAAGGGCAGAGAAATTGGCAAACAGGTGCCATGCATGGAATGAATAGGATGAGAAAAATTGTATACTGTGGATGATACAAAATGGATAGAATGATGAGAACAATGGGTGAACAGAGGAACTTGAGTAACTATTATAATATTGTAAGACATAACAGTGCGTTAACCTCTGAGAAGCCTCCCTTTGCACTTGCGTTAATATGAATTAAATTGTTTTCTCGCTATGCTACCAGCGATAAAGAATGAGAACAACTTAAAGCTTAACGGAATAAGTTATACAAATAAGAATGTGGATAAGAAGATGAAAGGCAGCAAATCAGAGAAGGAATCGGGAGAAAATTATATTAGAATTGAAAATGAATGATAAACTATGAGATACAGGCTGTAACAACGATGGAAGGAGTTCAATAAAAATTCAATGAAAGGGGTACCCATTTATTATGAGCGATTGATTATCATTGAATTACAATCGAGCTTTGTGCAAATTAAAAATAGATAATGAAATATTAATTATAATCTTTTACTCTTATTTCAATGGAAAATTACTCTCACTTGTCATACATATTACAGTTCTTCCCGACTCAGGGCTATAGTTCTTTGATTTCTCTTCTGCCATTGCATTCTTTTGGTCACACTAATAGAATACCTAGCTTGTAGTCGCTTGTAGAAATTGTAGAGAAATAATTTGATGTTGCACTTGTAAGTAAAAGACAAGAAACAGTCCTGAAATATGCTTCTCTTGGTGAAGTATTCAAATATCCAATAATCCTTAAGGAAAGTGACACTGTCCTTGGTATTGTCAATAGAGCAGAGTTCTACGATAATTGTGAAATTGGAAATTGGAAATTGCGTACCAGAATTAATAAAACATTACAAATAATGAAAGTACCTACCCGTGAGTGGTACTGTAAATATTGTACATTAGAGTGAATCAAAGCGATTTTTTCTCCTAGCGTACGCTCCCATACAAGCGAAAAATCCAATGATCCCTATCATGAGACCCAATATTAGGGCCAATGTGTCTCCGAAATCAAAACCATTCGATGCGGCTGCTCGCCCGAAGCTCGCCAAAATACAGATTAAAAAGATCATCAGCATTTTCTCGTAAATATTGCAATTAAACTGCGTAGTTTGACAGCTATCTCACGTTTAGGTTAGAAATTTTTATTCATAACGATAGTGGGATTAACTGTTCTCTGATTGGTCTGGGGAATTTTATTTTACTCCAATGCGTATGCGCCTAGCATTCAAAGGTGGCGTCACTCGCTCTAAGAGGAACTGCACGCTGACGCGTATCGACCGAGTAAATATATTATTTTTCTGCGGCACTCTTGGCATTCTGGCTTATAACTTCAGATTCCGTGTATCTATTGGTATGTAACGCATGTAATTTTAACGATTCACTTATTCATATAATTTCATGATCTTTGTATTTGTCCCACAATTCTGACTCAAGGGTTTCCCTCCCGGCCAGTGGCCATTTTGCTATCCGTTGATAAATGCATGGCATTCTCGTACCGACTGGTTCCTACCGCGTTCCAGAACGAATATATAAATTGAAATAACACTTCAGGAGAATAGACACTGTGCACAGATTTTGTTTTATTACTGGCCATATCCTGGGCCAGGATTTTCATAAATTTGTTAAACATTCAATGGGTCTGGGTCGGCAGCCTTGTCTACTTGAATGCACAGATCGTAGAAGAGTTTCCTGTTAGAATAGATTTCGACTCCATTAACCTTTACAGGGTATCTATGTGGCTTTTATTTATTTCAACTTCTGATTATTATGCACTTTCAGAGCAGGTGTGATCAAGAATATTGTGGGATGATGCATTGCTCTTGAAATCATTTTTACTTCTGTATTCTTAGATTGGGAGTAGTCCTGTAGGAATATTATTCAATTTTGTGTACCACACATATTTTATGGTATTTCTACTGTCTAAGTAGTAATTGTTTGAACCGTATGTCCTATAAAAGGTAGATCACTATGGAGGTTGAAGTGATCGAAGTGAAGGACCTGGGGGAGATATTGAACCAGGCAGAGGAGGGTGAAGAAATAATTTTTGAATCTGAAGCTACTGAAGATGGAGTTGATGAGGAGGTTGAAGAGATTGTGGAAATTATTGAAGAAATCGAAGAAGTTGAAGAGGATGTAGATGAGGAGGAGCAACATGATCTAGAGAATAGCAATGGGACTACTAATAAATCTGCAGGAAATAGTACAACAGAGATGCATACTAAAGTGCAATCTGAAGAGTCTGGACATTACAGAAGAGTCTATAGTTCGGGCAAAGAATTTGCTAAAAAGTCTACCCAGAAACACTTAGATAATGGAACCTCTAAGGTGAAAAAGCAGCATGTGACATACGATGTTGATGAAGACTGGGAAGATGAGGATGCTGATGAATCTGAATCGAGGCAACATAATAATGAGATGAGTCAGATTCAACTAAAGAATAACAAGAAAACGTACAATATTAGCAAAAAGTCTGTAAATATGCTTAATTCCGAGAACACTGGAACCTCCTCTGCTGAAGAAGTCATCTTGAAGGCCAACAAATCTGGAGTGCTTCTTGAATACGATCACAGTATAAATGATGCTGCTAATGAAGAGAATAGCGGCCATGAGATAGTTAAGAATACAGAGAATAATCTGGTTTATACTGTACTAGGTTCAAAGAAGTCAGTTGGCTCTTCCAAGGGTCAAGAAGAGAAAAATTCTGGTGCCAGATTTCTTAAGGTATGTTTACTATAATTTTTGTACATTATGCTTTGAGATATCCATCACGCTAATTGAATTCTCCAGGTCGATCAAATAGAGGATAATGCAATCCCCGTTGAAGGGACCATTTATTACGAAGGAGAAGAAATGCAAACCCTCTACGTGGCACATTCTGTGAATGATAACGAACAGTATCAATACGAAGGTGTTGTAATGGAGCAAGAAGGTTGGGAAACAGCGAGTCAGGAAGAAGGTAGCCAGCAACAGCAGCAGCAGGAAGAAGAAAATTCTCAGGATCAGATCTTTCTCCACGAGGATGAAGATGGTCAGCTTTACTTCAAGGACGACACAGGAACGTTGCAGCCTGTTTACTTGACTGCGGATGGAAACTATGCAATTGCTGAGGCCAGTAGCGACGACCAGGATAGTCAAGAGAGTCAGAGTCATCAGACACAGAACTCTAGGTCATCAGACGATGGAAATTGTACAGCGGGTGACATGGAATATCGAAATAACATAGAAGATAAACAAGTACGTACTAGATAATAAATTATCTAATTATTCCCATTACTTATCTTTCAAAACTTATTCATTTTTTATAATTCTAGGACTCCATCATCCCAAGTTCCTCACTCAGCGAAATGGACAACGAGGACAATACCGTGACAATATCCCTAATCATTTCTGAGGATGAGCACGGCCAGAAGAGAACCCAAGTAATAATCCCCACCACGGATACTCTTAAATGTGAAATCTGTAACAAATCCTTCAAGACATCCTTCCAGCTGCTACGACACAACAGACTAAAGCATGCAAGAGAGGAGGACATCACCACCAGAAACTTTCCCTGCGACCTTTGTCCTAAGAGGTACGTCTCCAAATATCTACCAATCCCTAGGTCCATATTAAACGGTTTTCCTAATCATTCATAAACTTTTAGATACCCGGATCAGAATTCTTTGGCGCGTCATCGCAAGACCCACACCGGGGATCGTCCTTTCCAGTGTCTGGAGTGTCACAAAAACTTCCCTACGTCGACGGCACTTCGCAGGCATCTTACTCTGCACAACCCTCAGTCTCGGCCGTTGCCCTGTATCTACTGCGGTCGACGCTTCCTCGAGAAGGCTAGTCTGGCTAAGCATGAGCAATCTCACCTGGCTGGTGACCAAAGGACCCATACCTGCGACATCTGTCACAAGTCCTTCATGCACGCGAGCGATCTGAATCTTCATAAGAAGAATCATGACCCGGACAAGAAGTTCGACTGCGAGGTGTGTGGTCGGGAGTTTAATCGGTTGAACAATTTGCAGCGGCACATGATGGTGCACCAGCAAGTACGTCGAACATAAGGAGTTTACCCGATACCCATGTTCGCTCGAGGTGACTAGACGGTGTATCGGGTTCCTAACCTTCTGTATGTCTTCTGTTCACAGCAAGGAGCTAATGAGGAGATACTCTCCTGCGATGTCTGCGGCATAACCTACAAATTCATGAGTTCTCTCACGAGACATATGGTCACAACCCACATGAACCCGGAAAAGCTGCGCCAGCAAGCCGAGGAGCAACGTCGCAAGCGTGAGAATAATTACAGACGTTACCTGGAAAACAGGAAGATGTATGAGACTCAGCATTCTGGGAGTTACGGGACCAAGAGGGGCTATCATCATAACTCCAGGGTCTTGAATGACGACGATGATATTGCTTGACTTTCGCGTACGTGACGGGGTCAGTTTTACGGACTAATTGCATTTTCTTCAGTGGACTTTGGACGTGCGAGATCGATATAAAATAAATTGTATAATTTACTTTAATGAATCCCCTGTAGAATGACAGTGCATGAATAAATACGATGTCGTTTCTATTGACGATAACAGAATTCAACGCGATAATCGGAAGTTCATCTTGTGTCTCTTACTCTATAGCTATATCATGACTCGGTATGTCTTTTGTTTTGAAGTATCGTTTTTGGATAAGTCGTTTATTCATTTATTCGCAAAGCGTTTCCAGGGCTTTGAAGTACGCGTACTTTATATCGTACTCCATATCGTACCAGTAATTTAATGCTAAGCAGGCCTGGGATTGGCGGACGTGGTGAAACCATAATGACGGCAGATAGAGCATATCACCCTCTTGTACTTTGACCCTTAAAGTTCTTGTATTTTTGTATTTGGGATACCTGCAGGAAATAAATACCAACAGGTATCTTGAAGAATTATTTGAGTCCCTCTTAGTTCACATGGTTCAAACCTCGTGTTGTCAGGATGAAGAGGGTCCACGCGTATCCAAGGAACTAGATTCGATTCCTCGTTATCTGACTCTGACTCCTGGAGAACTTTTGGAGTATCTATATTCATTGGATTTATCTTCCATTGTCCAGGTGATGATTCTTTATAGACAGCAGCAGGATACTTTCCATAAGGGATATAAGGTCTGTCTGTTGGAGGATGTAAAAGAAAATCCTTCTCACCGGATATAACACAGTAAATATTTTCATAAGGATCCTTGTGCACTGCAGAGATGTTACAATCGTATGAAACTGTATTTGAACAGTATTATGGAGCAATATAATTTGTACTAACTTGACGTAACAGCACGCTCATCACCCATCCAAATGTTTACAGCATCAGGAAGCTTACCAAATGACTCTGTTGCCCAAGGTATGTCAGGAGGAACGTCTGAAATTAATTCTGGAAAATCTTCTGTGAAATTTGAATTCTGTCTTTGTATGTAAAATACACTTCCTGCTTGAGGATTTTCCAGATGATCTAGGAACTGAGACATTGTCATCTGACGTTCTTCAGGCATTACAAAATATTCTATAGACTCTCCATTGAAATCATGTGATTCTGCTATTGCATCTGCATACCCATTCGGTGTTACAGCAACCGTTACTTCTTTGTCTCCAAGAACTTTTTGAAAGTATGGTATACTCCATTTTTTCATGGCTGGCCATTGACTTGTACCTCCTTTTATTAATAGGGGTATGTTTTTGGATACATATTCTCGATAAAATGTCAAAGGTGTTATTATGGCCTCTGATACTTCTAGAATCTGATCCGACAAATAAAGTTCTACAAAGTAAGGAGATACTATAAAACAAGAATGTAAAAATAACTTCTTCTCAATCAATACATGTAATATGAAAGGATAATCGAAAGGAATGTAATGTGTTGTATGAAAAGAAATGATATACTATTTATTATTCTATTTAGTTACAACAAACCTGAAGCCTCCTGAGAAAGTACTCTGCATGCTGTGTCAATCTTATTATCTAGTTTATTATTCATACTCCGAACTGACATTATATTAATCTAATTTAAGATAATAATTTAATTTCAGGAAATTTAATAATTTTCTTTTATGGCTTGTTTCCTGTGAGAATTAACAATAGGTTTGTTCGCGTTACTTAAACTCTTTGCAAAGTGAAGAAACCTTAAATTCTAATAATAAAATTATTGTGAATTAGCTTAGACAATGACCAGTATCGTTGAAGAAATATTTTTTTTGCTCAACACGAAGGCACCAAATTTTTGTTAGCGCCAGTTACTGCTAATCTAGAATTAGGAAAAGTCCCTACGTGAGAAAATGCAACCCTGGCATACTTTATTATCAATTCGGTTTCAGTTAAAACAATATACGTGTCAATGATAAGAATGACTGTATCGTGACATATAACTCCTGGTAATAATTAATAATAATGTCGTCTGATGAAAGTCTTCTGTCAAAATATATTAATATAACTATAGTAGTTGCGGTGTACTGGTAAGTTAGGTTATACATTTTTGTAAATTGTTATGTATTATTAGCTATATAACAATCTAAATAATTATTCAACTGAAGATATAAGTTATGTCTAATACTATCATTAATTGTAGTGCCAATATTTACTGATTCCATTGTTTCAGGGTTACGTCAATTTTGACAGTCTTTGTCAATAAAACTTTGTTATCCAGTGATACTGTTAATTTGGATGCTCCATTATTTGTTACATGGTTTCAGTGCATTGTCAGTGCCGTTATATGCACAGTTCTGAGTGGACTTTCAAGATGGTATCCAAATTACATTACCTTCCCAAAGGGACATCCTTACAATTTGGAGACTGCAAAGAAGGTGCAATGAATTACGTAGTAATATTTATTACAAAACATACTTACGATAATTGCTTTTCAGATCTTGCCTCTTTCTATCTTATTCACTGCGATGATAGCTAGCAACAATTTGTGCCTTAAATATGTAGGCGTCGCATTTTATTACATAGGACGTTCATTGACAACAGTGTTCAACGTTCTTTTCACTTATGCCATTCTTGGTAAGTTTGAAACTCAAATCTTGTGATTACATTACTCTCCATACTCTCTAATGCAGGACAGAAGACTTCAACAGGCTGTATAGTGTGTTGTGGAGTTATTATTATGGGCTTTTGGCTAGGAGTGGACCAAGAAAATGTTGCTGGATCATTATCAATCCTTGGTACATTCTTTGGTGTCGTTGGATCATTAACTCTGTCTCTGTACTCGATATACACAAAAAGGATACTGCCCTTTGTGAACCAGGAAATCTGGTTACTGTCCTACTATAATAATATTTACAGCATTGTACTTTTTCTTCCATTAATGCTAATAAGCGGTGAACACATTGTTGTTTATAATTATGATAAACTGTACGAACCATTTTTTTGGCTTGCAATAACTATTGGTGGATTATGTGGATTCGCTATAGGATACGTAACTGCTTTGCAAATCAAAGTGACTTCTCCATTAACGCACAATATCAGTGGTACTGCCAAAGCTTGTGCACAGACTGTTCTAGCAAGCTACTGGTTCCATGAACATAAGTCAGTACTCTGGTGGACTAGTAACGTCATTGTTCTTGGGGGCAGTGCTGCCTACGCGAGGATTAAACAAATGGATATGGAAAAAGTCCACACTGAGCACAAATATGAACAACTCAAAGTATAACGTAAATTATATTTACATTGCTGTCAATTGAGACGATAGTGTTTAACGTGACAAAGATTTTATTGTATAATATAGTATAAAATGTAAAATCATTTCTAAAAAAATATATTACTTAATACAGGCGGTATCATTTCATCCAGAGTTACATTTGGAAGCGGTGCATTTATATTTTGTACTTGATCTTTCAAAAGTAATTGAACACCTGGAATACGTCTGGATGATGTGACACACCCGGTAAAAATACTATAAATCAATACTTCAGTATTAAATATCAGACCTCGCCTTACATATCTCACTAATAAAAATCATCTGTCGATTTTTCAATAGTTCTATTCGTCATATTCTTTTATATCTTGAAGCCAGGGCGCCACCCCGGCTATCCGAATGACTCGTTACGGAGTCCTTGTGCTTCGTGATGACATTCACGCTCTTAGAAATAAGACTGGCGTCTGTTTTAGGTAAATTAGCTATAGTGTCTAGATGTATCTGGAGCATTGTATCCACGGAATGTCTTTCGTCGCTTTCAACAGCTATATTATCATATCTTAAGTAATATCTGCAAAGGATAATATTATTTTAAGAACTGCAAAGATTTTACCTAGAGTATTTACGTGATCGTACGAGGATCAGGGTAAGGCTTACCGTGGATATTCTACAGCGGTGGAAGCATTCATCCCAAGAATTAGGAGGTTGGACAGTAATTCCCCGATGACGGTGGGATCGTCACTGCCGAAAACACCTCGGAGGCCACAGATAGACAACGTATCCCGGAAGGCTACAGGAGCAAAGGAAGCCAGAGTATTTCCGGCTACTGTGCCATCCAGAAGAAAGCCAGCGGGTGACAGGCGCGCCAGACCAAGGGGCGCACTCAGGCCTCTAATTTTGCAATTTTGTATTAGTACAAAGGATACAAAATTTGTTTATATATTTAATACACATTTTTTTATGTACTCACGTTACTACTGAGACGTATTTATCTTGCCAATCCATAGCGACTACACTGGCATACCGTTGACTTTCAGCTGCAACAATTATTATCTTTGGCTCATTTAGCATGTTTTTTTAAAATTAAAACATTACACGTACCATTGGGATCAACTTTGGAATATTTAAAATTCGATGAGACCAATGATTGGGCTACCAGAATTTGAGAATTCAAATAGGATGAATTCTGCTCCATAATCTTTAAATTCTCCAAGGCCTGCAGGGTCTGCTCTAAGGGTAAAGCACGTAGCGGATAATATATAGTATAACCATAGAAATTAGTTTTTCTTGCCACTGTTACTTCCGGTTTATACAGTGCTAACTCTTGTAGAGAATATTCAGATAGCAGTGCATCCTGTAGAAACTTCTTGACTACAGTTCCATTGTAGAACACTGATGTTATGCATAAAATGAAATAAGCGAATGAATTTTTCTAATACTACGAGAAATAATTTTAATAATGAGATGCTATTATTTTAAATTACCATCAGCACCGAATTCTGCTACAGCATCCAGAGTTTCCGCCAATGTAGGTAGCAACAGAATCTCTCCAGGATTAATGTTTCCATAGAGATTTGCATATTCCGTATTTTTGGAAATTTCGTATGCAAATTCCTTTGATACAACAAATCCATTTCTAGCCAAATCTGCCAAAGGCTTTACAACTTTGTACCATGGTAAATTTCCCCATGAAGTTTGTGCAAATTCTAACCCACGCAATAAAGCAGGAATTCTTATGCTTCTTGCAGCGAAGAGATCTGCTTGTAAAATGAAACTCATTAAGAAAAATTTACATAGAAAAAAAGTGGCTTGTATTTCTCATATGAACCTGAGATTGTGTTATTCGCAAAATCTATAATCAATGGATCTGTTTGATCTCTGTGGTTATAAATCATCATGTAGCCTCCCCTGAGAAAAAAAATAATATCCTTTAGCTTTGAACTCTCAAAGGAATTATTGTCTTATACTCTTACCCTCCAAGCCCTGTTTTCTCTGGTGCTACCACAGCCATACATAGGGTAGCAGCTACTGCAGCATCGACTGCATTGCCACCTTTTCTTAAAATTGTTGTTCCTATTTGTGAACAATTCGTGTAGTCCGTAGCAACAGCACCATTAACACCAGCAATACTCTAAAAGTATAAAGGGAACATTATAAAAGGCAATGTGCTGGCCTAATTAAGAATTATAACACGTTACCTGTGATATATTGGTTGAATACAATAACTGAAATATTAGAGCTGCAGTGACAGCTATGGTCAGTACAATAAAAGAAGAGACAATGATTTTTAGCCCACCTCCACAGCACGTACTTAGTTTAAACTGGCTACTCTTGTCCTTTGTCAGTGGACAATCCTCTGTCAGTATCTCTATTCAATGTTAAAGAACAAAGAGTATAATTGAAGTCAATTATATATTGTTATATAAAAAGAATATAATTATTGATCACTTGTAGATATTTAAAACATTGAACATGTCCTAACAAATGGAGTGAACTGGGTTCATAGCAAGAATTGAAAGACAATTGGTGCAACAAAATAATGAATATTTTTTACTTTCATCAATCTCTTCCTTGTTGTAATAAGTGTTTCTGAGCTTTTGCATTTTCTTGTAAACGTGATCATTTTATAGAAAGTTCTGTAGGATGGATTTTGAAAATTAAGAATTTAATTGCTGACAATTGGAACTATGGTTTTAAAATTCAGGTCACAAGATTAATAAACAATTGTCTTTTTAAAATGTACTTACGTCTGTCGTAACTCATTTTAAAATGTTTTATTTATATACACATTTTCCGAAAACGTGGTAAAACTCTTTCTGAAGTAGTTGTTACATAGAAACTTTTGCTTGGATACACTACTTTGGGTACCATACTTGGTTAAGTTCATTGCCATTTAGTGATATGCATACTATAGCTGTACATACAGTATATGCCATAGGTATATCACTCTTTTAAGTCCCAAATTATGACAAGAATACTAAGAGAAAAGAGAAACGATATAGAATAAAATTGTGCGTTTTATTTCTTCACATAGAATATTCAAATAAATATATATATATAAATACTGTAAAGGCACCTTTTGCACTTGTATAATGTATTATACAATTTTGACAATAAATGATTGATTATAAAACACTTTCTTGTAGCATTACTATTAAGAAATTTGGTTACACATGATCATACAATAACTGTATGATTACCTGCTTCGGTATACCTTCTGTAAAGTTTGGCAAATTTGAAACTATAGGTTGTTCCAATGGCAAGACTTACAAAGCTAATAGAAAATATTAAATAGTTTCGTGGAACATTGTTTCTAATATACATCAGGATAACACATGTTAATAGATTGGAAGGTACTCTAAAAAAATTGGAAATACATGCTCTATGAGATTCTGGAAAAACTACACCTCTCAGATATCCAATAGCAGGATAATACATTCCAATAGAGACTTCATATGCAAGGAAAGCAACAAGGCAAATTTTGCTACCTAAAACCTCATGACTGTCCTGAAGAATACTACCAATGAGGCACAGAAAAATACTAGAGAGTCCCAGAATAATACTTAGCTTCAGAAGGTAGTCTCTGGAAATTCTGTACTTTGTGTATAAAATGGAATTTAAGAAACTACCTAGCATTATGCAGAGCATAAAGATACTAAAGATAATTCCATGTTTGGGATTGAGTGGTTCTAATACAGGAGTCCAAAGAAATACAAAAATGTATATGCAAGTCTCAAAGAGTGCTTGCACAATACCTAAGTACAAGAGAAGTCTATTGCTTCTCGTAAAGATCAGCCAGATTCCATCTGTCCAGGATCTTTGAGTAAGTTCTTGAAAATTCTTTGTACTCTCATCCCATAAGATGGCACAACAGATACCTGAGGCCATTAGGATGGGAATAGCTAGTACAAATGGCCCAGATGGGCCTAGATTTAAATTAACAGCTACAAAAGATGCTAGGATTCCAGCTATTATAGCACAGAGCCCATTATAAAATGTTGTCTTGGTCAAAGTTGCTCCAATCCAATCTATAGGTAGTTTTTTTTCTATATGTTGATTCATGTACCATGATTCAAAGGTTGAGAAGAGTATAGAGGTTGATATCCCACTAAGAACACGTCCAATTAGAAGAATCCAAAAATGTTCAGATAAAATAGATATACAGGATAAAGAATAGAGAACACTGTAGGAAATTGAAAGGATTTTTCTACCAATACGATCTGCTATATATCCTATAATAACTCCAAAAACTGTGCTACTTGCAAATCCAATAATATAAAGCAACGAGATGTCTTGTTTCTCATAATTATGGTTCACATAGATTTTGTAAAGGTATGGTCCTTGTAACCAGTCAGCAAATATAGCCAGTAAAAATACAGTCAGATATTTTCTTTGTAGATTTAAATAGATGCCATTGCGTTCCATATCCATGTTGTGCATAGATTTGTACCTGAAAAAAAATGGACACTGCATACCTCTCATTGACGAAACTATCTTAGGGAACGATACATACTGTAATTTAACTAGAGTATTCTCTAGAGCCTTTACAAGCTTCTTCAGAACGTCAGAACTGCATTAGCATGCAATTAATTGCAAGGCCATGTTTATTTTCTCTGTTTTAACAGAAACTCCATTGTCTCGTTACTCCAATAAATTTAATAGAAAATAATGAACATTGTGCTATCTTTCGTGATTCAATTCTATTCAGCATTAAATTATTTGCATTGGTCATAATCTTTCACAATAGCAAGTGAATGCGCTCTCGCTCGTATTCTGTTGTGTTCAGTTGTATTTCTGTCGTTACTGGTCGTTACGTTTAACATGGTTGACAATACGTGGTACGTTGTGGAAGCTCGCGCAACTCCGTTTAATTCCGTTAGCTTCCGTTTTGGAGCAAATATTACGACGAAGTCAGCCAGAAAGTTCTTAGTGGTTCTCGGTTCTTTGCGCTGAGACGTTTTTGTATTATTTATTTCTCCACTTGAAGTAACTTTTAAGTCTCGCGCTCAGCGTTTTTTACACTCGCTCGCTATCACTAGCTGCCACGGCTATCTCTCGTTAAGATCATCGCCTCGGATTTGCTCCTCAATGTAATAACAGGGAACAGTTTTCTTCGGGTGTTTGTGCTCTTGGTCTTCTATTGTGTGTACATAAGGCTATATATATTGTCTATGTGCCTGGTTATCATACCTTCATCAAGAACATACGGTAATAATTATTCTGACATCTATTACTCAATTTCCTTCAGCTGACTTGAGTGTTCATTATTGTTTAGTTTTTCATTTTTTCATCTTTACTCTTTTGACACTTTTGTATTTTATTATTGCATTTCTTGGTTCTTTTAAATTCATTTCAACATTTTTAGTGAGTATTTTATGTATAGCGGATTTGCTTATGTAATCTGGTTTGACCTTTTACTTTTTGCTATAGACGATTTACTGAGGCTTAGGTGAAATATAATCGGTGGGAAGTTTATCTGTAATTTTTCGTTAATGCGTTGGTTTTGTGATTAGATGAGATAATGAATTACCATCGTGTCTACAATTTATAGTTTTACTTGAGTTTTGAAGATAGCTATATCAGAGACCGTGGTACCAATAAGATATTATTTTTGTGTTTTCTGCTGCGGTTATTAACATTTTTTAATAAGGTAATCTATGGGTCAGTAACGGGTCATAAAGTTGCTTAAATTTATTTCTTAGTAATTTTTTAATCAATTACAGTGTCTTAACTTTCCTTTAAGTAAGTTTCATGTTTCGGCGATGACCTTTGTTAATTCTATAAATATTCTTTTTCTGTTTCATTATAAATTTATCTAGAAGATAATTAATACACTTGTTGTAATACCTATGAATATATATAATGAATAATTATATATACTAATAATATTGTTAAGATAATGTACATTGTTCAGGAGACTTATAGACATTTTTCTTTAGACAGCAAAGAAATCTGAATCTATAAAATAAAACGAAGATGTCACATTACGAGGATGCTATTGTGGAGAATAAGGATGACGAGATTTGTTCAGCGGGTGATATAGGACTCCGTCATCGTATACCTTGGAGCGACCGTGTCTCGCTGAGTAGCGAGATACCTGGTCTGCATGAAGTTAAAGAACTCCTTGAAGATGATGATGCCAGTTGCTTGGCAGAGGAGGAGGATGGTGTTGGATGTCCTTTACCATCTACTCCAGAAGATGACCATCTTTTGGATTGCGAGGTAATAGGTGTTATTATTTTGCATGCATTAAAATATTGTATCAAATGGAATATTTTACTATGCAGATGACGGAGGTTCTGAAAGCTGGTGTTCTGAGTGATGAAATTGACCTTAGTGCTCTGGCTCATAACGCAGCAGAACAGGCTGAAGAATTTGTTCGCAAGGTAAATAGGAATAAATATTTCCAAAACAATCAATTACATTTACTATGCAAGAATAACGATTATAATACATACATCAATGTCAATTTTAATCAGGTCTTTATTTACTATTCTCCGTGTTTCTACTTAGAGCCATATATAATTCATGTAAATTAGGAGGTGAAATGTGGTTCATTTTTGTTTTCACATGTTGTTTCACAAGAATCTTAAATCATTTCCACTCTATATTTGGCACATAGGTATGGGAAGCTTCATGGAAACAATGCCACTTCCGTAACCTTCCTAGATGGCTTCAGGATAACGATTTTCTCCACGCGGGTCATAGGCCACCCTTGCCGTCCTTCTACGTCTGTTTCAAGAGCATCTTTCGTATTCATACAGAGACTGGAAACATCTGGACGCATTTACTAGGTAGTTATAGTGTCCTGGATCAGGATCTTCCTATAGAATACTCTTAGCAAAGATACCTTTTCTGTTTTGCTCTCCAGGTTGTGTAGCCTTCATCGGCATAGCAATTTTTTTTCTAACTCAACCACCAATCGAAATTCAACTGGAGGAGAAGCTCGTATTCGGGACCTTCTTCGCTGGAGCGATTATTTGCCTCGGGATGTCCTTCGCCTTTCACACCGTTCACTGCCACAGCGAGTGCGTTGGCAAACTCTTCTCGAAGTTGGATTACTGCGGTATAGCAATGCTGATAATGGGCAGTTTCGTACCCTGGCTGTACTATGGATTCTATTGTGACTACCAGCCTAAATTGATTTATCTCTCTGTTGTCGTGGTCCTGGGTATCACCAGCATTGTTGTTTCCCTGTGGGAGAGGTTTGGCGAGCCCAGTTACAGGCCACTGCGTGCTGGAGTCTTCATGGGTTTTGGTCTCAGCGGCGTAAGGCTTATATAAGAGAAACTGCATTTTCGTAAAAAATATTGTATGTTCTCACCAATGAATTTTCAGGTAATACCAGCTGTTCATTACGCTGTCGCCGAGGGATGGTTCAAGGCCATTAGTCAAGCTTCCTTAGGATGGCTTATTCTCATGGGTTGCCTGTATATCCTCGGTGCTTTGTTCTACGCATTACGCGTTCCCGAGCGTTTCTTCCCCGGGAAGTTTGACATTTGGGTCAGTGTTTACCTAGAGATTTTTTATAAATAACTTCTCCATTCAATCATTGCTCAGTATTAACTATTCGAATTCATCATTACGTCATTCTAATTGCACTTTTTACATCAGTTCCAGAGTCATCAGATCTTCCACGTGCTAGTTATTGCAGCGGCGTTCGTTCACTATCACGGCATCACGGAAATGGCAATGTACAGAATGACAGTGGGCGATTGCACGAATCCCTCTCAAGTCATAACGTTCTAAATTTTGTTGACTCTTTATTTTTATGTTATGTGAGAAAAAGTAACCGAATGTAAACAACCAGCGGAGGATAAGCGGAACCAAACTGATAGCAAAAATTGAAATAATGTTTAAATGAATGGGTTTTTTTTTCATTAAGGAGAGCAGATAGGAAGACAAAGCAATTAAGAGAACAGTTTCGCTAGTGTATTAACATTTTTTGTGCCTCGGGGTAAATCCAAAAAGAAACATGGTCCTAATCATTTTCTATTGAAATTCCATAAGGTGACGACCCTTCTTTTCGTTCACTTTGTCAGGAGCTATACTTTAATTTAGTTAAATTATTCCACACTGAACGTACACCGTAGAACAATGGTATCGTGTCACGTTCGATCCTCAAGCGGTTTAGTTAGTTTAAATTAAATCAGCATTAATATTCTCTCTGTTATTTCGTTCACTATCGTGTTACACGAGTAGCAGATTTTGTTGTCTGGTTGGAGCAGGTCAAGGTGTTTGATTTTTCGCTTTCATTTCCTCTTCAAAATTCTCACCATTAAAAAAAAAGACATGCACGAATGAACGATTTGATATACGGATTATTAATATGGGCGACCACCATTTAACGTAACACGAACAAAATGTGATCATAAAAGGGAGCATTGGAAACGAAAAGAAAAATAGTAATAGAGAAAAGAGAGAAACGAAGCGAGAGAGAATAACAAGTGAATAACTAGCACAGAGAAAGTATGCGTAATTATATTTTTCTCGAATCGATTTTGGCGAATTGTCGAGGTGTTATATTTATGGAAGATTTTCTCCCCCCCCCTCCCGGGGGATTGTAAGCGTTTTTTGCATACTGAAAGCGACGGGGGGGAAACATAGATCGCGTGGCCTCAAAGATAAATTCTATTTTCCTTGGCGAACGGCCATTCGACGAGGATGTTCCATTTCTTATTCTTTATTTATCGGATAAGAGAAATGAGAAAAGAATTATAAGGATCGAAGGATATAGAGAATCGGTAGAAAGTCTGGAATAAATGGAGGCTTGAAGGCAAATCGATGGAAATGCATTTCTCTTTTTCACTTTTACAAAATCATTCTCATTCAAGTTCAAGAGGAATTACTTTGTAGGAATATCTCTTGCACTGTGATATTTTATCGAAGCACTAAGTTTTCCCACATACCTAACTCTTATTATAATTCAATATAAATGTTTCACCACATGATGCGTATCCGTCGATCTTCTCGTTTCCTTCCTACGAAAGTAAATAAATGAATGTTTGTCATAACAAAAATTATGATAATATTAACCGAAAGAAAAAGAAAATTAGGAGAGTGTGAAAGCAGTGATAATTGTTTTATTTCATTATTGAAAAGTCTCTAGTACTTAGAACGGAGAACGAGATGTTGTTGAACTTTTTACACAAATAAAAAAAATGGAATATTAACAAATCAATAAAGTATGTAATCACGTACCTTTGTGCACGCGAAACATACAGAAGAGCTAAACTTAATTCTTTTTATTTTACCCAATGAATATGTCCTAATTTAAGCATTATAAAATCTATAAGGTTCGCCTGTTGGTAATCTAAGAACATATTTTCGTTGATTATTTAATTTTGAAATTTTCCAAGATGTTCATGTTTCTCATTATCGGATTACGGATTATCTTACCATGTAAGCGTAGCAACCCGGAGAATTGATAATAGGCATAATTTCTTACATAAGATATGTCGATTAAATTAATTCATGTAAATGCCGTGTATGGCAATCAACTGTGGCAAGTTTTTCGACAGTCACGTATTCAGCATTTTACTAAGTTCTACCAGTTGTCATATAACAAAAGAAATGATAACCTCCTTGGAACCAAAGTCTTTCATACAATGTCTAGTGATAAAGTCAAAGCAGATCTTAGAGGTATCTTGAATGCTGGTATTGGGGCAGTTTTACCCAGGTCAATTGTAGAAAATAAAATAAAATATGAAGATGGCAAGTTTCTTGTTGGAGAGGAAGAATTTGTTATTAAGAAAGACGTGTATCTGGTGGGTTTTGGAAAAGCAGTTATGGGAATGGCCATTGCCTTGGAGCGTATCCTGGGTGAGACTTTGAAGAAAGGGATAATCAGTGTACCTAAAGGATCTGGAGAGAAGATTTGGGAGACTCAGGATTTTAAGAATTTTCCAAAGCTCAAGGGATGTTTGGAGTTTCGTGAAGGAGCAGCAAATAACATGCCAGATGGTGATTCGCTAGAGACTACTATACATATTATGGAAATGGTTAAGACTTTGAGAGAGGAAGACACACTGATGGTTTTGGTCTCTGGAGGTGGATCTGCCTTATTATTTCTTCCAAAGCCTCCATTATCGTCGAATACCAAGCAGCAGTTTTGTAAAAAACTACAAAATGCTGGAGCAGACATAAAGGAGCTCAATATTGTCAGAAAGAGCATTTCCTTGGTCAAGGGTGGTGGTCTAGCTAAAGCAGCTTATCCAGCATCAGTGATAGGTCTAGTCCTATCTGATATAATTGGGGATCCTATTGATTTAATTGCTAGTGGTCCAACAGTTCCTAATAAGAATACTCCAGAGGATGTCATAGCTATTTTAAAAAAGTATAAATTGTACGATGATCTTGAGGAGGATCTAAAGGCTGTGCTGATATCAAAGGAAGTCGAGAATCAGTTTGATCATGTAAAAAATATTATTCTTGCCAATAACCAGCTGGCTATAAAAGCTGCAGAAAAAGAGGCTCTAAAGAAGGGTTTAACTCCAATAACTTTGTGCAACCATGTCCAAGGGCTAGTCCAAGATGTCAGCAAATATTATACTGATATTGCAGAACTAGTGTGTTTGGCATTGCAAAGTAAAGTGAGTAAAGATGAATTTCTCAACAAAGTTTCACAGCACCCCACCCTGGCATTGCCGAAGGAGAAAGTCGACGAGATCTTTCGATCTATTGATCAGATTCCAGTAAGTGGATTTCTCCTAATTGGAGGTGGTGAGCCCACAGTCGTAGTGAGTGGACCAGGAAAGGGTGGAAGGAACCAGGAACTGTCATTGTATTTTTCTATGAATTGGTTGACCAAAATACATCAAAATCCCGTTTTGGCAGAATTTGAAGTTATATTACTCAGTGCGGGTACTGATGGTCAGGATGGACCAACAGATGCTGCAGGAGCTTTCGGATATGCTGATATTGTCGCAATTGTTCAAGATCTGCTAACAAAAATTAAAATTCTTTATAATAAACAAATTACTGAACAACCGCTGAAACAAGATAAAAAACCACAAACGGTTCTATACAATGGAATAAAATATGAATTAGAAGACACCGATCCACTGACTTTAATGAAAGTGGAACTGGAGCGAATGCGTCCAGAAAATACTCTACAAAACAATGATTCTTATAACTTTTACAGCAGATTCAAAAATGGCAAAGATTTAGTTAAAACTGGCCTCACTGGTACTAACGTTATGGATCTACATTTTATATATATTGCTAAAAGAGATTGTGAGTGCACAGTAGACTTGAAGTCAATATTTAAATGCCCAGATCCTTTCGAGGATCACAATTTAAAAACAGACCTTTCGATGCTCCAAAAAGTGGAAGAAAAAGTGCCACCGAAGGGGAACTCAGAGGACTTACTAAATATCAAAATTCTAGATAAGAATTTAACACATTCTTGTTGCACGAAGCAAAAGAAATCTTAAATTTCTTAAAAGCGATAGATTCTTTATAGTGATTTCATATTTTTGTACATATGTACAGTATTTACTTAAGAGCACAACTTATACCGATTAATCCAATAAAAGGATACCATTTTGGTTAATCCACCTAATCATTTTATTAGACTTAGATATGATTAATGACAGTATAGAATAACAATTCCAATATAAAATCTACGCGGAATGTCGTCGCGTTATGTTATGCAAATATCCTTCAGAGACCGATTTATTGTTAATCCCTCAAGTACCGGAACCTCTGTGCCGCGTCGCTTTACACCGGCCCGAACGGTCTGGGAGACAAAATACACAACTTCATTGCACATAACTATAGAACAAATAACAAGAGAAACGTGTTGTACATATGGTAGTGTAGTGTATATATTTAAGATTAAGGATAAGTTATTACTATTGTCATACCGATAAAACTTCTGGGCCGATGAGACAAAAGTTCAACGACGTATATTTACGGCACTGATACTTGAGGGATTAAGAAACAATATTTTTAATTAATTAGCCATCTTCAATTCAATTATTAGATTCCGAAATGTTTCAATTTGCACAATGCTAATCTGAAAGAAACCAATTCCAATTCTGAAGAATACCATAAAACGTAACGACGCGCCCTGTATATTGTTCAGAGAAAAAACAAATGCGTCTAAGCTAAATTTTCTAATTACGTATATACACAAGTATCATGAGAGATTACACAATAGATCAAATATCTTTTACAGAATTCTCCGCATTCATAAAAGATAAATAATATATTTCAGTGAAAAATAGGAATCTTCCATTAAAGAAATAAATAAAATCTATATAAATAATAGGTTGAAGACATTGAAAACTGCTAAGATACTATTTCATTAATTGCAGCATTAACGCTCTCAGAGTACAAACATCCTAGAAACACTTCTAAGACTATCCAGACGTTCCATAGACGTTCTACAAATATCCCATGAATGTTATGCATTCTAATACGAACATAATTTAATTAGAGCTGTCCGTCCTTATAAATCATCACTGAGCCATCAACTAGGTGTATACGTATTCATGTTGCTCATGGAACGAATGACGGAGGGACGGAACCGATGACGGAAGGTTTTTACTTTGTCCACGTTACTTTTGAAAATCCTTTGTACATTGGAGCTGAGATAATACTTATTTTCTGTTGCCACCTGGACGAGAATAATTTATAAATCCCAACTAAATAAATGATGTTTAACAAGCATATCGCGCACTCCGTCCTTCAGTGGCTGTGACTGTTCCTTTTTCGGTGGCAGTTCCCAATCAGGATTCAAGTTAAAGGCAAATTGACTGAGGATACGTAGCTCACATTTTATTTGCACCCATCCTGGACTATTTACAAAGCTCCAAGGTTGATACCTATTCACAGAAACAATTGTTTATCGTTCTTCTGTTACAAACATTACCATAAAGTTGACTGGGAATACTTACCACTTTTGTACCACTTCAACGCAGGAACATAGAACTTCCAGCCAGAGGTGAAGGACTTGTTCGTTAAGTCCAAGGCAAATTAGAGAACGTAATTTTACATCCATCTGAGCATGGGCATTGTCATGTGTCAAATTGACAGATTGGACGCAACGATAGAGTAACTAAAATGCCATAAGATTAAAGAGTCATGAGGATAGGGTTCACGGTTACCAATTGATACTACGTGTCAAATCTACCTCTTCAGGCGTCAGGACTTTCCCATCTTCATCCAGTCTATAAGTTTTACAGAGGACTAGTCGACTGTAGACAGAATTAAAATCCTTCTCGACCTCCCTGTTTGAAGCTTCCTCGATGAACAGCCAAGGATGACAAGGACCTCCCAGAAAGGAGGGTCTTTTCATACCATGCTCCAGGACTGCTTTCACAGCTGGACACAAACTACCTCTGACTAAATCCGTCACAGCTTCACTGACCGCGTCGTCACCGGCGCAGGTGTACTGCTTGCTTCTCTCGTCAAGCAATTCTACGAACTTTGCCGGGAACCAACCTGCAATTTTTAGAATTTATAATAAAGGATTTTTGATTTGGTTCAATATACTAACCTCGCAATCCATTTAATTCGCCAACCCAGCAATGTTCATCTTTCTGACTGACTATTGTAATAATGTCATTTTTCCGGAAACCCAATTCATCGTCGTCATGCCTTTCAAAGTCTGTGAAAAATATTCTCTCCTTAAATATCGCTAACTAATGTCAATAGCCCATATTCAGAACTCGCTCTTAAAGTCACTAATAGAGTCGCTTTTAGTTAAAAGTCACTAACAAATAATTTAAAAGCGGGCTATTAGCACTAAAAGCGAGTTTTGAATACGGGCTAATATCTCTAAAGTACTGATCGCTTTTTTATTACCCAACAAAGCTTTGGCACGTCTCTTTCGTGTGCGAGAAACGTTAATATAATTGTCATGATCTTTTGCATGACTTTCCATATTGTAGTCAGCAACTAGAGTGATACTGTTCAATTTAGGATCAACGTTAATGAAATGTCTTGCCACTTGGAGCACTGCCTCCCTGAGATCCACCAATATTTCTAAAAGTAATGACAAATACATTTAATTACTGATCGTCATAAGTTAATCACTCTTATCATAAATTATATGACGACCGTCATACCTGTTTGACGAATATTTTTTGATTTAGCATCGTCCTCGCTGGTGTCGTCGCCAAACAAAAATGTTTGCAGCACAGACTTGTTCCGTTTAACTTGTCGTCTGCGAATAACCAATATACATCAAGTAAATTTGGTAATTAGTTTTCTCTCAATAATTCTACAATATACCTGTTTAAGTGTTGTTTAGGCAAATTAGGTGTGGCGTCAGGATTCCCAACTAGGGCACCCTGATCAGTCATCAAATAGGCCAAGTGTCTTCTTCTGTGGGTCTCAACCAAGACGTCAGTCAAGGACCCGCTAAGTTCCAGAGACACCTAAAATATTTAATTGGTATTGTATAATTAGTACACAAGTCATTTGTACAATACAATTTGACGGACTTCGAGTAACTGATCTACGTCATCGATATCACCAGGAATGTCCGATAACGCGTTGAATATTTGTGCTGAATTTTCAAGTTGCTTTAGTTCCGTCTCTGCAACAGTTTTGAATGATTCTTACATCATTCTTAAATATAATTATAGTACTAGAAGAGATTGGATTGTTCTACCTTTGATTTTTAACATTCCAAGGGTAATCTGGAACAGAACTATGGACCCGTCAAAGAGAAATAAATCCCAGATCCTCAAAAGGATCTTCATGTGTACCACTGAAGCGAACAGTGTCAAGAACCAGTGTAACGAGATAAGGCTCAATTCTATGTCATGCTGGACAAGGACGTGGTCGATGTCTGGTAAGTAATTTGCTATCAGAGTCCTGAGAACTTTCTGATCCGCTTGTATACCTAAAGACGTATATACAAATGAAGAATATTGAATAAGAAGAAACTTCAGGAACATTACCTAGAAGCGTGGAGGAGTAATAAGATGCTGGTAGCAAGTCTTCGACGATGGTAGCCATCATCCAGAATGCATCCTCTTCTTCAAGTAGGAGTAGTAACGAAGCTGCCATAGTTCCAGTGCCTTGACAGTATCTGGAATGTTCATACTGTTTGTAGAGCATTCTTTGGCAATTATGGACCATTCTTACCCTATGTCAGGATACAGCCAAGCAAGCCCACGCATTACTCTACGTAGCCTTGGTATTCCAGTACTACTTAGATGACTGAAACAGGCGTTCGCTGGCATGGTACGTAACAGGTCTTTCTCGATTTGTTTGCTGGTCATCAAGGCGTCATTGCTGGATGCTTTTACTATGTCCTTGTAGCTTATTTCAGATGCCAAATTCTTCTGGAGGGCTCCTGCAGTTTATAATTTGATAATTGATGATCGTTAGAAGTTTTAATCCTATATATTGCCTGTCTACCTGACATTCGCATCCAAATTTGTGGCCTAAGAGAGTGAGGTATCCCACAACGGACCATTTCCCTCAGTTTGTCAGTTCTTGGTAAACGTTGGTCTATGTGCTGCCAGGAAAGTTCCGAGACTTCTTTATTATGGCTAAATTCAAGAAGAGCTACCCATTGTAGCCTAAAGCAATAAAGAGTTTAGAATAAAAAATTTTTCATACAGTGTAGGAAGATAAATTGAAGAGAACAAACCTGTGTTGAGGATCTTCAACAAATGGAATACCTAGTAACTTTTTTGAACTCTGCTCAGGACCATCTTCCTCCTCTACTCGAAAACCAAATTCATCGAATCTTAAAAGTAAATATTCTATTTAATAATTTTATGCTTGCATTAGATAAACAACAGCTACCACATGATAATGATATTCTCATTCTACCGATATTCAGGCTGAGAATTAGGATCATCAGGCTGATTAAGCTTTGCCAATATATCCTGTGGCCACATTGATGGTGTAAGAGCTGAAAATGGCCCTCCAGGTGCTGGAGATAAGCCTTCTCCATCGAGGCCAGTTCCATCTAGTTCATATTCATCGTCAGATATAGCAGTTTCCAACTTTTTCTAAAATAAAAATGGAAAATGACCATCATATTGTGAACAAAGTATTAATATACGGTTGTGAATTATTAATCAAATTTCTCACGTTGTGATCCTCTTTTCCCACATAACCTTCATGATCACGCACATTAAAGAGAGACTTAGCAATATCCATTATGTTCTTTTTCTCAAAAAAAAAAGTAAAAAGAAATCTTGAATTCTGAGAGCAAAAAAATCAATGAGAAAAAGCTACCAATAGAACGAACGTGTTTGATTATTCCAAATAAACGTCATCTGTCAAAATTTCATATTTCTGACAGATAAACTGAAATTATAGTAATAGAAAATTTTCGCGTCTTCTGGTAAAACGTCAATTGCTCCAATTTCCAGTTCCAGACCAGTTTCAGCCATTCATTCAGAGATGGCACCACATCCGGATGAACTCTTTTACATTCTCTCGAGACTGTATCCTTTGAAATCTTTCAGTTGGATGTATGTACATACCCGTACATACATATCCACCAAGTGAAGTTTAAAATTTTGGATTATTTTCATAATGGACCTTTCTAGAATGTAATATCAACAAAGTCCTATCTGTTTCCCTTTATACTATATCCATTTTGAATGAGTATATTGGAATGCGGCATCAATAAAAAATAAAGCTTCAAATGAAATCACATCATAATGATAAAAAATTTATAAGAATATATACATATATGTATATTTTTTGCTAAGGAATACTTTGGAGACGATTTCATTTACGAAGTCGCTTATTTGAGAACAAGTAGCTGTTTTGGGTACCGACCTCAAAGATTTTCCAGCGTAATGACTGTTTTGAGGACCATAAAGCGGACTAACACACCGAATTTGTTTATATTTTTTCAATGTTAGACATCCAGTATTTGTTAGGTTAGGTTGGTTATGTAAGGAAAGAATTCCAATGCTGTCATATCCTAAGTTAGTCGTTTTTTTAAAAATTATCTTGCTATTGTAAACGCCCCTTGATTTTTCGTGTCTCCAAAGTATTCCTTAGCCAAACGTATATATACATATATATCATTCTTTTGCTAACTTTATTAAATACATGAACATTACTACATATAAGATTACAGACACATAAGTGACATGAATTGGGACTCAATTAATATACATATATTTGAATTTTCATATAATTTACAGCTACATTGAAACTTCATTCAAACGTTACATTATCTTTACAATTATCATTCTCTTGATAGTCTGATGCTCATGAAGTCCAAGCTTATAAATCCTCATCGTTACTCCACATTCTTCATCCATTTTTTGGTTCACTTGGTCAACTTTTGGCAGTCCAGGATTCTCTGTGCTTCCATCTGAACATTCAGAACAACAGTATAATCCCAACAGTTGATAATCAATATATGAATGACTGTGTACAAAGGCCATAATTAGCAGATACTATATATATTATGTATATATAATAGAAATTATAGTATAAATACCTGTATAAGATTGTACAGTCCCAGTAGCTGCTCCAAGGATGGTCTACCCTGGCTAGAACACGAGGAGCTGCTACCTCCAGTTGGTAACAGTTGACTCCGTTTACCCCATCCGGTGGAAAAGTTTAACTGAGCTTCCGCGCTCCACGCGAGGATCATGAAGATCATCGCCAAGACGATGAAAATTGTTGTATGAATTTTAGGACACCTGTAAATTATAAGTTTCGGTTTTATGTAATTTTATTTTAATTATTATTGTGATGGCACTAGGAACGTTCACTCGACAATATTAATTTAAATGTGTTGACACTTTATAGAAAATGAAAGCAATGCCGTGTTAATGTTATTATTAGTTAATGATAACTCACATGATTTTAATAATCAGGATAACTCGTTGAATTCAAAAGAACTAGGACAGAGAGAATAAGAAGTAATTCTGATAACTTCTCGATGCTGCTCGAGAATTATGTTTGACTGAAAGTATCGTGTCCCGGGGGGATTATATACTCAGGGTAGGTGCAACCCCCACTTCGTATCACTGAGAAACCCTCTGCTGAGCTCAATGAAAAAAACCCCACTCCTCGACAAGTAGAGTAATAGAATAAATCCACCCTAGAGAGGTAGGGAGGTTGTCACTTATTAGAGTATATGCAGAGGTATAACAGTAATATTTCTTCTTATTTTTCTATACAATTAATTTTTGTAGAACATCATCGAGAATCCTGGACCTACTTATTTCCTAATCTCATAGCCAATAATGTTACATCGATGGACATGTAACAAATATTATTATTGAGAATATTGTTTTACTTCTCCAAGTAATTTTATAGATCAGAATTATTTAGAGTATCTATTAAAAGAGGAAAACGGATACTATGCTAGCGTTTAAATATATAAATAAGAAAAATAAATTAAAATATAACAAATATTAAAAAGAAAGATGAAAAACCTGACTCACGAAGAAGACGGAGAACGTTTAAGTGTAGAAATTTCTCTCTTATTTTTCTGGGGAGGTTCAGAAAGGGACAAAAAAGGGACAACTGCGCCTGAACGAAATAACGGACTGTAGAATTAAAAGAAAATGAGAAAAAGAGAAACCTTCCGATCCAACTCCCTTCCGCCATTCGGAAGTAAATTCTTGCTCTTATTATAATATTTAATATATAAAATTGTTATGATTCCAGAAAACTCCTTGGTATACTTGATGACGCAGTTATTTATAAAGATGTTATTCTATGTGATCCAGCTAATCCAGTATCAAAGTATAGACGGATCATAATCAATCCTCCTGATGGATGAGGATTCCTTGAAGAGGATATTTCTCCAAACCTTTTGATGAAAACAACAAAGTCCTGGTTTTCTGGGTAAAGCAATGCATTACATAGTACAGTATATAGTATATACTATAGTTTTTCAATATCAATTTTACTCTGCATTCTTATTGAATGCAGTTTCTAAATTGTAGTTCATTTATATTAGTGCATAACAGCATATACGCAGTTAGCGTATGGACTTAATAAAGATATTAACATTATCCTAAAAATCACGGTTATAAATCAACTCGGAATATTATGGTTCCTAAGAATAAGAGAAAGATCATAAGAAAGAGCATGACGATATTTCACAAGGCCTTAGTAGACTAACTATTATATGGATTTTGTTAAGGACTATGCACGTACGCATATGACTTATCTGGGGCTTCGTTTTGTAATTCAAAAAACAGCGGGACATGAAGCCCTTAAATTTCTTTGTACAGGACAATTAGCAAGTTCGCTCATTAAGATTGACACACACTTAATTAGATCCTATATAAATAATACTGTAGATGGATAAATTAAGTGACGGAATTGTTGTCAGTCCATGAGCTAGATTGTTAATTGTTTTACGACTTTCAAATTAGCAGTATTAAACGTGGGTTTTTTTATTGTCGCTGTTGCGTTCCATGGATTCTTTTACTTTGCTGTTGTTTTTAAGACAGTGCCTATACATATAACGATTTCTTAGTTTTTTATCCAAAAGCTTCCTTTGCTTTCTTTTATTCTTCTTCTTGCTGTTTGAATATTGTGCTTTTCTTACTTCTGCCTTCTCGGAGTAAAATCCAAGTACCGGAAACATCACATTGCGATACTTTGTTATAATGATTCTCTAGTCAGAATAAAAATACGAAAATTGAAAATCTTGGCAAGACGCATTTCAGATTTCTCGGAATGTTTATACGATATTGATTCTATGCATTTAATATTTTTTACTTAGATGATTAGATGGTTTAATTGCAATAATTACTAGTGTGTGTATATAATATAAGAATGGGGGGGCGTTAGAGTTTTTATTTTTTCTCAATGAAAACGGTGCTCATGCGTTAATATCAGTTTATTTTTTTTAGAATATCTGTCATGTTTTAGAAAAATTGTGACAATACGGGTAATCTTGTAAAAAATAAGACGTATCACGTGTTACTCATTTGCAGGCGCATTTATTTATAAGGGTTTTAATAAATAACGTACGGAGGACTTTGCCATTCTGTTTTTTTATTATAAGATACATTTTGTGCATAGATTGACCATTCAGACGATTTGAATGAACATTAGCGACAGTAAAAATAATATTATTACACAATCCTTAGAAAATTATCCGTTAGTTCCTAACGAGGCCATATTGCTTATTTTAATTAATTAAGAGAAATATCAATTGCCGAATAATTAATTATATTATGATGTTAAAGATGTAGCCTTAGGTTGCAAATACTCAAACCCCGAGTATTCAGCCAATATATATTTACTCATTAACATGGCCGGAAATTGATGATATTCTGAACGTCAGAATAGTTTCAATAGTATTTTCAAATGCGATTATTTAAAACTAACAAATAACGAAAAAACTTTTATTTCACATGGTCTAAATTAAGGGAGCCTTCCCAGATCGATCGTACAAGTCGTACGGCTAAAAATTCAGAACCGTGATTGGTAAAAACTTCTCAATAAAATATTTAGAGTATTTCGGAATCTGATTTTACGAGTTTTCCAACTAGTATAATTTTTAGTAAAATATATTCTTCATTAATTATGGCGATATAATCTAGCAAAGTAATATCATGGGTCTATAATAATGCCAAGAGTGGAAGATGGTTTTCTAGCCGTCTGCTAGTTTTCCTATACTTAAAAAATTTTCAGTTTCCGGACGATAAAAACTTTTGCAGGAGCGTCAGATTTCCCTTTCACTTGAAGATTCACCACTAATTTCTTTGGTATACACTCACTCGTTTTGCAAACTACTAAATCCAAAGTAATAAACAATGTTTGTGCCTCTACTTTCTGATAAATGTTTGGTACATCGACAGATATTGGAGTATTCAGATCACCTATTAGTTTCTGGGCATTCCAGCCATCAGGCAAAACAATGGACCATTTTTGTGGAGCTTCAGTATTGATTTTTAAACCGGAAGTAAATTCAAAATCAAATGTAATCACTAACTTACCACCGGCCTCATTTATCTCCGAGGAAAAACGCTCGGTGGAGTCTGCATCGGTTTGCTTTACTTTTGGTAATTCAACAGGAATCTAAAAAAATTGATTTTGCTATGAAGTAATCAAAATTCAATTGGACAAACTCATCCATACTTACAGTATGAATATAACCAGTCTCAAAATTGATACTCTTGATAGAATGGTTATTTGTATCAGCAACATAGAGTTGGGTCCCATTAAGGCTCACAGCTAATCCACTGGGTTCATTGAAAGCTGTGGATTTATCACAACCATAAACAGTCGTACAGGTTCCTGTAGAAGGATCGAATTTCTTAATCTTGTGATTATAAGTATCAGCCAGCCAGACAATCTTCTTTTCCTTATCCCATGCTACGCCTAGAGGATGTTGCAATTTGACCTCGTATTGTTTCCCATCTACATCGCCAAAACAATGTAGGTTCTAGAGAAGATAAACATGATTTTGATTAAATAGGTTCATTAGATTTTGCGGTGGGATAAGTTTATACTTGCAGAAGGATTTCTATCTGCTCCGCAGGCAGCAGATACTTTTCCATTTGACAGAGCAACCTTTCGAAGGGCACTACTTTCGCTGTCAGCAAAATAGAGTTCATCGAACTCCTCTGCTATGGTTAGTCCTGACGGTTGAGCCAAACTAGCAGCATGAGCGTAGCAATTATTTCTGTTTTCTTCTTTACCTTTACCTACAATTGATGCGCAAGTTTTGCTGTTGTACAGTCTGAAAATTTAAATATATGTTTATAATGATTATTTTCTATAAATTAATAACTTCCTTTGATACTCTAACTAACAAGTTGTTAAACCGTATGGAAGATAATTACTTGGTCCACCATGTACTGTCATTTAAAAAGTATCCCCAAATTTGATGAGTTCCTGCATTAGCTATGAAGATGATTGATTTATATTTTACTACATCCCAGGGTGAAGACAAAGGTTGGTCTTGACCTAATTTTCCACCAGAATAATCATGGCCTTGTACACCTGTTCCTGCTAGAGTGGATACACATTTTCTTACCAGATCGATCTGCATTAAAGCAGAAAGAATTAAAGAACTGGAATATCAAAAACTTTCATCTAGTATGAAGACGCCATAACTTAATAGTAATACCTGTCTAATAGCATGATTCTCTGTGTCTGCCACATAGATTATATCATCTTCACCAAATACACCCTGGGGTGCATTAAATCTAGCAATATGAAATATCCCATCCTTGAAACCTGGTGAGCATCCACCGATAATATGTTCCACTTTTCCTTGTGAATTCATAACTAAAATCCTATTATTGCCAGTATCGGATACTGCTAATTTCTCATCACCTTTACTACTATAAAATGCATGTACCTTCCCAGGGAACAGCAATGTGCTCCTGGATGCAGGTAAAAGATGCTGCGCAGGTTTCAAAGGAATAGAATGTCCAGATAATTGATTGAGAGATTTAAAATATGCCAAGGCAACTTTCACATAGAGAAATAATTCTTCCCTGTGTCCCTCGCCAATAAGAACAACCAATGGTTGTCCTTTTGGACCAAGGAGAACCAAACTTGGCCAACACACTATGCCGATATCATTCCACATTGAATGTTTAGCATCGTTCACAACAGGATGAGATATATTATATCTCTGTACAGCAGAGAGAATCTTTGCTGAATCTTTCTCATTACTGAACTTGGCACTATGTACCCCTACCTGTAAGAAATATATATATGATAATAGGATTAATTTATAGAAATTAGTAATACATAGAATGGTAAGTTTATTACTGACCACAACCAACCCATTGCTGACAGTATATTTTTTCTCTAGTGCATCTAAGTCTGGTAATATATGCATGCAATTGATGCAACAATAAGTGAAGAAATCTAAGACGATTAATTTTCCAGATAAATGCTTTTGGAAGGACAATCCCTCCGATACATTGAACCATTCCAAACCTGAAGACAATAAATAAAAATAAAAATACTACTTACTGTAAATTCTGTTCTTAAAACTGAAGCAATCAATTTGAATAAAGAATACAGTCTTTTACATTTCTATGGATGACAGCTCATCACATTGAAATAACTAAAATAACTAATACAGGAAGAGCGTGTAACCTTTTTGAAAATCATTGATGGATAAATTACTGTCAGCATATGCTTTTATATGTTTCAAAATAATCTTTTCACGTTCTTGTTGATCCTTAACAGAGTCTAAAGTCTGACGAATCTCAATGCAAGCTTGAGTGAGATTCTGCACAGTATTCTGAACACTCATCTTTTTATTCTCCTGGCCACACATAACGTGAAACTCTCAGTAATGCGAATGATGCTACGGAAATAGACAGTAAACGTCATCCTGAGTGATATTGCCGGATTCAGGAGTAGGCAACCATTGAATATAATCTAGGCTGCATTTACATAGTATCAAACAGTAGCGTTCACTCCAGTTTACTCTAAGCTTGTGACAGGAGGGTTAACCTCGAAATATTTTTATTACACCTTCACAAAAGTTGAATTAGACAATCAGTAAAACACTATGGAAGCTCAAGCGGTTAATACAAGAAGACTGGTATTAAATTATGCTGTTTCAAGTATCCTGATGGAGTGTGGATTTGAATCGTGTGAGAAACAAGCATTAGAAACATTAACAGAAATGATACAGTCCTGTAAGTCTTGTCAATCTGAATCTCAACAATATTTTCCAGCTAAACTAATTCGGAGTAATATTCTGAATGTAAATATAATAATACTATGATAAGGATATTGCTTTTGACAGTTTCATTTGAATTACAGTCATCGTAGAGGTTGGTGAATCCTCTAGGAATTACTGCGAGCTTGCTAGCAGGACGGAGCCCCTCATTGCTGATGTAATTCTTGCTCTTATTAATATGGGAATACGTGTAGATGGGATAGATACATATGGAAAAAGGTCCAGTAGAACAGTACTACCATCGCTTCAACAGCAAACTCAATCAAAGCAGCTGAACATGTTACAAGCTGGTGTTAAGCTAGGACACCCTTCACATATACCAAATCATTTACCAGCTTTTCCAGATCCTCATGCATATATAAGGACACCAGTGAGTTTATTTACACTTGTATCATGTTATCAGGTCTAAATCTATAATATTTTTTTCACTTTAGACTCACAAGCAACCTGTGACGGAATATGAAGCAATACGTGAGAAAGCTGCTTCTCAAAAACGTGACATTGAAAGAGCATTAACAAGATTTATTGCTAAGACTGGAGAAACGCACAGTCTCTTTCTTACTGAGGATAACAGCATGTTTCCTTGTATGTTTTATTTCATTTGATTAAAATATTCTACTCTGCTGTTAAAATTAATATAATACCACATTTGATTATCTAGTGATAGCTTGCGAACCACAGTTTCCCAGCTATCTTTCAGCATTATTGCCACAAGATCAGGTCTTTGAGCCAGATCAAGAGTTTCAATTTGAACCAAGCCCTGTAAAGAAAAAGAAGGAGCCTAAGGTTGAAGATACGGAAGAAGGTACAAAATTACTCTTGCTGTTTTCAAAACAATTTCAACATTGCTCTTCAAATTACAACCTGATTTTCATTTTTAGCTATAAAAATGCAAAATGTCGAAGAAGCTGAACAAAACGGAGAGACAGGTGCTCAACAAGACGCTATTGATAATCCATACCTACGACCTGGTAAAATTCCAAAAAATAAAATGCCTGGAGCCACCGTAGGAACACAGCCAACAAGAAGAGACGCTCTAGACTGCCAGCTGTAAACAGAATTATTAAAATAATACTTTAAATCGAAAAAATTTCTCGATTGTAAATATATATATAGCTACAATGATTTTTTTAAATAATGACACAAGAAAAGTAAAAACGACAAGTGAATAATTTCAAAATTATTTTATTACGATACACTGAATCTATCGTATAGTTACATTATAACTAATTATAATGCCGTGGCGATCAGTAATAAATATATAAACGACAAAATTAAGAACATTCCAATAGTAGCAGCGGGAGGGTAGATGATATAATTCACGTGTAAATAAGATCAAAGAAAAAACGCACTGTAATCTTTACAGTTGCTAAAAAAGGATGTACAGACAATAACAATAATACGTAGGGTGGATGCACGCCCTTATAAAAAAGAATTAACAACAAAATTCGATATATTTATATATTGCACGATTCTAGCACCACTTGGAAGAAACTCCAGCCGCATCACGTCGTCCACAGGAGTACAACTGAACTATGACAGGCTCTTCCCGAGGAAGCCAAATGTGGATATTGTACGAAATATTAGAAAAATACGGGAGCCTATTCCTACCTTAGAAGGTCAAGATTTAAAGGGCTCGGTTCTTTAATTGTAGAGTAAAAAAAGGAAAGGCTCATCGGTCCTGGTCGAGGGAAATGAGCTATTTTTTTTTCTTTTGCCCGCATTAAAAAAATATACTACTGAATATCTAAAGTTAGCCTAATTACGTGTACAATTGACAATACTTTATGTTGTCGCACCCAAACGTTGTACTTGTTGGTTGTTCGATGTACTTCCAGGGTGTAGCGGGTACAGCACAATTCGAGGAGACGCACTGAAGAATTAGTTATGCTAATATAAATATTATTAATGCTTTAGCAAGTATTAGTATTGGAGTCTTCAAAAAAGATATTAACTGTACCTCGAATTGACCTGTGACCTCCTTTTAGGCAAGTAAAGAGAATATTTTAATAATAATACAAAGTGTAACAAGGATACTACTAGGATTTTCTTTTACTATTAGACTGTTACCCTGCTTCTTCTTTTAGTCTCTCGTACCATCCCCTAGTCCTTTGTTATACCTCTAGTCAATAATAGCTATAGGGATCCCCTAGTACTGGTACCAGGGCTGACGACGAACCCAACGCAATTTCATGCCGGATGCTGTTCTGATCTTGATACTTGCACACTCTGCAGCACGTACAGTTTCTTTGACGCTCTGCATGAGATTCTGTGCATTTCCTACTAGCATGTCTGTAGCCTCTTGATCCTCTTCGGTGCCTGTAGTTTATGAGGAAAAATAAATTAATATTACTGTCACATTCTAAAGTAAATTCACCAGGAGTTGGTACTGGGTATTATTCAGGTGTTTAGGAAGGGCCATGCACACTGATAATTAAAGAAACTCAATAAATCATAGGTAATGTCAACAGGGTCAATCTTGTTTTGCGCCAAGATTTTCAAGGATGTTGCTTCCTTCTCATTTCAATATCCTGATTGGAAACTGTTAAGGGTTGCTAACTGGCAATTTTTGTATTTGGACAGCGAGACACATACAAACTCTTTGTGTAGAATTATTCAGGTGTAACAAAGAGGATTGTCTGATGTCTAAATCTATGCTAAAGGTTGAGTCGAGTGAGAGATTTTTCAGCCAAACTTACTGCGACCAATCAACTCGTCTGCGCCAGTAAAAGTGAGAGTTCCCGACAGCGCCGTTATAAAAGATTCGAGTAACAATAAATCAGAAATGGATTAATCCCGATGAAGCTCAGAAAATTATTGTACGTAGCATCTACGGTGCTTTGTACATGTACCAGTAATTATATGATTGGTTGAGCCTCCATGATTGCTATGAATGCTTATAAATATACAGTTTTCTATATATTCTTGTACAAGATAATTGCTTTGTGCACATGTGAAACAGTGCAATGCTTAAGGAATGATTTAGGGGATGGTCTGTGGTAAAATAAAATTTCTCATGGTCACAATGAAGAAGCATGCTGTTATATAAGGCTAACATAAGATTGAAGACAAAATAAAAACAGCAAGCATGGTTTTATGTACAGCATCGTTTTACCATATAGCATCAATTCTTCCCAGCTGGGGAGCATCTCTATGCAAAGAAAGTTAATTTTTGGTTAATTCGGAATATCAATGGTTGTTAGCATGTCTGTTTCTTTCATTTCCTTCTTTTTTTTTACAAAATTATAGCAGAAATGCTTTTCTTTGTTAACGAGCAAAAGCTTCTTCTATGAAAGCATTGATAGTATGCACGATCTCAAGTTCAGATCTGATGAACATTACTCTATCCAACACTCTTATAATTTAGTTAATGAATCAATACGAATGATCTCTAAGTATATCTAGATCTTCAATAAATTATTTCAGCAATGTACAGTCTTAAGAGTATCATGAGAGAAGAACGTACCTTGTGCACCAAGCATAGTAGCCTTCACCGTAGAGAGAATCTTCAGCTGTGTTCCAATAGTTGGTATGCGTTCGCATACTTGCAGTAAATTCTATGTACAAAGAAAAATAATGATGTGATACAGCGACAAATTAGGTTTAAAGAAGACATTAATCAATCATTAATAAAGTATATAATCACCGTGCGGATTCGCTTGTCGGTGCATTCTCTGGCGAGTTCCTTGGCAAGACGTGTCACCTCCTGGGAAGCTTCGGCGATGGCCTTGGCACAGGCAATCAAGTCTCTTTTGTTTCCACCTTCCCCACGAACTAAACCTGACAGTCTACCCATAAGTACAGCCATCTTTTTGGCCGCAGCGATGATTTCATTGTCCTTGCTCGACCACTGGCGCACCTCCTGGTGGAGACCGTGAGCTGCCATCTATAGGAACAAGGTTCTCATGAAATTTCTTATTCCAATATACTCCAAATATTATATTCCTGCTTTGCCTCTTACCATTATAGGATGATTTGGCTGCGGAGCATGCATGAACATCTCGTCCTCATCGTCTGTTTCTGGAGGAGGTGGTCTAGGTGGTGGAACCTCTCCTCCTGGTAGAGGTGGACGTGGTGGAGCCATATCTGCTTTGCCCAAGATAACAAAATGATATTAATATCAGTTACAGGTAATTATAATTTCACTGCCATAGGCTGACACAAAGTTTATTCATTCTCGTCGATGAATGTCACTTGGATTTATGATTTCATGACTGAGAGACACCACAAAACATACACCATAATCATTAACTGTCTAAACCTAAACGAAAATTAAATAATCTCGTTATTAAAATCCTGATTTCATTTCTGCAGTGTCTGACATTCATGAGCACCCTTACCCTCATCATCTTCCTCATAGTATCGACAATATCCTGAAGGACGTACAAGAGGCAAGCATAACAGAGAGATATCATATATGTAATCGATTAATTATATCATATAAACAATAGCATGCAGCAGTCCAATGCAAGTATTAATACAAACAATTTGTTAGGATACCTGTTCTTTACTGAACAAACATCAATTATCTTGGATGAACAATATTAAAAAACAAAATATTCAACGCAGAAGTAAAAATAAGTATAAATGGTAATTCTAAATTTTTTCCCATAAACTTTGGTCTATGAATATTCTTTAAGGATCATCATCCCTTTGTAAAGGTTTAATGACTTCTTCCACCTTGTCAGTGCTTCGGGCCAGTCAATCATCACTACCACTTTCCCTGAATCGTGTCAACATTTAATATCGAATCTGTACTGATATTCTCATCCCTATGAGAAACATGCTCCAGTCTGTTAGTAATGCGACAAGCCAATTCGTACTCGTATACTGTGTGTCATATGGCATAACAGGGCATTCATTTATACATCCGCAATCTTATTCACTGATGAGAGCTTAAAAAGCTCTGTTGTTATTACCTAGAGCCGATCGCTCGAGCTCGTCCTCTGAAGCCAGTTCCTGGTATAGCAGGTCAGGATTATCTCCTGACAATCAAATACCCAGTTAATAGGTATATAGATTTAGCAGAGATATGAGTATATGTATGCAGAATAAAAATAATATAAACAAATTAATTGAGATACGTAAGAATACTATTTGGCATTTAAGAATGAAAGAACAAAATAAACGAATGAAAAGTCTCTATGCTAAAGACCGGCATCTTTGTTGTACAATGACTTTATTTTTGTTTAAAAATTCTAAATTCTAGATCTGTGTGGCTTCTTGAATTTCTTTATTTTATTTTTTTTTTTTCTTAATTGCTGGGCTTTGTTTAATACCTCCACGTGCCCATTTTGGCAATGGACTGATGGAACGAATCTGCGATTTATTGCTGCCCAGGGTTGGGCTTGTCACGCGTAAATTGCTGGGTGATGGTTGATTCCTTAATGGTTCTCCCACTGGGAAATCGGTTTCAAGAATGATACACATGTTTCTTTTTCTTTTTATGCAATTACCTAACGTCTACGTGAGTATTGTCAGTAGTAGACACGAGATTAAAAGAATCATAGTAAAACAATCTCATGAAAAAAAAAATGAAAAAAAGAGAAACCTTTCAAAAGAAGAATTATTATCAGGTGCATTATGATCAATGTTGATTTAGAATGAAACTTCTCTACGAAAGATCAAGAGGAGATTAAACTCATTAGATAATATAAAAGACAATCATGCATATTTCGAGATACTTTCTTTTCCTTCATTCTAATCGAGATACCTTTGTCTGTGAAGTAACTGTATCGCTGGCTTGGCATTTGTTCCTCTGCAAAAAATACAACAAGCGATCCATCTGTTTAGCTAGAATGATTGGTCATTGACTTTCATTCTATAATTTTCTTTGACACTTTAAAATCTCTCCTTCCGTTATTAGAATTTGTCTTCGTCCCTTTCCACAATATTCAGACAAAAATACATAACGTTATTATCAAATTGTTACCATTAGTGGCCTAAGCAAATTATATACAGCAGTTCTACTGATTCTCTCAAATTGCTTTCTTATTACAGTACCCAATTTTCACTATCACCGCTTACCAAACTGTGGATTAACGTTAAGCAGACTTAACCAGAAACCCTCAGAGATCGTAGATTCTTAACATAGTAAGATAATTCATAATTGACTCACCGTCATTCACACGCAATTGCGAGAGATCCGGTGTTGGTGGTAGATCCGGATGAACTGTCACTGCTTTCCGTACTTGGCCAACACTGTTTAGCAGCTACGCAAGACAAAGATAAAAGAAAAAAAGTATAAGATTACCGATCACTTGATAGTTGACAAAATATTAAATATTTATTATGTTTCAAATTCTATTGAAAATTACTTACAGCGCGATTGCTCTCGCGCCAACGAGAAACTGCAGGAGAATCATTTGTATTGATGGCTACGGCTTTAGCATCCTGAACCATTGGTGCCACACCTGAATCATACAAAAACAATTCCTTCATATAACTTTGATAGATCAATTAATCTATTATATTAGGTAACTGTTCTCATGTACCCATCTCAGTCAGAAACTGATGCCTGAGTGCACTCAGGCGCTTGGAAACATCCTTGGATGATTTTCCTTTGGATAGATTCACGTTAGTCTGTCCCATGATCAAGATGAACAAAGACTGGACTTTCGCAATGATCTTAAAATGGGTTAGGATATCTTTAAGAACTTATTGACGAGTCGAAGAAAAAGAAGCTCCAAGCTACGCCTACGGTTTAACGAATGTCAATTGGTTGAGCAGAGTTTTTGCAGAGGAAACATTCTCGAATAGTTCTAACGTAGTGGAAATTAAATAGCAAGCCAAAAAACAGGGACAAAAATAAGAGGACTAAAGCTCAATTAAGAACTGTCTTACTATTTTTGTTGCATAGTAAAGAGAGAGTATAAATTGACACTCACAGTTTTGCAAGACATCAGCAGCATGATTCACACGCTGAATGAAAGCAGGATCTTCGCTATTGTCGCTTTCCTGCTTGGCAACCAGGATTACGCGATTAGACAACCTAGCGATGGCTGCGGTATTGTCAACCATCTTCTGAGGTTGACCCTTCGCGATAGCATCCTCGCAGAGGAAAGAGTGCTTCTGCATCTGCTCCTCCGAAGTCCTTATAAAGTCTCCGCTGTCGGTAGCTTCATCACAGAGCGCCCTGGCGCGCTGAATAGTCTCAGCGTATTGTTGTCGTAGATTTTCAAAGTGTTCGTCAGCAGCTTTGCTCGAGGGGTAGGTCATCCTGATGCGACCAGCGTTCACCAGCTGTGGAGTCAAAGACTCTACTTGATTAGCACTGGCCACCAGGGCTTCGGCTAATTTCTTGTTTCCTCCTGAGCCTGGAAGTAGACACAATTATTTTACAAAAGGTCTTACCATTATTAATCAGGTACATGGATATCTTACCTCCGGCAGCAACCATCCTGGCGGTCTTAGCAGCGCGATTGGACAAGGTCTGTAGAGCATGTGCCTTGTCGTTGAAATTCTGATCTCGTCCAGGGACACCCTCTGGAGTAAGGACGGCGTCGGTGAACTGTTTCAAGGGTGTGGAGATGTCGATGAAATCCTCTACTACACGAGATACTACAGCTTGTTGGATACGATTCTTCAACTCATAGAGCTTCTGCGAGAGCTGACGCGCTATGTCCTGTGCCCTAGGCGTATTGCCCTGACCATGGGCACAGAGATTACCCAACTGACGGGATAGGTTGTCCACCTCATCGCACAGCTGAAGAATCTCTGCCTTGTGAATTCCTGGCAAACCTTCGGCGACCTGACGTTAAACAGTACGAGAAGAAAAATTTACATATTTTTCAAAAGAAAAAAAAAACGCATTACAATACACCCTAATGATACTTACATCCTGAATGTGTTTCTGGTTCTATCCAGTCAACGAAAGCATTTCAATGAACAGTAGCTTATAAATAACCTAATGTTTAATTTAAAAGATGATCTATTCACATTGAATGATCATACATACCTTCTTTCCTTCGTGAACAATAAGAGCAATAGCTCGCTGTCCAAGTCCTTTGTCATCATGTTGAGGATTCAATAGCCACTTGTTTGCCTGTTCCAATCTACCAGAAACGGTATGAGCTGTCTGCGCGATACCTGACTTGTCGGCAGCGACCAAAGCGGAGGCGATGTTTGACCTGAGCTCATTGAGCTTCTCCTTGATTCCTCTAGCTAGGGCTTCAGCCTGTGGCGAGTTACCTATACAAGATAGACAATAATCAAAATACGGTTCTGGTAGAATATTAGAGACCAAGCATTATAAGTAAATAAATAGAGACACTAACCCCTGCCATCCTGACGCAATTCGCAGAGGGCATCGGTCATGGTTGTAATCTGAGAAGCCAATTTTGTTAAGGGTTCCGCCTGCGAGGGTGGCAGACATCGATCTGCCAACCTGGATGCCTGCTCAACAATTTGTCGAAGACTCTTTTCGCCAACGCCACCACGTAATGCGTTTCCATCGTCGAGCCAGTCTTCCGCAGCACGCAACCTGGACTCTATTGCACTCTGAGCCTTCTTCAGGACCTGAGAATTTTATTGTATTGGTACGTAGTTACAGGTAAATTTTTTAAGGATTATGGAGCCAGACGTATTTACCGTGAGCTGATCTGCATCCCATTCCTCCTCGTCGTACGTCGTAAGCTGGAGGACACGAATGATTTCATTCAGTTCATCTGACATGCGTCCTGAAAGGTAGTTTCTGTTTTCTGCAGCTTCCTCGGCACCCTTACCTCCCTGAGAGATAATGTGAATGAAGATCTTCATCGAGCATATGAGAATTGGCGCCAAGGTCTTCACCTGGAAGAAAATGAAACAGTTGGGGTCTTATAACTTGCCATAATATTTTATTCGTTGCTGTTCCATACTACTTACTTGCTCCAAACATCGTACTAGGATTTCACGATGAACCTGGTGAGTGAGTTCTTTTTCCCTGGCACTAACTTCCCTAGATACTTTACTCAGGCAAGGACTAAGATTCTTCAAGAAGTGCACCAAATCCTCCATGGTCTCGATAACCTCGGCCACAGCTAAGTAATCCAAGACTCTCTTGCACTCACGGATGATCTTCCTAACTTCACTCTCGTCAAAGCAGAGCAGCAGGGAACTCGTTCCCTGCAGGATACCTCGGGAACCTTCAATGAGTTTCTTTCTGAAAACAGATAATTCCTTTATTCAAAAACATTCATGCAAGATACGATTTATATGTTTCCATGTAATAAGTGTGCTTGACATTTTCATTATAATTACTTTATCCCTATGAATATCATGATTATGTCAGAATTCCAGGGATCCGGTTGCGGTTGCTCTCAACATCCGGACGGAATTATTACACAACTCTAATGGTTCAAGAAACGCTTATCTGCAATGTAGTAGCGTTTACCTGGCTGGTCCTGAATATGGATCCTGCTTGAGCATTCCTGAAGCTTCTTCAAGGAGTCTTGAGGCACTTTCAACCCTGTGCAAGGCGGTGGGCATATCCTGTTTAAGTAAGGCATCATCCGAGGAATTGATGGTTTCTTTGCCAACCTGCATAAAAATTAAAGGAACCGTCGTCATCATCCATTAGATTATTATCAACGACGTTGATGTTTATTGGCTCATAGCCAGTTTCTCTACGAGGGTGTACGGCTCCAAAAATAACACTATGAATCATAAAACTGTTTAAAACTATTTTATGAAACTTGGTTGGTACCTTAACAAGATTAGTGACAGCCATACTGACTGCCTGAACAGGCCTGCCCAGGTCAGGCATGGCGTTTCCATCTTCAGCTTCCTCATGAAGTATGACAAGCCTCGAGACCTGAAATATGAATAGTTCATTCATTCATAATATAAGATTATGATTACAAATCTGCGTTTACATTCGGTACACTAGGGTAATTGGAATTTAGAATTAATGGTTTTCAATCTTTTATCTCTACTGCTGTAACTCTATGGGAGTATAATTAAACATCTATAGAAAAGTAATTAAAGCATTGATGATTCTACATATGAAAAGAGTGAAGTGCTCAATTAATGTATGGCGAGTCTGACGCCAATGAAATAAAACAAGCCAATCCTTATTTGGTCAGCAGCTAAACTACATCATTTCCATAAATCGTGTGGGTACAAACGTGAAGGCCCTGTTACACGCGTTAGGGTGATGTAAGAAGAAGATATGAGAAAGGAGTTGGAGTCGGGGAATTCAGTGAGTATGAAAGAAAGAGAGAAAAGGAGAGAGAGGTAGGATTCCATAACGGAAGCTGCCTGGGGCATTGTGTAATGGAGCCTTTTGGCGTTGGCCGAGGAGGCTTTTTTATTTTCACCTTGTATATTTATAGATTTCCTTGTAAACTCTGAGCCGCGGAGTAAGCCAGAAGGTGTGGTCCATGTGGAAAACACACGACTGGGAAAATTTAGGGAGAATTTAATTTTCATATAAGATCACTTCGATATTCTCAATTTAAAAATGAAAATATTTCTCAATATATAGGATTAGTGTAGGTGGTCCATAAAAGCTACGGAACCTTTTTTGGCTAATGGAAAACTGTACTATGGGCAAAACTGAACGAGTACCAATTATTAGCTTATACAAATCTGTTTCAGGTTGCGGATCTATTATTATAATTACAGATTGCATGGGTAGCAAATAATTGTAACCTTTTTTGGTAATTGGAGAATTGTTACAATTAATGCCAAAATAGAGCTTTTGAAGAAATTCAACCATACCCGAGAGTCGAAAATGATTTGAAGTCCCCCTGATCAACAGGATGATGTCATTCTTATTTATAAATAGAAATATGACACTCGCAAGTGTCACATTGAATTACCCTGGACAGTGAAGATGATCATAGAGTAAACTAGAGTAGAGATAAATGATGAGTGACTCAATGAAGTTAACTGAATCTCATTGATGACCAATAATGCTTTTTCTTTCCTTTCTTGTGATAACGAGATGACTCGTACCTCAAGAAAAGATACAGCACGGAATACAATCACTTCAACTGTATTTTTAAATTAGTCAATTACCTAAAATTAGGAGTATTACAAAGATAAAATATAAGACATTTTTCAACTTAAAAGTAATAACATCATGCAAAAATTGAAACAGTTTGCTCCTTCGCCCCCTAAGGACAATAGATGAATAGAGAAAAATGAGAAAGATTTTTCTAATACCATAGGCACTTCAAAAAGAATAAGTAAAATATGAAAATTTGTTAAATAAATTATTTTAAAATCTGGAATTCTTATGAAAGGTCAGGACTTCATACAAAATAATTTTTGTGCAAAATTACTCATTTTTTCGAATGGAATCAACCAGATTATCCTTGATGTCTTTTCTTTAAATATTTAATCTTACCTGCTGTGCCACAGGCTCGAGGATGCTCTCTATAGTCTTCGTGTGAAAGACTGGCATTTTCTTTGTTCACAGAAAATCCTAGATAGTCACGAAATTGACAAGAAAATTATAGCCTCTGCTTGAAAGTAAAACGTCTAATATAACGAAAACACTGAACTTAAATCATAGAACAAGAAAAGCGTCCGGCCCCCACAACAGACGAAAAACAACTGTCTGCAACTGTCTAATTATGTCGAGTGCTGCTATGTGGTAAAGTTTCTGTTCCACGTGAGATCCGCTAGAGTTCGCTGAGAATCTAGAGGGACTCCAGCTATAATGAGCAAACATTTAAACAATTCCCTAAATAATTATTAAATATTATTATATTCATCTTATTGGAATTGATAAAAGTGAAATTAGATAATAAAGAATGTACGCAGTGCAGACGTATCAAAACTAGTCCTGAAGTCTAGCATAGGCTTAGTGCAATGCTCTATCGATAGACATTATTTACAACAGGACCGTGCAGACTTTATTTATACACTATCAATTAAATGTACAAGATGCAAAAATCTTAGCTTATGCATATTTTACATTCCAAGTTTGATGAAATGGTCTATTTGCTAGAACAAATACGAATACTGTTCTTAAATTCATTATCATGACTGCAAAGGATGTAGATTCTCAGTTTGTAAAGACGCACTAACTTTTTGTAAAATATTACACAAGTATACACGCGCACAAGTATACACAAATGAAGGATATTTATTCAAATGTAGAAAAGATCGGCACTACTTCTTGGCAAAGGATATTTTCATGGCGTGTGATGGCGTGATCTTGAAACCCTGTAAAGCATCCTTTGCCGCACCAGATTGCACTTCATTTTCAAACTCAACAAAGGCAATGTCATGACGATTTGGCACCAATCGAACTTCCTTGAAGCCTGGGAATTGGTTGAACAACATCGACAACATCATCTCACTAGTTTCATCTGGCAAATTGGTGAGGAAGAGAATTTGATTGGGAGGTTGTTCAGGTACAGCTGTATTGGTGAGTCCAGGATGTTGCGGCACTCCAGTATGATAGCCAATTTGCTGAGAATGTTTTGCTTGCTCTTTGGCACGCTTCTTTGCCCTTTTTGCTTCTTCTTCAGCAGCAGGTACAACACGTTTTGGCTTCTTTGGACGTTCAGCAAAAGTTCCCTTTATTTTTGCAATCAGATCACTGTCTGTCTTTGCATATTGTATTCTCTATTGAGAAAGACTTAGTTATTTCCTCTTACATTAATCGGATAAAACATCTACTTACCATTGGTTTATCATAGAAGGGAAATCCTTGCATAGATCGCAGAGCATTCGTTGCACTGGCTATTTCTTTGAATATGACAAAAGCCTGCCCTCTCATTTTCAAGGTTTTCAATGCAACTATATCCAAGATTTGACCAAATTGAGAGAATATTGCGTAAAGAGACTTTTTCAATTCCTCTTTCTTTATTTTCTCATTGAGATTGTTTATGTAGATTGTATTGTTCGGTCGTATATCCATTATGCTTGAAAAAAAAGGTTTTTCACATAAACAATAACTAAGTAGATTACAAAATACTATTAAAAAATTAAAAAGACAAAATATTGTATACTCGTTCAATTAATTATTTACTGTGAGAAGGAAATAATTCACTGAAAACGTACCATGAGTATTTTAAAATGTACTAATTATTTTCATTATAAGAGTTGATTTTAAAGTTCGACAAATCTATTTCAGTAAAAGAATAGAAACTCTACTGCTTTCCTAATAAACTCACCTTTGGTTCTGTGATTTATTGACAGAAATTAACGATAAAAATTGTAAAACAATTGCGGCGTCGCTTTTCCTTAAGGTTAGGTTGACGGAAATTACTCCCACCGTAAACTCTAGTTAATTTTTCTAATACGACAGGCGTGCAGCAATGGTATACATCGTTGCGTGAAATGTTCCTAAGAAATAACCAAAAACTTCCTATACATCACTGTATACTTTTCCACGTGTATTTGTCAACCTCGAGCTCCGAAAATATTAACAAATATAAATTAGTAATAATGGTTCGAAAGTTGAAATATCATGAGCAAAAGCTCCTGAAGAAGGTGGACTTTATTTCCTGGCAAGCAGATAAGAACCTTCATGAAGTGAAGATCCTCAAACGCTTCAGAATACAGAAACGTGAGGATTATACAAAGTACGAGTACTGACTCGTAAACTGTGGTAATTGATTGATTCTTGCTTCATGCATCGTTAATTGAGAATGTGTATTTATTTACAGGTATAACAAGTTAGCCAGACACATTCGTGAGTTGGCAAGGAAGATTAAAGACATTGACCCGGAACATCCCTTTCGCATAGAACAAAGTGCTCTTCTTTTAGAAAAACTTTACATGATGGGCTTGATCCCTACAAAATGGGATTTAATGTTATGTCAAAAAATTACAGCTAGTTCGTTTTGTAAAAGACGATTACCTGTTATTATGGTCAGAAATAAAATGAGTCAAACTGTCAAAATGGCTACGCAACTCATAGAACAAGGTCATGTACGGGTTGGCGCAGAAGTTATAAAAGATCCAGCATTTTTAGTAACTAGGTATGACTTTATTTTTTTGTTTCTCTGTTATTATTTATAAATCCATCACTTTAATGTCTTTTCTTCTGATATAGGAACTTACAAGACTTTGTCACTTGGGTAGATACTTCTGCAATTAGAAAACATGTCCTGGAATACAATGATATGGTAACTTCAAATTTTTTAAACATAATTTATTTATATGAATTAACAATTACATGAACAATAATTACATTCTCAATGTAATACTTAGAGACTTCAATTTTTTTTTATTGTTACAGAGAGACGACTTTGAACTGCTTTAATATCAGCTTTTGTATCATCAAAAAAAAATTATTTTTTCTAACTCTATCACTTAAGGCTTGAAAAAATCTTCTTTATCCGGCTTTATCTTTTTATGAATAAAAACTGAATTCTGCATATTTGAATTATAAAACGGTATTTCTTTTGGTCGTTTTCTGGTAATTGTTGCTCTGCTATGGCAAGGTGCACTTGCTGTGGATGCCACATTTAAGTCATTACTCAGCATAGTTTGTCTGATATTTTCAACATGGCAGCTGCGAAAGAAGAAAATTACTATAATACCTTTATACAATAAATAATGCCGATCTGAATTCTCCAAGTTTCTAACTAACTACCTAAGATTCAACAGTTCCTGCGCCATAGCAAAAATTACTTCACGACGCTGTAAAATCCTCCTTCTCAATGTCTTACAATCAGGAGGTACGGCAGGATTTTCTAGCCATGCTGGTTTCTTGATGTTAAGAGCTTCACATTCAATACGATCCAGTTCCTCCTCTCTTGGAAACTGTGACTCAAATGCATGTTCAAATTCATTGTTCCTAAAGCCTGCAGTACCCATTTCTGGTGCATTACTTTCTTCGCCCATCTTTAAATGATCTTCCTCCTTCATCCTAGCATTTTTATTTTCATCAAAAATTCCTGTTACCACATTCTGAACAATTTGAGGATTCTGAATGCTACACCATTCTTTGTCGTTTTCCTTCGAATTACGATCTAAAAAATTTGATTCGAGAAAATTTTGAGCAACGTTCAGCAGTCCTTTTTTTGACTCTCCTTGAACGTCATCTACACGAATCTCCATATCCTGTGAACTCTTATGGACGGACACCATTCTATGGTCCTTCTCTGGAAAACTATCTTCTATAGTTTTAATATCCAATGAAGAATTGAACGATAAAGCTAGTGAACTCTTATCCTCTTCGCTCTTCAATTGCACAAGTGGTGTGACGTTTTCAATCTGATAAGATTTGTCCATATCATTCGAAGATAATTCCTCCTCATAAGTGAATTGCAATGTCCTGGCACTTCCAATGGAATCCAAGCTACATTTACATAATGTACAGAGACTTGAAAATTTATTTATCTGAGTCGAATTGTCCCCTGAATAATTATAATGCAAATCCTCCATATTTGTACTATGTAGATTCAAATAAAAACAGCTGGTACATCCGTAACGTACCAATAGAATTGAAGTCAGAACCATGCAAATTTTGAAGAAAAGAGTCGCGCCCAATGGAGCAAAATATTTATATACAAATTTAAAAATTGAATTAAAAATAAAACGAGTCTCGTAGTATGTTGGGTATCGATAACAGACTTCCTTTTTATTTATTGCAATTACGATCTTAAAGTTACAAGGGTGAAACTGTCGAATTCGCATGAACGATTAAATGTCAAGAAAATGACGTGACGTACAATAGAAACGAAGGATATATATAATTAAATTTTAAAAATGTCTCTTCAATTCTCTATCAGGATATAAATCGTGTCTCTCTCACTTTCTCTTTCTCATTTTCCAAGGATACCAAAAGGAGCCACCCACCCTTCTTCCAGAGAAAACAACCGCTCGCCTACTCTATTCTTATCTTATCTTAGGTGTAACGCCATTACGGTAGCGCAAATAGAAGGAATGCAAGATTCAGAAACTCTATACCGAGTGCGAAAAGTAAGGGAAAAAAAGCAAATTCTAAAAACTCGCTTCTCAGCATCCTTCGATCAGAAGGAGGCACGTGTCTCCACTCTCTCTCTCATGCAACTTACCACGAATAATTAGTATTTACTATGATACAAGTGTTATGTTTAAGTTAAGTTTTTTTTTCATCTTTATAGTACAATCGGCAGTCATCGCTGGTCTCTGTGACACCACTTCCACGTCACAGTTCTTCACTGGCATTAATGACATTCTTCTCTATCTACCCTCACGAGCCAAGAGATGTTTAATGTTACGAAGGTGATCAAGAAACAACTATGAGGGACAATTTCCAGAATTTCGTCTTCAATCAATCAATCTCCTTAGCAATTAACAATCAATTTTTCTCTTGGATCAACAGATTACCGGATCGTGAGAAATAGAAAGACAAAATGTCCTCGACACAAGATTAGATAACTGAACGGGAGTGCGTGTCGGCTCAGGTCCCCAAGTATCCTCCCTCATCTCGTCGACTATGTACAAAAAAAATCTTCCTCTCGGAATCTTTCCTATACCTATTCTCATAACGCAGAGATCGGCACAACGTATAGTAAGCGTCTTCTCTCTTTCTCTCTCTCTCTCTCTCTCTCTCTCTCTCTCTCTCTCACACACATACACACAGAACACCTGCGCGCACATACGCACACACTAATTCTCTCCATTCTCCATCCTCATGCAGACAGCACTGAATCCTTTTCAGTTTAAAAATGCAGATATAAACAAGTCTATATACACGATCACACGATCAATTAAAGTATAAGTATCAGGATATAATTTCGAGAAATTTTTAATCACACTTAGATATAGATATCATGCCGATCTCGCGTTTCCATCCCTGGCGGCGTGCACGCATCGTTCCAAGCAATCCTGTAGCGTCATAGTGATACGCTGTTATAGTTGACAAAGAGATGAAAAGAAAAAAAAAGTTTAACAAATTAAAGATCAATAATGTCACGGGGTCTTATTAATCATTCCCTTGATAATTGGGAACGCTGCGTGCACCGGTCCGGGTCATTGCGAATCGTTACCTACATGTCTTCTCCAATTAGACAATGATTTAATGGATTTCTCTTGTTATCTTTTCTTTCTTGTTCTCGATAAGCGCGACTCGTGAAACGAGAATATGACTGATAAAAGAAAAGCCGTTCAATAATTAATAAACCGTCTTTACTGACCTCATTCGAGGAGTCTTCGAGATTAAGGAATTTATCTTATTGTTTATCATTATATCGTCTCGTATTCGCCGACAAGACACTCAACAACAGTATTACAATCCCAAAGGTCGAAGAGTCCTTTAATGACTATTTTAATTAGCGTGACGAATACCAATGACTTGTTCCACAAGGAATCGTCATTAGGACATATAAATTTTATAGACGAATTGCTCTCGACAATTAAGCACGCGCGCATTTGTATAGTGCACGCAAGAGAAGGGGCTTAAATTTCAGGATCGCGTGGCTCCTTCTTTTTTCTTCTTCACTTTCTTATATATATATGTGTGCCAACTCTTATCATTTTGGGACCAAATTGCCATCTGGCACGATGGGCCGCACGATCGTGGACATCAAAGTTTTCTTTATCCCTATCCTTCGACGGTATCCCTTTACTTCAACAACTTTGTTCTCCTTTTTTTCATACGTCTCGTACTCCTCTTTTTTGGTATCTTCACTTTCTTTCATCGTTTTTCTTCTTTTTACAAGTTCGTTAGTATATCCTTAATCTACTCGTCGACTCAAGTATCAAAGAGATACTCGGCTGGGGTCGTATAGATTGATCATCCCTTACTCTCGTCTAGTTGTAACTCTAGGTGACTCGCAAGGGACTTTGTCCGAACAAGATAAATTAATTGAATTAATAATTCTTTGGTTACTTATACGAATTATATCGTGGTTACGCAATAATATAAGACCTTTCTGTCTGTCCTGCGAATTAAAACGGAAACATCGAGAACCCGCCGGCCGTATTAAATTGATAGAGATGAAATTCGAAAATCATAATAATCGACCTCGTCAAAATTATTAGTACAGTATACAGAGGACGCACGCCGGGTATCTCTCAATCGATAATCCACGACCTACATTAATATATTATTCTTTTTCATTTTACGTCTCTCAATGTCTCCGGGAAACTCGTAAAGCCATCTAGAAAAGTGATTCACCAGTTTCCCAAAGACGTCCAAACGCCTTATACACATTACTTAAGCTTCCTTCTAAAGGGGATATTAAAAGGTCAGCAGGCAATGGATTATCTATCAGATAATAGAGATAACCAATTATTACAATGCAAGGCGATCAAGCATCGAATTAGAGCGTATACAATATACAGAGATCCTGTTTTAACGAAGAAACAAAAGGAATAAGCGCATAACGACACAGATAAAACTTTATAACGTGGAAACAACATCGATAACGATTAATAATAATGAATGGAAATTAAAAGATTAAAGATTATGTCGAAGCGATTGATAGACGCCTCAAAGGCTATCCACAATTATCTCCTTAGAGTTTTAAAATGGCGTTTACCTCTTACGATTAATCGTTCGCCGCTTAATATTATAATTTGCATCTCCGATGTGCTCCTTTCTTTCCCTGGAAGATATTTCGGAAAGAAAGAGAAAGAGAGACACGGATGCGGTCTCCCGCGCGAAAAAAAAGAGGACATTCGATTACGACGCGGATGTGAACTTGTGAACATTTTTTTTTCAGTGACATCTTTTTCACGGTGCCCAATGGACAGCCATTTGGACGCACATAGATTTTGTTTCTACGAATATAATGACTAATATAATAATTGAAACGGAAAAAGTCATTAACGTATATTGGACGTTAATGAATCATCGTTAGTTCCATCACACTCATTCTCTCTTTTAGCTCATTTCGTATAACCTTTCTTTAACATTGTCAAGATAAATTTTGACATAACTATGTGTCACTTTTCTTTCGAAAGTGAATTCGGAAAAAAGTCAGCCCCGTCTACAATGATGAGTACTTATTACAATAAGAATTATCTCACGATATTTATCGAGAAAAATTACTACGCGGGGGCCGCCATAATATATGGCACGCGGTTCTAGAAGAGGAATTTCACAGAGACATAAAAACAGTATTGAGAAAACTGTTTACAACAGCATCATCGACCATTGTCTTTTCTACTACCTTTTCTTTCTTTCTTTCTTTCTCCTTACGTCAATCCTAAATACGCTTTGCCAAACAAGAACAATTCTCTAGGTCATTTCGCACTGTACGATCTCAGATTGTCAGACGGACACGATTAAGAGGTAGCCACAAATCTCATGTATCATCAACTATTTCCATCCATCTTAAATACTTAATAAACTACATATGTCTTGTTCCTACATATCCTTGTTCTATTTAAATATTCGGTTTGACTGACTTCTTTCTCGTGTCCGAGGGACTTGACATTTGATTAACGTGAGCACGAAGGTACGCGAGGTACACAAACGGGGTATATCTGGTAAATATATTGGATAACAAATTATCTAGCATTTGGTAATTTCTCAGTGATAAACAGCCAACTTATGCTATCGCTATTGGGACACATCAGAGATCTATACCTCAGGAACCAATATACTGAAGAACATCAGTGTACGGAATTCCAGTTGAATAGATCGCTGATTTGTCATTAATCGCTTAACTGGTTACCGTATTTCTTGCGTTTGTTTAAAAACCTTGTAAAAATGGAAAAACCTTCGTTACTTATTTCTGGTTATTCATTTTTTTTTCTCTTCGCATTTCGTTTATTTCCGTTTAACTACAGTCTTGAGCAATTGCGAGAGTCGGAACGCGTTTTCAATTTTGAATGATAAAAAAAAAGTACAAACAATTAGATACCCATCGTTTTACCTCTCGAATTCAAACCGACTTACGCGATGAAACCCCTGAATACAATGCGAGACGTTATAGATGTCCCTGAGACACGGATACTATTTATATTATTATTTCGAATTGAATGATTGCTATTACGTGTTAATGAATTAATGATTTCATGATACTCGATGATTATATCTATGTTCGTTTATGACAAGGATGAATGACCTGTGATATACCTCTCGCGGCGTGATATTACTCGAATCTAGAGAGAGGTCTGAGAGAACTGTTGTTTTTTTTCCAATTAACGGGGGAAAGAAAATAAATCTGATACGATTTACGTTATTACAGTTGGCGCCTGGCGTCCGGTATGCTCTTGGAGTTTACTCAACACCAGGGCGACGTTCACCAAGGGTTTCAACACTTCCTGAGCATCCTTGTCGAAGGTCGACGGATCTGACTCGTAGCTATCCACGTAGAGACGAATTGTGGCACCTGAAGAACCCGTTCCAGAGAGTCGAAAGATCACCCTAGAACCATCCTCGAAGAGGATCCTTAGACCCTGGAACATAGATATACAGATCCAAAAATTAGGACGATGTTCATAATAAGATACAGGCTATGTAATTGTGAAGCTGGGTAATATTTACTTGTTTGGTAGTCACACTTTCATCGACGGGATCCTTGTAAGAATAATTATCAGCTTCCTTGACAATGTAAACCTTATTCTCGTAGGTCAGTTTTGTCCCCACGAAGTCTTTCTGTTCAATCTTAGTTTCTACTTCGGCCATGACTTTATTGGCCGCTTCGGAATCACAATTCTCATAATCATATCTGATAGAAAGAACAAATAAAATCAGTCAATCTCTGAAAATGTCAGATATACTGACGGCATAGAGATTCTCGAAATACCTGGTGAAAAAGTTTCTACCATACGTGGTCCAGTGATCCTTGAGGATATCCTCAATGGACTTTCCAAGTTTGGCTATCACACTGAGCCAGGCGAGGGAAGCCCAGATACCGTCCTTTTCACGAATGTGATCAGAACCTGTACCAAAGCTTTCCTCCCCACAGAGAGAGAGTCTTCCAGCATCCATAAGATTACCAAAATATTTCCAGCCAGTGGGTACTTCAAAGAACTCAACACCACTTTTGGCTGCTACCCTATCGACAGCAGCACCGGTAGGCATAGACCTGGCATAACCTTTGACACCAGTACGTTGGAAATAGGGTATGGCTTCTAGATTGGCAGCCAGAACAGCTAAAGAGTCCGAAGGTGTTACGAAGAAAGCTTTTTCTCCTATAATCTAAATATTTTTAATCTTTTAAAGTGATTCTGAATATTTTATAATAATATGCTTACCATGTTCCTGTCGCCGTCGCCGTCGAAAGCTGCCCCAAAGTCGTATGGACCATTCTTAACAGCGTTCACAAGGTCAGCGGCGTACGTGAGATTTGGATCTGGATGGAGACCTCCAAAGTCTTCTAAAGGAGTTGCATTCACCAGGCTGCTACTTGCCACGCCAAGTTCTTCGCCAAAGATTTTTTTGACGTACGGTCCGGTAACTATAAGCATTCATATAGAACAATATATTTCACGTATAAATTTCAGACGTTAAAAAATATTTTACAAACCTCCATTAAGAGAATTGATAAGGACTTGAAAGGGGGCTCGATCTGCGCTTCCCTGAAGAAGATTTTTAATGGCTGAAAAATCAAATATCTCCTTCATAAGCTCCACGTAATCCTGAACAGAGTCAATGACTTCGATGGTGAAGTCCTTGCCATCCACCTGGAGGGTGGTCTTCTGGATCTTATCAATATCTACCACGAGTTCTGGTACGATTTTATAATTCTTGAGTACCCTAGTGATCTCATATATCTCGTTAGTAACATTGTCAGGCGCAGGACCACCGTTGTCGCAATTGAATTTTATACCAAAATCGGCGTCTGGACCGCCAGGATTATGCGAGGCTGTCAGCACAATTCCACCTAGAGTTTTGTACTTCCGTATTATAGCTGACACTGCAGGAGTCGAAAGAATTCCATTCTGTCCAATTATTAGCTTGTCCACCTAATCCAACAAAATAAATATCCAGTAAGATGATGGACATGTTAAAATGATTTTTAGCAATAAAATTTAACTAGCTACTATGAAGAAATTTTCTTTCTATATCAACACATTCTTTATAGAAGGGGTCTTACCACTGACGCGACTGATAAAGAAGCACTATCACGAAAGGTCATGTCTTTTCTATGTAAGTAATAATTGCATAAATAGTAATCATTCAAGAAGCAAAGTATTATAGTAATTTGAAAAAAAAATAAATATATTGCTTTCACTTGTTACTTTTGTTTTTTAAGTATTGTTTACTGGCACAACATGCTAACTAATAAACAGATAACACAATCAATGATGAAATTGTAAATACTACTAATGACATGTGAAACTTTACACATATAATCTAAGCCCTAGTTACATGTTATTATTAAAATTTATAATAAAGATGACTTGTAAAAATGTAATGTCTTCTTCAAGTACGCTCTAAACAACCTAATTCTAAAAGAAGTTTAGTGAATTATAAAAACACTATAAATAAAACACTCCTTAACTCGTTTCTATATATATGAATATATACATATATGTATAAATTTAATCTAGATCAAGCATCGAAAATCAGTAAATTCGAGTCACGTTCCTTAAATGACACCAAAGATCCACTATTAACAATAGTAGGAGAGTACAGAAGGTATTCAAAATTTATGAAAATATTAAGAATCATAATCCTCAAAAACACTACATATAATTAAAATTATGTTTACCAATTATACTCAGAAATGACCGCTTACCCCATTAGCTGCGACAATTTTAATGATTTTATTGACGGCTTCCTTTCCATAATACCGGCCATCACCGCCAACGACAAGAGTGCTACCTTTAAGACGATCAGCAGTAGCCTGAAGAATAGCCTGGACGAAATTCTCAGTGTAGTGTTCTTGCTGGAAGACTTTAACGGCCTTTCTAAGGCCAGAGGTGCCAGGTTTCTGACCCTCGTAGATTTTCGTTTCGACGACAATGCTCTTCAGGGCACCTGACATTCTCGTAGGCTGTTTAAATCAGTACAGTGATCGATATACGAAAGGTGCCGGCTTAATTGAAGGTTAAATTTAGTGTTAGCAAAAAAATACTCCTACACAACCTACAGCCGCGAACCTCGCTAGCAGACTGAATTCTATCTGCCAATGACACACAAGGGCATCTGGACGCCATCTTGTCAGTTGAAAATTCTATACACCATTCAAAAAACATTTTACCGCCTTGTACTCTATTTTACTGTCCATATAGATCATTTTTCAGCTAGGGTCGAACGGTTGGTAAAACAGATCCAATGATTCATCGCACAGTGCGGTAAATGCAATTTTCAATTTAATTTTCATACAAAAAACACGAATACGAATAATGAAGGTAAATTTTTTGGTAAATTATAGATCTGTGAAACAATGTTAAGTTTTTTTTTTCAATGAAAAAATATAATAGTAATCTTAATTCGAATGTTTCTTATCTAAACCCAACGGTCTATAAGACAAATATGGAGAATAATTATTTTTAGTTCTTTCAACATTATATCAGAGAATATTCTGCTAATCAAATTTGACTAGTATTATAAGAGAGTTGAAGGATTTTCGAAGTCTCATAGAACTCTGTAAATTGTTTTTGGGTTACCGCAACTTATAATAACATATCTGTCAAGTCAATTAAGGTTGAAAGAGTAACGCACCACCATATCATTAATGACGTATATTCTGAAATATAGGTCAATTCGAATGAACTCATTAAAGAAAATTGTAAAATACCACAGGAAATATTAGTTTCTAGACATTGATAGTAATTTATGTTTACGCATATTTAATACAGCATTGAACTGTCAAGTAAAATAATGTAATCCAGAATAAAAAAAAATAAAATTCTCTTTCTCTTCTTGTGAACTTGTAACAGATAGAACTATTCCAATTTTTGTATATCGACAGGAGGTATGTAGGTCAAATTTGATAAGGAAATGCAAAAAAAATATATCCGCGAGTAATCACAGTATCTTACGAAATTGTTCGGCAAAAAAGACATGCAAAAAAGTTTCATTTATAGATAAGTTTTTCGAAATAGCATTAACATGACGACACTGTTTGATTATATTTTTCGTTGATTTCTATGATCTTACATACCTAAAAGTATTCTGAATATTATTCATGTTTCTAGGTCGATCCTCTATATCATTTTTATAATAAGCAAAAAAACAACGGACAAAGCACGTGAATATAAAGGTTCCTAGAAGTAACTTTCGTAGACAGAAAAAGGAATAAGAAGGGAAGAACGTACGAGAGAGCTGATAATATAAAGTGAAAAATCTGGAGGGGGCAAATTACGTCAAGGATGACTGATATAAGTTTCAACACTGAGAATATAGTCACATGTTCCTCTTCGATTTAACTTTCAGTACCGCACGAGTCTCTCAGTGTAAGACACAGATTTTACCCTAAAATCTTAAGAAACGTCTGTTCTGACAGAGTGAAGCTTAAATACGTAAATAGGAAAATTTGCCTAGAAAGACAGTGGCAGTTAAGTCTTCTACAAGCACTATGTCAGGACCCGAGTACAGGATACCAGTGAGATCAGAGAAAACCATAGGAGTCTCTCTCTAGGAAGACAATTTATCTCGAACTAACAGATAGACATTGCTCATTTATTCAATATAGCCTAAGTCGACTCAGGAGTTCACCCTGACTTCCTTTAGTGTGGCCTTTCGTATAGAAAGTAGCATGTGATCTGCTGAGTTTGTACGTAAAATTAAATCGACGAATGACAAAGCTGTGTATGAACGTTGTAGAGTAACGAAGTACTAGGAGGATCGTCTTCATGAACAAATGAAGCCTAGAACACTGCACCAAATTAAATTCGTAGACGTAGGTGGTGGATTCTTACCTCGAACCGGTACGCCAATCACAGAGAGGGAAAGTTCCGCAACAGACCTGGGTAAGAAATGTCAATATAAGAGAGATGATTGGAGCGACACAACGTCCTCTGAAGCTCTAATTATTTTCAAATGAATATTTTCAATTACAGGAACTGAATACAGACAGAAAATGTACGATAGAAAACCGCATAGACATGCCTGGAGTATCGGCGAGATGTCTCCTGAGCAGGATAGCGGCTCCGAGAGTGCTCCATTACTATCATCCGGCTCGCACACTAGTATTGGTCCTGTTATGTTTCCAGATTCAGAAACAAGCGACCTGGACTCTAGTCCCACTGGTGAATCGTCCAGGTAGACAAGAAATCAGAAGTCAGTCCCGAACTGGCTATAAACATAAATTTAAGTTTAACAATATTTTATACATGTAATATAGATATGGAAGTGTAGGAGCAGCCAGTTTTAACTCAGTGGTGACAGTAATTCCTAAAAGACTGCCACCCCTGATCCAAGACAAAACTTTAGTTATGTCAACACCTGTGATTGTCCCATCACCCTTACCCTATGAACGCGAAGGGTGCTATGAGATTCATAATACTGATTTGGTAAGTCCAAAAGAATTGAGTTTTTTAAATGATTCTTCTCTAATATGTCTTACTCCATTGAATACTGAATGGTAGATTTAATTATTGCGAGGATTCCATATCTATATATGACAAACAGTGAACTTAGAAACGACCACTGATAAGAGTCCAGTAAACAGAACCTCCTAAAATCTTATTCACCTCTGATAGTCAGTTAAGTCCTGACCTTGACCAGAGACCTCCTCTATCTGCACTATTTGAGCTTGCGCTATTTTTTATATAGTACGTCTATAGTACTATTGAATTGATAAAGCAATTTTACTTTTCATTTATATAAAAGAAAAAATGACTTTGTATAGGATATTGTCTAAGCCGTTTTTATGTTTTGATTGATTTCTGATGAGACTTGTTTTGTCACTTTTGGTTTTGGATAAACATATGAGATTTATTGTTAACTTGTATCTTCATTCAGCTTCTTAGAGATGGGAGATTTATACCTGATCAGGATTGTCCTGTCAAGGATTTGACTGGGAATTATTATGCAGGAACATTTTCCATGATGCAGAATGCTAATCCACTGCAATACAAGGACCTGATACCAAAACAAAGTTCTCTAGTGACCATGTAAGTAGTTTATTTGTGTACCTAATGTACAAACCATAAGTCTCTTAGTTTAGTAATTGTGAAATAGGAAACTTCTCCATAAAGTCAATACAATTTCCCTCAAATGACCTTTGGCTTGGTTCGATATTTAAGCATTTCCCAATGACAGATAAAATAGTGGAAATTCTGCAAGAATTTTCTGCTACACCAAATGATTCACATAAGAGTGGAACTCTGTAGGAACACCAGTAGTAGCTTGAGTGCAATGATATAACAAGAAGAGTGACTTTACAAATTTATGTTCTTTACTCCAATTATAATAAGGAAGATACAATGGCACACTCAAGCAATGATTTACCTCGTGTTAAGATATAAATGTGATTTTCTATTTTAAGAAACAAAGAGTTTGATAGCATGTTATTTATGTTTATCTTTAATGCTCTGAAACGGATGATGGCTAAATCAACAGAACTTGCATCAGAATTTCTTTCTGAATTTTTTTCAATCTACATCATCCAGTGGATTCATGTTCAGGCAATATGTACAATATTATATTACAAAGCAAAATGCAATATCATAGATACAATTACCAGGAATTAAAATAATATAATACAATACAAAACATATTACCTTTCATGTTTTGTCAAGTAATACTGGAGGATACACAGTTTCTTGTTACTCCTCCGATCCTATTACTCTCTGAAAGAATATAAAAAGAACTTATTGACAACAAAATATGAGAGAGAGAAACAAGCTCAGAAACTAATACGATATAAAAATTATCTCAAACTTCTACGTTGTGCTGAGACTTTCCTAAGAAAACATTGGTCAGTAGATTATTAGATTGGTGAAGCAATATATTCACAAACCGAATTTTATAATGAATAAAACTCTTTTAACAAGATATAAAAGTGACGTATATTTACAATAAATTTCTTACACAGTACAGTCCACAATGAAGGAATAAATTCTTGTATATTATCCCGTATACTAGGCGTTATATAGGACCAAATCCCACAACCCCATGCAACCCCAACAAGGGGGTGCAGTAGACTGTTCGCTTTAGTTTTTAACGCATGGTCGTGCACCCCAGGGCCGAGTAGACTAGAGTACGATAAATATGGAAAATATATAGAAGCCACGGGCGGTGACGGGCGACTCCTCACACTATAAATGCAAGGTTAGAGTCAAATAGTGAAGACTCTAGTCGAAGGGTGGCGCTCCGTCTGTTGCCCGGGCAACAGACTGGCCCAGGTCAACGTCCTTAGCTTGGGTAACTACCCGGCAAAGGCCACTCGGCCGACAGGACTTATTTCTCAACCAATGAGAATCCTTCTCCTGATGTAATCTCTGCTCACATTGGTCAATGAACAACTTCATAACTGAAAATATTCTTGGGGCTTGTCTCGCCTCTTATAACATACAGTAATATTCAAGCTATGGGCTTGATTCATATAGCGATTCATAGGTGATTCTCGAGGGTTCAATAAGGGTTCGTGAGAAATTTCTCGAGTTCTTCGATCTCGAGGTTACGCCAGGTCACGGCTACGGGCAGACAGTCCGTGACCTGGCGTAACCTCGGGATCGAAGAACTCGAGAAACTGTCTCACAAACCCTTATTGAACCCTCGAGAATCACCTATGAATTCTTATCAATCAAATTCATGGGTTGAACATTATATGTATGCCTAGAATAATTAATGACATTTCATTCACTTTGATTGACATGGGTATTAATAACGAATAAGAAATTAATATGCTTTCAAATTTTTTTTAGCATATTTCAATATATTTATATTTAATTAAATTGATAAAGTAGAAGCTTGAAAATTGAAGCTGGGGAAGTTACATCGTAGGGAGTCCTTATCGTTAACGACCAGAAGATGCTAGTCGTTTTTATCATAGTGAATGAAATGTATACATAGAATAAGAAATCCAATTTCTTTGTAACATAGAAATTTTATTTATCATAGATTCTCAATATGGAACACTATTCTGGGATCATCGCTTCTCACAATGCCCTGGGGAATTGCTATGGCAGGATTAATTCCTGGTATAGTTCTAATACTTGCTATGGGTGGTCTCTGTCTTTACACAGCATATAGGTTGCTTCAGGTTCACAGGTATCATGGTAAGGATACATCATAGATGTTCTCTTCAAGAGAAAAGCTCCATTCTTTGTTCGTGAGATATACTTTTGATTTAACTTTAGGTGGTGATGACAGAATCGAAGTGACAGAATTGAGTCGTATCTTCCTTGGGCCTTATGCAGAATATATTGCTAAGATATTTAGTATTATGGTATTATTAGGCGCCAATATTGCTTATTGGATTTTCATGTCAAATTTTCTTTACAATTCTGTCAATTTTCTCTATGGTGAGTTTAACTTTTCTATAAGCTGGTATTTAATTTTATATAATTATGCTTGCCATTTATGTTTTCAGATAATATTGCAGGACTTCCTATAGTGCCACATACTGTAAATAACTCTGTCCCTCCAGAAAGTAAGGTTTATTATGTTTTTATACATATTTTCATATCAGTCTTATATATAATATTTTGTTCTTTTTTCTGGCAGTTCTCTGTCCCAAGCTGGATGTCCACAACGTCAGCAACACAGAGATCGTAGTCGACAGATCATATGACAATTTGGGCCCAATTTGGGACCTTTATAGAACCGTGCCAATTTTTCTGGCACTGCTAATATTCCCATTATTGAACTTCAACAGTACTACTTTTTTCACGAAATTTAATTCTCTTGGTAATGCATTAAGTTTTCCATTGATATGTAAAAGCCTCACCACACATACAGTTATGCGATGCACAATTAAATTCATTTATCTAATTATCGCAATTTCATCCCCAGGCACAGCATCAATCATATACTTGATTGTATTTGTGGTAGTAAAATCAGCTTCCTGGGGAATCAACCTAGATAAAACCTTCTGGAAAACAAACTGGCAATTGCGATCAACATTTCCAGCCTTATCAGGCATGCTGGCCTTATCATTCTTCATTCACAACATAATAATTACAATAATGCAGAGTAATCATGATCAACGTAAGAACGTAAGTAATGGAATGACAGATAAAAGTTAGTAATTAGTACCATGCGCAATTAAAGTAAACGATTAATAAAATTTATATGAATTCTAGGGCAGAGATTTAACTATAGCTTACATACTGGTAACCTTGACATACGTATTAGTGGGAGTTATATTTTATATTTCATTTCCACTAGCAAAATCCTGTATTGAGGATGTAAGTATACCTAACAGATCACAGAAAATATAGCTAGAATCTAATGTATCAAATGTCTCTTTAATTTCTTATAGAATTTATTAAATAATTTCCAAAAGTGGGATGGACTAACAGTTGGTGCCAGAATGGTACTACTCTTCCAACTCTTCACAGTCTATCCTCTTATCGCGTATATGCTACGCATTCAATTATTATCCTCAATATTCAAGAGGTCAGATTACGCCAGAGGATACGTGCTGATTGTGAATTTTCTAATTGTCTGCATATGCGTGTTATTCGCTGCTCTGATGCCCCACGTTGGCACAATCATAAGATACACAGGCGCCATCAGTGGACTTATTTATGTTTTTACTTTGCCAAGTTTACTTCACTTGAGCTCCATGTACAAGCAAGGACGCTCATCTATCCTGTCAACGGTATTCCACTTAGCAATTCCTATCGTTGGTGGATCGAATCTTATTGGCCAGTTCTTTGTGAAAGACAGCTGACGAGGAAGGAATTTCTTTTTGGTAAATTCTCACACTACTAAAATGCATTAATTACATAGTTATTACCTAACGATAAGATAGTTTTAAATGTATATATATAGAACGTTCTTGTATCACATTTTATTTAGAGTATATCACTTTCTCGTGTACATAAGTACAATAAAGTTCATAATGACTCACTGTGGATTTTCCAATTATTGTTATTTTATGTTTAATATTCTATTACCTTGATAACATTAGAGGAGTCTTGTATACCCATACAGTGTCTACACCATGACCTATCGTATTCAATGGCTTTACATTAGGTAGCGGGAATCGACAAGCTACTATGGTACAGTTACTTCGTAGCTCTCTGATGAATTTTTCTTCGACATCATTCATCTATAGAGATATCAGTTAGAATTAGTATGTTTTTAAGAGAGTAACATTAACTTTGGAATTAGCAGTACCATTTGTTCAACACCAAATATAACGACATTGTCATACTTGTTTACATTGAATTTCCATAGATCCTTTCTATAGAAAGATGTTTTTGAAGATATACCCTGACTAACCGCTTGAAATCTTGAGTATAGTACTAGCCAAGGGTTTAGTTCTATACCATCTGCCCTGAAACCAGCTTTTGCCAAAGCAAAAACCTTCAATCATAAAATATCATCAGTAATCTTAATTACATTATGAAATTACAATTATACAGCTTAATCCTTACTATTCGACCATCTCCACTACCCAAATCAATTGATGATCCAGATTGGCTTTTCAGTGCATGTAAAACATTATCAACCTGTTGTGTTGTGGCTGGAACATAAGGCAAGCATATCCTACGCAACGCAGGACTTACAAATGGAATGCATATTACACTAAGAGCCACAGCAACACCTCCTGTAAGGAATAGGCATGTCATAATTTTACTAGTAGTTATGTAATGCTGGAACGATTTATAACTAATAAGTTTGGAGAAAACAATAAATTCAGCTAATAATATTTTGTAATAGTAGACAGAAACATTAAGAGGCTGAAATAAACAATGATAAAATAAACGAAATACAGTTTACCATCTGCTACTTGCCAGTTATTCCAACAAGAATTAATCCAACTTTTGATGAATTCTTAGTTACATCAGACTTCTGGTCAGTTTGTAAGAAAGAAGATTCCATTTTTATGAATGTATCCCAATCATACGTTATGCTAATAATGAAGTATATTAATTATAAGACAAGTATTAATAGTACTTTGCGATACAAGTGCGAGAAAGCGAACTTTATAGGCAGGCGGTGAAGTTGGTCCCATGAGCCGCACACGAGTAACACAACGGCACGAGCCGAAGGCGAGTGCTGTTTGTTTTACGAGTGCGGCGAGTGTGACAAACTTCACGAACTGCGTATAATGTTCGCTTTATTGTACCAGTATCGCATAATATTTTCTGTAACGAATGCATGAAAAACGCTCATTTTTGTGCCTCCATAGTAACTGACACATTTCTTCATTGGAGAAGGCAACAATAAGAAGAGCAAAGAAGGCTTCAAAAGTGAATGCATTTCATGACACCGCACGAGAACAAAGTTTACTTTATGGAACATCTGAACACCCTGGACTTCCACGTCCGCCATCTAGATACAGGAAACTACGGAGAAGAACACTTGGACATACTGTATCTCTAAAAACTGTCACCTAAAATACGAGGAACTATGTTGAAGCACACATATCCATACACCCAATCACACGCGCTCCACATGAAAGCCTTAATCAGAGATGAGAAGGTTAGGTTAGGTTAATCTAATCTACCTAACCTAACCTACTCATCTCAGGTTAATCTAATCTACCTAACCTAACCTACTCATCTCTGATTAAGGCTTTCATGTGGAGCGCGTGTGTATGGGTGTATGTATATGTGTGCTTCAACATATCTTCTCGTATTTTAGGTGACAGTTTTTAGAGATACAGTATGTCCAGGTGTTCTTCTCCGTAGTTTCCTGTATCTAGATGGCGGACGTGGAAGTCCAGGGTGTTCAGATGTTCCACTCCGTAGTTTCTTGTATCTAGATACTGGATGTGGAAGTCCAGGTTGTCCAGGTGTTCCGCTCCGTAGTTTCCTGTATCTAGGTGTCGGATGTGGAAGTTCAGGGTTTCCAGGTGTTCCGCTCCGTAGTTTCTTGCATTTAGGTGTTAGATGTGGAAGTCCAGGGTGTCCAGGTATTCCGCTGCGTAGTTTCTTTTATCTAGGTGTCGGACGTAGAAGTCCAGAAAAGTGTGCAACGAGCGACGCTTTGGCGCTTCGCTCGAACTATAGTATCCTCTCTGTTGTTCGCACGGCCTGAGGTACGTAAATAACCCAGCACACTCTCCTCTCTTAAGTTTACCACACGGCTTCCACAAGCTGGACACCATTAACGACTCTTATATGCATCGAAGATTAAATTTTCTTTAAAAATTTGTATACAGGGTGTCTTTATTGAAGCTTTCCTACATGTTCTATTTCGTATGTTGCACGTGGGTGATTGTGTAGGTGCAGGGCACACTTATTGCATGAGATGTTCGATGTTGCCACCATTTTCAGCAAAACACAGCTCCAGCCGGCGTCGGAAGTTTCGAATAACAGACCGAAGAACTACAGGTGAAATGTTTGCAATCGCATCTCTGATGCGTCGTTGCAGATCTGCTGACTGGAGTTGTATTCAAGCTTCAATAAAGATAAGCATATTTTGTTCCATTTTCCTGTGATATTTCTTAGATAATCGATGAAAAAATCATAAAATAGGATATGGTTGAATTTGTCTCGATGAGACGAACAACTTGTGGGGGTTCAAAAATGTTGTTGCCATTTAAAAAAACTGGATTTATGCTTGCACCATAGAAACATAAATAGTAGGAGCAGAAATTCTGTTTGCACTGACTTTCCCCCTTTGTACCCTACAACTTTCGCCTAACACAATTTGCTGTCTCGCTCTTCCTTAAACAGATATTTAACCGTCCTGTTTCAAATGGGACACCCTGTATATCTTTATGCATTTCTAAAAAAAAAGGGACTTACAAATTAAATTTATATACCATTAAACATTTTCGATAACGCAATATATTTTTGTGATTAGCGACATCATAATGCTTTTACATTATATATCTGTGAAAACAGATTTTAGTGCTTAGAGCTTCTATGTCCCGTTGAGTAACAAAAACTTGCGATTTCCCCCCAAAAAAACACTTACGTGTAAAAAACTACGCCAAGTACAGGAGTGCTCTGCATTCCTCTAATAAAAAGTATTGATATCAGATTATTGACGCCAAGTACATAAGTACAATAATAGTACAATAATAAGTACATGTGATCATATATCAGATCATATAATAGACAAACATGTAGTGATTTCTGTACTTGGCCTCAATAATCTGATATCAATACTTTTTATTAGAGGAATGCACAGCACTCCTGTACTTGGCGTAGTTTTTACATGTAAGTGTTTTTAGGGAGATACCGTTTGACTATTATTAATGCTCCGATCGCTTACAGAAGTTACTTTTGCTGCGTTCGATCGTATCAAGTCGAGCTCATTGACGCTTTTTTCATCGAGGTAGGGCAATATGAGCATGACCATCTAAGCGTCATCTAAGCGTGCTAATCCATAAACGAACATCGTTGCGCAAAAGTTATCCAACTTTTTTATAACATTTGACGAGTATGAAACTGTATTATTACTGCAGACAAGCAAGTGAAAGTATTACTTATGAAGTAATCATACATTATTAAATATTATTATATAATATTAATTACAAATTATTAAGTAATCAAAGCATCTTCCAAGTATTCAAAAGAATAATTATTTAATTTTGATCTCGGTAAAGCAACCAAATATGGAAAGAGACTCATGAACGTATCATAATCATCATCACTATCACTATCATCATAGATTACGTCAAATAAGTGTTCTATTATTTGAAAACAAGATACAGCTTGATTTACATCCGTCATGCTAGCTTCATCCGTCATAACGGCAAAACAAACGATCTATCGGATCTATCTAAGCCTGAGCGGAAGCACACGTAATCCAACTTGAACAAGTATACACAGTACTCATAAGTGTGAGTGCTGAAAGCGTGTAAGCGCCTAAGTCGAACGCACCCAAAATATTGCCTCTAATCAGAAGACTACTGACTACCAAGCTTTTTGATTGGATTGCCAATCACCACGCAGCGTCCATCAGGCGATTGATCCACCTCTAAAAACTTCAACTTGTACCTGAACAGTTTGTGTACCTGGCACTCAGCCCTCTATAGGGGCATACAATTACAAGGAACAAGAAGAAGAGTTGTTATTTAAAGATACTTTAATAAAGTAAAAAATGAATTCTGGAGCAATTAGAGGAAATCGAGAACAATTAATTCATTAAGAAAACCATATGAAAATCTGTTGGGTTATTTGGAATCTTGTATATGCTTATTTATTGGAGGATGCAGCCATCAAAAAAGAAAGGAAGGTTATTTGGAATAGGAATAAACAAAAATATGTTAACCTTTAAGTAGGGAAACATAAGAAGCATTTAAGGAGCAATTTTTTAGGCATTATAAACATATAAATTTTTATTTTTCCGCGCTAACTTCCTGACGGTTAAGAGGCGCCGTGTAGAATTGATATGCGAGAATCATCTGATAGTTAAATAGGTAACTGCATCTATGTGTTACCATCAGAGATACAAACAATCAGTTATCATTTGTCTTACATTACTCTGTGCAATAGAAGCTACTGCGTTAGTGTATAGCAGTCTACAGTGGTGCATAGAGCTGAATCTGCTTCGAGGTTTTTGTCGCGGCAACAGGAACTGTCATGTTCGTTCATATAAAAATACTGTGAAATTATAATAGATGGAAAATATATCTAGTACTCCAAGAGTTTCCAGCGATCCTTCCACAAAAGGTTTTGACCTTTCTGCTGGACAGAAATGGATTTATCCTATGAATTATCCTCTGCGAGAATATCAATATAACATCACTAAGACAGCACTTTTCAATAATACTTTAGTATGCCTTCCAACAGGTAATTAAAATTAAAATAGATTTATAAGTAATCGTTATTAATTATGTTACCATTCTTATATGGCTAGGTCTTGGAAAAACATTTATCGCTGCTGTGGTAATGTTTAATTTTTGGAGATGGTTTCCACAGGGAAAAGTTGTGTTTATGGCTCCGACTAAACCACTTGTAGCTCAGCAGATTCATGCTTGTCACGATATTATGGGAATTCCTAGTGAAGAAACTGTGGAAGTTACTGGTATGATAATAGTTAATAGATATTTATGGATGATATACAGAATATATTCCAATATATAAAAATTGAAAGAATATAATATAAGAGATTATTATATTTATTACAAGTAATTTCATGGTTTTATTATAGGTGCTACTATGAATGCAAAACAGCGACGAGATATATGGCGCAAAAAACGAGTTATATTTGCAACACCACAAATTTTTCATAATGATCTTAAGAACAATATCATAGATGTACATTCGATAAAATGTGTCGTGATAGACGAAGCACACAGAGCTTCAAAGAAGCATTCGTATTGCGAGGTAATTTCATTCTCATTAATGCATAGTACTTTTGCAACTATAATTTTTTATTACTTTTAGGGTATCCATTTGTTGAGCGAACAAAATACAAATTTTAGAATACTGGCTTTGTCTGCGACCCCAGGTGGACGGGTAGATGATGTTCTTAAGGTATGGAAAAATCTAATGTTGTTTTGGATTGCAAAACTAAATGTATGTTTTGCAATTTTACAGGTTATTAAAAATTTGCACATATCGAGTTTGGAAATGAGAGATGATTTTTCACCAGATATTACCCCATACATTAATAACAGAAAAATAGATATCATTCCAATACAACTGAGTAAAGAATTGAAAGCATTCGAGGACAGATATGTCTTTATTATGGATCGGCATGTTAAAATCCTAATTCAGCGAGGTGTCATACGAGGCAACACTGGTGATATTTCCAAAGGAATGGTAAACACATCTTCATTACTATTTGCATAGTTACAACTTAATACTAATTTGTATAACTAAATATCATTCTTCTTCCAGATATATAAGATATCCCAAGAATTTAAAACTAGAACTAATAAATCTGGCGATCACGATTTTTTGGCTAAAACCCTAACTATTTTGATGACCATGTATCATGCATATCACCTCCTTAAAAATCATGGATTGCGGGCCTTTAAGAATTTTTATCAAAGTACGTACTTCTAAAATTTCTCTCAATATCTAGTTTTCTTCTTTTCTGTAGTATAATGATCTTAACAACCAACATTCAATTTTAAAACTCTTCATTGATTTTCATTGCAGACCATTCAGATAAATATTGGATGAAAAAAGAGATGGAACTGCAATCGCTGTTGGAGGATGTTGATAAATATCTTGGTCCATTTCCTGACATAGATTCCATATTGTCAGACGATGGAGTTCCGCAAGTCCGCATCTTTATCAGTTTATCTTTATTATTCAAAAACATAAAATAAAATACTTTAACACTTAAATCGACAGATTCCGGACAATCTTGTTTATGGGCATAGCAAGTTCCATAAGCTTAAAGAAATCCTAGAAGAACACTTTCGTTCTTTTGAAAGCAATAACAAAGAAACCAGAGCCATTGTGTTCGTAGAGGTTTGTTGTATTTTGTATACGGAGTGTTTGAGGCGATATAAAGTTAATTGTTCTAATTGTAACAGTACAGAGACATAGTTAACGAGGTCTATGTGATGCTCCTGCAATCACATCCACTTTTGCGACCTCAAAAATTTATGGGTCAGGCTAGCCAACGTCAAAAGGAACAACTTCGAGCTCTGAATGATTTTAGAAACAATAAAGTCAATGTTCTCGTTTCAACATGCGTAGGTTTGTATAGTATTAAAATAATGAAAATGGAGGTTTTAGTTTGACAAAAGATTATTATTCCAGGAGAAGAAGGGTTGGACGTTGGTGAAGTCGACCTGATCGTTTGCTTTGATATTATGCAGAATAATCCAACACGATTAGTTCAAAGAATGGGGCGTACTGGTCGCCGCAGGGATGGACACATTATTATTCTAGTTACCGAAGGAAAAGAGTATCTGGTATATGACAGGCGATTGAATAAAACAATCTAATCAGAAAAAAAGAGACAAAATATTGTGTTATCTTATCTTTTCTAGACTCTGCAACAAGCCATGAAAAAAAAAGATTCCTTAAACAAACAGATTTTAGAATCTAGCAATATTACCTCATGGTTCTATGAGGATAATCCACGCATGATACCACCGGAATGCAATCCGGAATGTTACAAGATGCATATTGCAGTTCTTCCGAAGACTTCAGGCGGCAAGAAAGGTCGTAAAAAGAAATTTAATGAAAAAGAGGAAGTTAAAGGAAAAAAGAAAATGCCAAATAACGAAGATACTATTACGGCAATTGATGATGAAATACGTAAGTTCATATTTCATCACTAATACTCATCCACATTTGTCTATAAAAATAAGAAATTTCAACCGTAGATGGTCATTCATGTATTATAGTTAATTCATTCTTGGTTTTTATAGCTTGTAAAAGTTCAACCAGCAAACAAGGATCACAATCTACAATAATGACGTACTTTAAAAATGCAAAATTACCTCAGACAAAGCCAACAGATAAAAATGAAAATAATATTTTGGCCATGTTTAAAAACTCTTCCCGGGCAGAGTCCACTACGGGTATCAAACCAGAGAATGTAAAATTGCTGACTTCCGATGCCAAAATAATCGACTTCTTGACAATGTGCGCAATGCGGGAATCTGAAATTGAAAATTCTGTGTGTACTCGGAAAGTCATCGATTCCAGATACATCCCATCTTATCCCGTGGAAGACGCGAAGAGATTTTTAAACGGGCCTGCGTTAGATTCAAACATTTTGAATTGTCTCACGGAGCTCAATGAACAATCTTCATGCGTGTCACCTGAGAGAGAGGAAGTCTTTGAAAATGATTTCGAGGATGACGCGGATCAAAATTTTAATCCTTTGGAATTTCTACCAGAGGACAATGAAGTGAACGTTAAAGATTACATTCCAGAAACATCAAAGTATGACGATGGTTACATATCAGAAGTAGTGATGGATAATGATGGTTACATTGAGGAGGTATCGAAATTTGAAGCAGTGATGGACGATTCAAGTTCGAGTTCGATAAATTCGAATAATGAAAATAAACACAAAAGCAATATTTTACTAGAAAAGTCACATTTTGAAGCATTGCTCAGTGAATCTTCTAGCGCGTCTTCTATCATTACCGATAATGAATATGAAAAGACAATGAAAATGAATGCTGATTCTATACAGGATCGACTCAACGTCGATTGCAATAATCATGATACGACAATAAATATGAAGTTTGGTGATGTATCAAAATCTCCAAAAATCAATAGCGACGAGTTTGAAATGGCGAGAGACGTTGAGTCTGATCATAGTCAAGGTTTTGGATTATTCGAACGTGTTTTGGATGATTCGTCAGAAGAAAGTGAAAATCAACCATTGCCAGTCACAGAGAATTCAACGTTTAAAAAATCTCAAGAATGTATACACAATATTAATGAAAATTCAATATTTAAAGGGTCCATTATTGGAGATTCTATAAGCAATCATGATGAAAATTCAAATGACATGTTCGAGAGTATGGACGAGGATTTTGACATTGATGAAATTCCTGATGAGAATGCATGGATCAGTAAGGAAACGTCGAAGGCGATTGGTATTAAAGATTCCAAAAATTTAAATAGCTTCTCCAGTTTTGATGGATTTAAAAATGATATCAAGCTTGAGAATGATACTATTGGAGGAAGGGAAGAGGGTATTGATAGTTTTAGATTTGAAAACTCCACGTTATCAATAACTAAGTCATTGAATCAGACAATAAAAACCCAATCAGAAAATGATGGAAAATATTCAAATTTAAGTACACATAATAATGAAAAGTTAGCAATACCTAATAATAGTGCTTCTAGTGAGAATTTGCAGGAAAACAAAATGATAAAGGACTTCAAACAAGTATCGAATACGACTGTAGATGATGACATCAATAGAATTGAAATATTAGACTCCGATGAAGATATATTCAATGATCTCACGATCATAGAAGATAACATAAATAATTGTAATATCATTTCACCAATTGGCACTAATCAGCGCACAAATGAAAATGACGTTTTTCCTCCAATTTCAAGCTTAAAAAATAGTTTAAATGAAACCAAGAAAAATTCTGAAGCTACGATTGGAATTGTTCAGCTTGATTCGTCACAGGAGAATTCCAAATCAAGTCCTGAGATAGCTAATAAAATTGAAGTTTCAAGTACAATTAAAACGAGAGCGGAGATGTTTGATTTAACACTTGAAGGCAAAGAAGAATTAAATGTTTCAAATTTTAATTGGGACGATGACTTCGTAATTCCTCAAAATCCCATCACAGATGTCAAGCAATTCCAAAAGACAACGAGTACTCCTCAACCACCAAAAATTTCCAGCTTTAAAATGAGACTAGATAAGCTTAAAAGGCATACGGAACCAAATAAATCAAATATCGATAAGACTAGTAGCTCAAAGATTAATGACCCAAAAATGTGCACAAAAGTAAGTTTAGATAGATATTTCATAACACCCAGAAAAAAGTTATCAAATATTTTCAAACACAAATCAGCTCAGCCATCCTGCAGTTGGCAGAAACCATCTGAAGAATCTAGTCACAAATATGACTTCAATATTTCCAATGAAGATCTGGAAAAAGTAGAAGAGTTAGAAAGTAGTTATTTCGGGAACGATAATAATTCAAGATCCCCAATATCTAAGTCGGTCTTGAACAACAAACTAAACCTAACAAAGCCACAGCAGGAGTCACCACTGAGACAAACTCAAAGGAAAGAATTCCGTTTGAAGCAACACGAAGTAAACAAATTCTTCTTGTCTACAAAAGTCGAGAGTGATGATAACGAGGACATTACGCCTTGGAAAGTTTCAAATATTAAACAAGTCAAAACAATAAATGACCAAACAGCTAGGAAACATAAAAGTCACAAAAAGAAGAACATGGCTGGTAGAGTTAAAAATGAATTTCTGGATAATGAAGTGGAAGTGTCCTCGGAGGGTGAATGTACTTCTGAAGGGACTTCTGGTGAGGATGGAGATCTTTCTGGCTTTGTTAGTTACACACAAGATGTTAAGAATCCTCACGATATGCAAGCACATTATTTAGAATCCATTAGGAGTCCTGTTAAACTCCCTGGAGGATTTTGCTTTAGGAAACCTAAGACTCCTGTTGCCGATATGAATATTTATTCGCAGACTGTTGAAGATGACTCCTATCTTTATGTAAGTAATTACCGTTAATTTAATTATTGTATCACACAGGCTCCCTAAATAATCTACATATCCATTTAAAATAATTAACAGGATTCTTTCTGCGTGAGAGAAAATGACCTCACCGACAATGGTTCTACTGAATATTCCATATTGGAAGATGTAGAAAAGAAATTAAGTAGCAGGAAACGAAAAAGAAAGGGATCGAGTGATTCTCGTGGAAACACAAAGAGAATTATAAATAGAAAAATGGAAGACGGTACGAGTAGTGAAGATGAAACCGAACTATTACGCAAAGAGACTCTAGATCAATCATTCATGATCAGGACGAAGAATAGATAAGGAATAAGAAAAATTTCTGTCAAGTTATTTACAATGAAACTAATAATATTAATACATTATTCATGTCTTCGATGAACTACTAAATCAATAGAATGTGATACTCAGTGCCTATTTACAATTTTTGTATGTATTAAATATATGTGTGTTTTTATGTAAATAGAAATTCAATGCTCAACGATAGCATCAGATTATGTGCTAATAAGATTTCCAAATAATAGGAGTATACATGTAGTATAAGAATGTAAAATAAATATCTTGTATTTGATACATTCCTCATCTTCTTTATCCAACAAAAAATTATTGTGTATTGTAACTTTTTTCTTTTTTTTTAATGTACTGTAACTTATTGTGATGTTAGATATGTCAAATTCTGAAATTTCAAATGGCAACGGAATAAGGATTCATAAAGTCACCAATGCAAAAGCAATTAAGGTACACTTGAAGATACTGAAAAGTACCAAGGATACCTGAAAAGGAAAAGTACCTGTAAAAGAAACGTAAAGAGTAATAAGAAAACAGTGGCCAAACTCCTTGTGGGATTTTTGGAATTTCTCAAAAATGTATGTCCATTACCGGGGATCTCCAGGGCTTCGCGTAATTATATGCCGTGACTAACATTGTTTTTCAACAATTATAATAAGTATTATAGAAGATTACCTATAATTTTTTTAATTTCCCTAACCAATTAGCTTTCGAATAGTCTGAATAATGATTTGCATTACTGGAATAGGCGCTGTGACGTCATAAGAATTCAAGAATAATTTTGACTTGGTACACTTTCACGTAACGGTAGAGATATTCATGCGAAGTTTCACCAATTTGAAATTATTGACCGAGTCTTATCTTTAGGCCGCCTCAAAATTATACGAATAATCTTTTCGGCTTTTACATGCACTTATTTTCCCTCGGATAGTTAAAGCATAATCCTACAATTTTAACATTCCAACCATTATCGCGAAAATTATTTTGTCATACCGGAAGACACGGTAAAAAGGATCGGAATTCTCCAAGAGGAAGTAGTCACATTTTTATCTACCGATAATAAATGATAGTTTTTAAAATAGTCAGCAACATCACTATTTGTTGGTATCTTTAAGAAATACTACACATTCCTGAAACCAATTTTTTTTAGGTAAAGATAATATATAATATACCAAGCAACACATATTATCCAAAAGTTTACAGAGGTTGTGTTTTAGACATCTCAAAGATGATTTTAGGATTTATGTGCTGTCTGGGTCTACGGAGGGTATTAAATATTGATAAAAGATTACATGCAGAAGGATCTACCTGGTCAGTAATCCCAGCAAAAATACTTTTAGTACTTTTTCTTGTACAATTTGTACAAATTTTATCAGATTTAAGAAATTCTCAATACAGCCTTGGGCCGCGACAATATTCACTCAAAAATCCTTATCTACCTCGGTACCAGTTACAGGCTACGTATTGCAGACAGGTATGCAGGCAAAATATCCATGGCTAATGCACAGGCGGGGGTAGAACCGTTAAGGGTGGAAAGCGAGACATATATAAAGGTAGAATGGTGAAAAATTAACACAACAGTCGACAATATTTCACCAAGCTGGAAACTGGCCCTTTGAAAGATCCTCATTTCGTAGGAAGCTTCGAACTAGTCAGGTAAGAGATATAATACATCAAATAAAACCATTTGTCAATAGTAAATCTAGCAGAGAAAGTGGATTAAGGATTTTATATTGATCGAACAATATTAACTCATATAAACTAATTTTTCTTAATATTAATTGCAGCTAGAACATAAAATGAATCAATTAGTGCTGATATTAGCCTTAACTGGTGTGGTGCTTGGTGGAACAATTGTTCAACCATCCGAAAATTTGAAACAACAGAAACGCGAAGTGGCAGTAACATCGGCTACTTCTGGTGGAAACCAGTTACAGTCATCCCAATATTATTATCCTACATATCCTGAATATACTGAGCCAGGATATGCAGTTCAATCTGGATACGAAGGATACCTGGTGCCAGCAGTCCCGACGAAGGATTCACAAAGCAGCAGATGGACTTCGGTTATAATGTCGAACTTGATCCCTATTTCCAGGTTCGCCCTGAGTTATGGGACCCGTGCTGGTTACTATATTCTTAATTTATTATTGCTGCTCCTTGTCGGCGGTGCGTTCACCACGTCCATCTGCACCTTCACACCCTTCTGTACTATCACTTTCTTAGGACTAGGACTCAGTAAGAATGAGGTATGTATAATTATTGAGAATAATTATTAGATTGAATTTTCTTGGTTTATTCTCAATTTTGCTTTATAACTTTTGATTTGATATTGTTACCAGGTTAGGGAACAGGTCAAGGAATTGGCTAGGAATTATATTACACCTGAGAGGGTCAGTTTGGCTACCTCCATGGTAAAAAGGGCTATTGACAAATATGCTGCTCTTCAGAGAACTCAGGATACCGAGGATGAGAAAAAAGAAGAAAAGAAGGATACTTCCACTGAAAAGGAATAGTAATTAATTTTCATTACGGTGGTTCCTTGAATATGCAAATAGACTAAACATTATTTTACAATCGATGAGGTTAGATTTTAGAGAACAAAGAAACATTTTTATTTAAGTACACCGCTAATTTATATCTTTTCATCTGTGCCATTTTATCGTTTAATTATTAACATTGTATTTTTGTTCACGCTAAGATATAAAAATAAAGATCAACTAATAGTGTTATAATATTTATACATTTTAATTCTCTTTTATCAAATTACCAATCCCTTATTGTAGTAATATTTATTCTAAGCTCCACTCTTCGAAAGGACATTCTCTAAAGGTCCCCGTTATTCACATCAAACACTCGGCCCTGGTTAACGTTCTCCTCCTGGCTCCTCCCTCTGTAAAACCAGAAACATACATAAATGAATTCCATGTGTACAGCAACTCACTCCTCGTACCGCTATCACTGATCAGTTAGTTTTCAAACGTAGTCAGTGGCCGTCAGTGCTAAGGATCAGAGTATAGCTACAGAAAAGTATAATCGCAGTGAATATTTTAGAAACACAAAAACAAAAAGGAGCAGGAAACCAAAGGCCTGCATTATGATTCGTGAATATTATGGTAAGAACGAAAATGTAGAGTTCAAGATATTAAAGATACATTTTTCTTAGATCTAGGTGTAACGATCAAAGAAATATTAGTCGGAGTCAAGGTCGTACCTTGAACTTTGCTAATATTAAAAAAAGGAATGGATCGTGAATTAACAAGAAAATAATAAATTACTTACGAATTCTAGGGAATTTACAAAAATAATTTCTTCGATTCATTAAAGCTTCGTGACTTCGTAATGCTTTCTTTTTCTTCACAATCCAGAGAGACCTTGACAGTGGAAGAGAATCTCAGAACACGACTGGTTTTCTCGATGCACTTTTTGTCCGTGTTGTACTGGCCCTGCAATTTTGTTTATAGCGATGATAAAGTTCGCAATGCCGACCTACAGGTTTAGCAGGGAAATTTTGCAAGCGATCGCTTACCACGAAATTCTTAAACTTGATACAAAATGTAAAAAAAAAGAAAAAGAAAATAGCTGCTATGCAAATTTAAAGGTCACAATGAGTATAACTTTTCGAAAAATTTTGACCATCTATTAATTTTTTTCTCGGGCCTTCACTCTACTGTATTTTATACACACATATTTTTACTATTTTCATTTTATTAATCGCCTCAGACGGACGTTAACATCCGGGAGGTTGCTGACCACAAAACTCACACAACTTTATATTTGTTTTTAACTATTAAATAGGAATCTCAATGTATTAACAATTCCAGCAATTCTCTAATGCTGTTAACTTTATTCTATGAAGGGCGAATCGCCTTGTCGGTTCTTGTCTTTCTGGGAAGTTCCGTAGCAGCACAGTCATCATCAGCATCAGCATCAACTTCTTCATCGCCATCAGCTGCCACATCAAATGCTACAAATACAGATTACTGGGATGATGATGATTTCATTCCTTATCAAGGTGAACGTTTCAATGTCTTCGATTGGAATCTGTGCAAGGTATTTACAATAAATAGCAAAGTGATAATTATTTTCTTAAAACTATTAGTCTTCTTTCGCATTCACTTCCAGAGTATGGCCAAGAAATTTTCAGGCAATATGTTAATATCGCCAATATCTGTAAAATTAGCCTTGGTCCTCTTATACGAAGGTGCGCAGGATCAAACTGCGCACGAGCTAGCTGGTGCAATGCAACTTCCGGTAGGACGCTTTGCTACGCGGGATACATTTTCAAATATCTTACAATCACTGCAGGTACGTGTTACCTCATATGTATTAGAAAATTATTTTGCTCTATGTCATTTTTCCTTTTTCAACATCCACAGGCTACCAGGCCTGAATATGTATTGAATGTCGGTACAAGACTTTACGTAGATTCTTCAATAGTAACGAGACAAAGATACGGAGCTATATTGAAAACATTTTACAATACTGATTTGGTCAGCGCTAATTTGTCTGATACAAAACCAACAGCTGCAGCCGTTAACGACTGGGTTCGTAACATCACCAACGGAAATATTCCAAAAGTAATTGAGGATCGTGAGTAACGAATACAATTTTCGTCACGAGTATAAAGGAACGTGCACAAAATCACTTTTTCATTTTTCCTTGATAGATAACAGCTTGAAGGACTCAGTAATGCTTGTGATGAACGCGCTTTACTTCAAAGGATCATGGCGTCATCCATTTCCATTGAATCGTACACAAGTAGCAAACTTTTATACTGGAATTGACAAAAGCGTTTCGACACCTTTCATGCATACTGTTGGAAACTTTTATTTCTCCGAATCACCTGAATTAGACGCCAAAATAATACGTCTTCCATATTTGGTATGTGCCTGAAATCAATAATTCAACTATGAATTATTTTGACATTCCTTTTAATCATTTAATACTTGATTGTTTTTCAGGGTCACAAATATGCAATGTTTTTAATTTTACCACGTACACGTGACGGTATAGAGCATCTGGTTCGTGAAATAAATCCTTTTATCCTAACAAGACACATGTGGCTTATGCAGGATGTTCCGGTGGATGTAACAATTCCGAAATTCAAATTTGATTTCACGTCGCACCTAGAAAACATTCTTCGTGAGGTAATACAGAATAGTCATTACAATTCTTAAGGCATTAAAAAAGGAAAAAGATAATAATAATACCATATTGCATTTCAGCTTGGTATACGTGATATTTTCGACAACACCGCCACCTTGACAGGTATTGCAAAAAGCAAAAGTACGTCCAAAAAATTGGTGGTATCAGACGTCCTTCAAAAGGTTGGAGTAGAAGTAAATGAGTTAGGAACCGCAGCATACGCAGCAACTGGTGCGTAAAGAAAAATGTGAAAAATAAGAAAATTATTTAGAATCGCAGAAGGAAAAAGTAAAAAAAATGACTTATATTTTCCAGAGATACAAGTGGTAAATAAATTCGGCGAGCAATCATTTCATGCGAATCATCCATTCCTCTTCTTCATCGAAGACGAGACCACTGGTACCATCGTCTTCGTCGGCAAGGTCACAAACCCTCTAGAGATGAATGGACACCTGGATGTATCTGCACCAAATTTACCAAATCGTTTTGGAGACTCAACCAGTGGTAAATCGTCACATCCGGTCAGATAACCAGGGTAGTGGAATTAACCGATTGAGCATGAACATAGTGGATGATAAAACTAACTGATGGGAGTTTGAAACTTGCACGAATATTTCATATTCCCCAAATATCTTTATGAATATCATTTTGATCCATTCCTGGATCATCCTTAATATTTTCTATGAAAAATCTAAGCAAACTCAACAACTATTTTTCAAACTTTTAAGAATAAACCATACGCATGCAACCAACGAATTTCTCAGCTTATCATGTAACAAATTCCACCAGAAAAAGCATTGTTCCAATAATTATATAGTAGTAAGCGATAACAAGCACGACTGATAATTGTATAAAAATTAAAAATCCCCAAAGATTTCCCACCACAAATGAAAAGAAGTTCAAAAATCCGAAAAATTTCCTAATCCAATCATTCTCAATCTGAGAAGAGTACCTGGTCACGTCCATTCCGGATAAAAACTATTTATTTCTCATCAAGTTCAAGGCCAATCAATTAAAATGAAAGAATCGTCGACACAGACTACCAAGAAAAAAAAAAATTGAAACTCCATGAAAGGATACACGATCTATTCACGGGCCGACGCCCACATATTACAATTTGTTTGACAGTACATACAAGTTTGAAATTTCCATTCGCTATATACAAATGTATACTGTTGAATATTCAATGTACAGTCAACGAAAATCCCCAGTTACACGTTATCACTGTATGCGCCTTTATATTTCAAAGAATGTGTGTGTATGTACATATATATATATCATGTATATGTATATAGTAAAAAATCATTAAAGAGATAAAAAGAGGAAAAGAACGTAAAGTTAGCACGAACAACCGTTTCTATAGGACTAGGCAAGTATTAAAAAGTGGGACTAATGATTACGAATGGCGAGGCTTCATTTGAACAGCCAATAAGAGTGAAGTGTAATATTACCTATTTAATGTGATCCCGAGGATCACAGTCAATCACAGTATTCGTTGGATTGTCGTAGCGCGTAGAAGTGATTCGCTGAATTAAAAATTAATTAGCAATGATAGTGTATCCTATGACAAAAATGTGGATATTAATAGCGTGGTGTTTATTCACTAAAGTTTTAGGTATGTTTTGTTCTGAAGTATATCTATATTATTTTTAAATTCAATTTTGTCAATGCTGTCACTTATATTCGGTCAGGTACTAAGGAAAATTTGTAAAATTTTGATCACGAATACACAATTAGAAATGGGTACATATTAAGAGAAATTTATGAAACTCATTTTAAATTATCAACCTTGAGGATCGCTATTGCCTCATCCGGGGATTTCCCGGTACACGCTTCGCTGAAAACCTGTTTATATTCTTGTTTAGGTCTCTGTAGGAACTTTAACCGTTCACGTAGACTTTTGTATTAAATCTTTTATACAGCCTGAAGTAATTGTATATACAGTGATCTGTATAATTATATTTCCATTTGGCCTACCGAGACGTTACTTGTGTGTGTGTGTGTGTATATATATATATATATATAAAAGCTATTGTGGCATGTAAATCCTAATGGAAATAACATTGTATTGGAATGTAATGTAGCAAATAATCTGAATATAATATTTTAGGTTCACAAGGCGTAACCAGCGCAGAGGAACGTTATAACTTTTTCAATATCGAGTTGATTCAGGTAAATAAAATTGTTGGCTCAGTCTTGAAGAAAAAGGATGTTTAAAGTTAAAATACTTTTTTAGACAGTTAATAATGAGGCTGAGGGTAACGTCGTCATTTCACCTGCCAGTGTTAAAGTCGCTTTGACAACATTAGTCGAAGGATCGGGCGGGCGAACGCGAGACGAACTATTGGCAGCTTTAAGATTACCTTCAGATGTAGTCAGCATCAGAGATGTAGCCAGTAGGACATTGGCGCCTTTTCAAAATGTCCGTGCTGGTACCGAGCTTAATTTGGCTACACGATTATGGACAAACCAGGATTCTTTTGTATTTAGAGAATATAGCGACACTCTCCAGAAACATTACGGCGGTGATCTACGAGCTTTGAACTTTGGAGATTCAGTTGGGTCCGTTGAGATTATTAATGACTGGGTGCGCCAGGGTACCAAGGGTCATGTTAATTCCATAGTGGAGTCGGGTATGTGGATAATGGATGAAAGAGTTTGAAGTTAAACAATTGTTTTTCTTTTTTACTTTCTAACAAAATTTGACTGTACTTGTAGGTAGTTTGGATCCAGACACAAAATTGCTGCTTACCAATGCACTTTACTTCAGAGGATATTGGCTCAAGTCATTTGATAAACAGGCTACTCGTCTTAGGTGCTTCAATGTTCCTGGTAGAGGATGTCAGGAAACATCAATGATGGAGAATCTTTCAAAATATCGTTATGCTTATGTTCCATCTCTTGATGCTGAAATTGTTGAGATTCCTTACGCTGTAAGCGTTTTAAGATTGAGTATATTGATAATTTTTAATGTAATTGGTTTTACGAAAGTATGTTTTATGTGTTTTAGGATGGAAGATTAGCTATGTTATTGATGCTACCACACAGGGAAAGAGGAAACCTACAGACACTCTCAAAAGATTTGTCGTACACACCAATTTCAGTATTACTGGATGGTCTTCAGGAAACTGAACTCTTGTTATCAATCCCAAAATTCACTATAGAGAGTAAAATGGACCTGAAACCTGCTCTTGAGAAAGTGAGTATAAGAATTTTTTGACTTCTTTGTATGAAACTTTTAGTAAAGTATTTTTCTCTAGTTCTAAAATATACTTCTTTGCGTAGTTGGGAATAAACGATCTCTTTGACTTGAATGCCAATCTCTCTGGAATTATGAAAAGTCCTATACGTGTTGGAAATGTTCTTCATAATGCAAAGATTGAAGTGAATGAAGAAGGAACAATTGCTGCAGCAGTTACAGGTATGACATTATCTGAATCCTTTGAAATACATAATTGGAATTTAGACAAGTTGGAAATATTGATTTGATTTTGTTTGTTTTTTTAAGGCATTTCAGTTGTACCACTTATGGGATCTACTGTACAGAACTTCAGAGCTGACCGTCCATTCCTATTCACCCTAGTTGACTTAGAAACAGCTGGAATAATATTTGCAGGTCGTGTTGTCCATCCACAGATTAATAAGGCTTCAATACTAGACTCAGATCCGATCATTCAGCAGGTATTTGGTTCATCCAATAGGAAAGTTCCTAATCTCCTTCATAGACCGTCATAATAAGGATCTTTTGGGACAATCTGCTGGATTAACAACATCACCTAATTTATGGTTTTGTCCCAGAGTTACATTTAAATAAGCTTGAAATCATGTCGAAGTTGAAACCTTGGTGATCCTGCTGGTTGATCGGTTCATTTCAAGCTCAATATATTTAACTATAGAAGAACATGATGAAGAACAGATTGCATGCATCTATCTCTCAATGGAAAAATGATATGCTGGCAAGAAAAAAAATTACTTAAGAATCAGGAAATACAAGGGATTCTACAATCGACAATGCTTCATTTTTGTATCGCCATTGCGCAAAAGCTGAATAAAAATTATTTTATTTGTTAAGAAATAGAAATATGGTGCATATCTCTTATACTTTCTTCCATTTTCTTAATTTTCTTTAATACAATCTTTTAGAACTTTTGAAACTCCCCAAATTCAGACACTACTGTATAGTCTGTTTGAAGCACCTCACAAAAATAAGATTGACAGCTACCATGTAAATATTCTAATCAAAAGTTTGTTAACTTAAAGTGACATATACCAAGTGAATGAAAGGATTATAAATGGAAAGCATTGTAAGCGTTAATCGGAAAATTAATTACATTTACTATCAACTGATATTTATTGTGCCGAGTGTAAGGTATAATCTACTGCATGTCCAATTGGCAAACTCCACACAGTCATAAAGAATGATACATGTAACATTCACTTAACCCACACACTGGTCCTACATTTTATACTTTATACAATAAAACTGCCACATCAAACCTGTTATACAAATCGTTAAAGCAGAACTATCATAAAAGTCTTTCAGTACTCACAATAGGTTTGTTCCGCGCTACCTACACTTTCTGAAAAGCGCATTTTCTAAGGAAAAACTTTACACGATACGTTATAGTAAAATAATAATTCCACACGGAAAACTATACGGCTAACTTTACGCGGCTAACTATACACGGTCATTTTTACAAATGTATACACAGCTCGTTTAAAACTTTACACAACCAATTCTCTTTCCTATATTTTTAAATGTAGAACAAATACGTCCAGTCAATAATTCATCATAGTCCACAGTCCACAGTCTCGTTCTATCGTACTTGGCACAGTTTTTGAATGACTAACCGTCAGAGGGTTACATATACCTTATTCTCTGTATACTCATAATGATATTATGCTGCTGAGAAATGTTTCAGGTTTATTTAAAAAATTCGTAGAGTTCTTGCAAGTTAGATGTTACTGAAAAAAGTACCCATTTGCCTATGTTATTACTGACTTAGTGGTGTTTTCATTATACAAATATCGACGCAACAATGTAATGCTGTAACAGATTTGTACATTACCATAAAGAATAACAAACCTACCGACTGATCCATATAACCAACCACAATCCGTAAACACCAATTTACCGTCCGCAGAGTCAAAGAGTGACATAGATTTCTATAATTATCCCTAAAATGCAATTTTCATGAAAGTACCCTAATTAATACGTACTCCTTGCACATATCGTTTACAAACATTACCGCGTCATTATAACACAAATTAACACAATGTTCGTAACAAACTAGTGCCAAACGTTCAAAGTAACTCTTAAATCATTATTAACCTATAAAAAAAAGTAAACCAGAATACCAAATCCTTCTTAAATCTCCTAAGCAATCCAAAAGGTGTCACTAGTATCTCAACTGCCATAACCATCTGACAGCCTCGTTGTCAAACAAGAAAAAGAAAGTCCAACAGCACCGCCAAGAGGTAGTAGTGGAAGAGATAGAGCAGATCAGTTGTCTTACTAAGAACATAGCAGGAGGAACATAGTCAAAAGAGTACGTCAGTGTTGAGCGTGCGCGTTCAGTGGCGTCGTGTTCTTCTCTCCGGTGTATACAGCAGCTAAATATCAGGACGATCCGGTTGCGCGACAAAACAGCTGGACAGTAGACTACCTCGCCGTTTTACGTGAACTGAAACAAGCAGCGTCGGTTTCGACATCCTGTGAAAAAAAAGAAACATCAAGAAAAAGCAGCAGTGAACTCACAACCAGTGCGTAAATTCGTGACATCCGGAAGCATATATAGAGTCAGCCAGTCTTAGGAATCATAAAAGAATCTGAACAAGACCATCACGGAGATTCTTCGATCTAGAGACTGCTATCAGGATCCTCTACGGGAGATACTGCTCTCAAAGGACGGAGGACGCTAACGCGCAAGGTTAGGTGAGTAGTGTGTTTTTATTTCGACGATTGACCACTCCTTTCTCTGGCAGTTCAATCTCTGCTGACAAACCCACATCAGCTTTATCCTCTCAACGCGATCCTGACTATATATCCTTCTGTTCACTACTCCTGACGAATTTCTTACTTTTTCAACTACACCATCTTATACTTCTTTTCACTCTCGCGGCCGAGACTTTCACCTTGTCTTGTATCCATTTCGCTTTCACACGTCTCTACAATCACAACGTGTATGTATACGTGGTACATAACAAATTTTCATCACCTATTTTCTCTGTTGCCTGGAATTATAAATCCTTCTAATCTTGTTTATTCCTGTAATACGTTTGACGTTTCATTGTATTGCGTTCTTGTTACTTTTTTCTTCGGCACTCTGGTAAGCCGTCGTTTGTTTATTTATAGATAAAATTATTCGCTTAAATAAATAATAATTACGCACTTTCATGCTCTTATGTTGACATGTGTATAAATACTACTTATAAAGAAATTCTTTTATTTGACAATAATGTTTGTTATTTGCTAACAAATACTATTACTCTGTGAAATAACAATATGTATATGTACTATGTATTAGTTGAATACAGACAGCATGTGCTACGCGTGACATGTGTATTCAATGTGTATCTCATTTCTGTAGGTACAAAAAATTATTAATATGCCAGAACACTGATAAGTCGCTCGTGCACCATATGAGAGATATAAAAAGAAAGGAGAGAAATAACAACAAAAAGAAAAGAGCAAAAGTGAAAAAAAATACAATTACTAAGAACTAAGACAAGGTTCTTAAAAGAATTATTATTGACTAAAAAGTAATTTTTGAAATCGGTTATCTCTCCCGCGCTTTTAACTTTGAGTCTCTTTCTTTTACCATTCTCGCACGTCTATGCATATTTTACTTTCTACTTTATTTTCCCATGTGAATATATGAGCGGCCAATTTTTCATTCGATTCCCGAGTATGCTTGAGCGACAATCGCTTGTTTCCAACGAGAATAATAGGACAATTATTTATCAATATAGTCACGAGAGTATGTAAGAGTATAAAAATAACTATCGAACCTGTCAAGTTTGACCAATCGACGATAATGTTTTAATTTAATGTTTTAATTTTCCGCGAATTTAGGTAACCACAATATTTCATACTTCATACTAATCAAAATAATTCCAAACCCCGTTAGATCACGCGACTAAAATGCCAACAAAAATCCTAAATAGACCAATTTTGACTCACATTGTACTCAGACCTTTGGCTCGAAGAAATTACACCAATAACAATACAAAAGTGTCTCCACGTTTCTCGTGCACATTAATTGCCTGTAATTGTAGCATTTACGTAGTAGGAAGTCTCACAGAAAATTATGACAATTAAAATCGGAAAAAGAAAGCCATGGCGTGTCTAATTAAAGAATTTTTTAATTGCGTCATCTATTGCAAACCGTTACTACACCGTGCCCCGTTACGCAGATTGAATTCCTTTAGAACAATAACCAATCTTACCGACAACATTACCAGCTACAACGAACTGCCTGCCAATTCAAACAAAGCGAACAGTCACCTTAAACGATAGTCTAGTCGAGCAGCAACGAAAGCAAGCAGGTAACGGCTGCAAGAAGCTATGCAGCCCCCCGCGCTCCTCGACTGTTATGAACCAAGCATTAGCCTCGTAAATATTGACAGGAACTCGTGTTGAGTCTAGATGAAGAAGCCGTCGTTGAATCCCCATCCGGTTATGCGACACGGAAGTCCTTCAAGAGTCGCGCTAGACTGCACCAGACACGACATCTGTAATATTATAGCATAAAGTTGACATAGCTTCTGATTGGTCCCTTTGAGCCTGTTGCCACCCCCCACCATCATCACTTTACCCCTCTTCCATACCAACTCCTGACATTCAGTCGCAAGCCCAGTTCACATAGTTGATGCTTTTATTTTTTACCTCCCCTCCCCACCTCCAACCCTATTTTTTGCTCATTTCGTCTTTTCTCGATACTTTTCGAACGACGAGTTTCATTCGCCTATCGAAAGCTACTGTATAACCGTTTCGCAACGAGTCAAGCGATTTCTGAATAAAATAATACGACAAATAATAAAGATACTAAAATTTCAAATAGCCAGTATAACTGCCATTGCGTTTAACGATTGAAAGTTTGTTCGTGTTATGGTACGGAAGTATCCCTGGTGAAAAAATTGTCACATAGCACGTATTGGATACATAGTATGTGAAATTCGTATGTATTTTATGTACTGGATTATCGGTAATGCTTTATTATTATCGACATATTATCACTGGCACTTGATCCCCACGTAGGGAAAATAAGGTCAAAAAAAGAGAACGGATATATTATTTGTATAAGACTTTCGTTAAGTCCGAATCAGACATAAAATTCTTTACGTAAAGTATCTAAATAATGTTCGTTTCGTATTTCAAATATACGCGCTATAAATACAGGGTCTAATTTTGTAGGATCCAATACTGTTCATTAAATAAATTCTTAATATATATAAATCAATTAAGTGAACTGATAACAACCATATATATATACACACACACACACATATATACATATATATACGCCAGACTTTTGATCATTTCTTTGTTCCCACTTGTCGTTTTGGAAATTTCTCCTTGGTTCCGCAAGAGCTCTTAGCCGTCTGGCGAGGTTAAGTGTCGCCATCATCGTCATCATCGTCAGACTCGTCCTTACTGGAGGGTAGCATATGTATGCCGTCGGGAGCTTCAGTTAAAATATTTCACAGAGACACAATGCTTCTTCAAGCTGTAGACAGACGCCTGTGTCTGTTCAGCTAAGTCAAACGGAACGTACGGGGATAGTAGGTGGTAAATAGATCATAAATAATAGGTAGCTGGTACGTACGTAGACGATGGTAGCGAATAGTTCGTAGCTAGAAGCTAGTTGCTGATAGTTGCTGATAGCTGCTGTAGATCGTAGCTACTCATCTACTGTTGATATTTCAACCTCGAGCGTACTCCTCCTCAGGACACACCGTCCTGTCCACTTCACTTTATACGACTCTGAGGATCCCCGTCCACTCCCAGTGCACCCATATAGCAATGTAGCCATTTAGTGTCCTGGCCCAAAGTGCAATCACGATCGCCCCCGAGAAATTGCAGCATATACATGATGAGACTCGTTGACTCCTCCCTTCTGGTGCCCGTCTCTATGTAGTACATAGAACATAGTATATATTATATACTTACTTCTTATATATTATTAGAGTGATATGCCTAGTGTAGATAGTCGTCGGTATATTAAATGTATGTATAACATTCAATTCGATATTACGAGCTACGTGAACTTGGCACCCGACTTTGGAAAATCAAATTTTTTTTTTATAGACTTATGGATTCAGGTATGTAGTTGTTTGTAGTACCAATTTTTTCGTTTGTAGTAGTTTGTAATGACATTCTCTTGTTTGTAGTTACTACAAACAACTACAAACGAAACGAAGCTACTACTTATATACGACTAAAACTAGCTTGAAGAAAAAAAAATTATAACCTTTTTTCTATGCTACTACAAACGGAAATTCTTTCACTACAATCAACTACAAACGATTCTTGGCCATCCACCGACTTCGAAAAAAATAAAATCTAATCACTGATTCCTGCAAAGAATCGTTTGTAGTTGATTGTAGTGAAAGAATTTCCGTTTGTAGTAGCATAGAAAAAAGGTTATAATTTTTTTTTCTTCAAGCTAGTTTTAGTCGTATATAAGTAGTAGCTTCGTTTCGTTTGTAGTTGTTTGTAGTAACTACAAACAAGAGAATGTCATTACAAACAACTACAAACGAAAAAATTGGTACTACAAACAACTACATACCTGAATCTATAAGTCTATAAAAAAAATAATTTGATTTTCCAAAGTCGGGTGCCAGGTTCACATAGCTGATATTACGCTTATAGCTGTATATGTTATGTTTATTATAAATTAATATCGCGTTAACGCGTCACGTTGTCGAGAGTATAATTTTAAAGAATATCTATAGAATTTTGTGACGCTAAACGGATAGAGGAATTTCCCATTTTTTATTGTTTTACTTTAATACCTTATTGGCTCCGCTGTTCCACTGGACTACATTGGTATCCATTTAGTCTATTGATTCTTAAGTGTGTCGCTTCAATTCGTATTGCAGCCATTTTGTTATATTTAATGCCTTTCTTAGCGTCCGCTGTTCTAGTCGTTGAGCGATCCAGTTTGCAATTATTAATCGAATTATCGACACGGACTTGTTATATTTGTCACAAGAGACTTAGGAATTTATGCGAAAATGTTTAATGGACTTACTGTTATCGCTTGATGAGAAAAATAACGAATTATGTAACTTTCAATTAATTGGAATTACGGCTCGAGTCGTTTCTTATCTCTGTATATATGTATGTATATACGTGAAGGTGTAAGGACGAAGTTGACAGATGGAAGGATGGAAAGATAGAAAAAAGACGAAGAAATAAAATGTTGTTCATGGTTAATCGATAAAACTTACCGCCATTTTCGTTTTGCTCGTATATATTTTCAAAAATATCAATACTCCCCATTGTTAAAATACTTTTATCTTTGATAACAGGCTGCTTATTATTCGCGTAAGGACCGCTCGGCTGAACTCGGCAAAATTTGGCTTCATTCGGCTGCTGGCGACCGCGATGGTATTGCTCAGCATTGCTTCTAAATGTTCCAAGCTCTGTATTTATATAAATAGATAGATACATATATATATATATATATATTATTCAACGTAGATCCAATAATCAAATGTAGCATTAGAAGGCAATATTTCATCTAATACTTTTTGTTGTTTACCCATAAAATATCTCAGTGGTAAGTAGGACACTATGATTTTTCTGTAATTTTAATAAATCGTATGATCGTATAATTTTTGCTCCTTTCGTTCGATTTTATCTATAGATTGCCGAAAGTGGGTCGTGCACTTTGTTTATCTTTTTCTCCGTTGTCTCGTCTCTCCTCCTTCATCCATTCGCCATTGACGCAACGACCAAACTTACGTTGGCGATGATACGTATACGACTACAAGCGTTCAAGTTCCGGCGTGCAAGGTTACTGACTTTTGTTAAAGGTTGTTGCAGGCTTGTGATTTGTGCCGCTAGACCAAGACACGCTTTCCATTTCGAATCGATCCAACGTGTCCCCCAACTCGTTTCAGCCGGTAACGGTACGTGCGTATACATATTTACGCTTTAAAAGAACTTAGATGGCGGTTAAGTTTGACTGTTTTTTTTTACAAGTATAATGGTTATAAATAATATAAATGTGATTATTTTATTCGGGGCTACAGCGTACTTCCGGTAGGCATCACTCCCGGGGAATGATTACCGGAAAAAAAAAATATTTCATTTTTGTCTAATACTTTTTGTTTACCGATAAAATATCTCGGTGATAAATAGGACGCCATTATTTTCTTGTAATAAAAAATCCGATTTTTCATTTTTCTACTAGTTACTATTTTTTTCTTTTATTCTTAATTTTTTTCAATTGACTTCGACTCGAATCAAGTTTCTATAACATTTTTATTTCCCTTTCAACTTTTTTATTCTCACGTGTACACTTGATAAGGCGAAATTTTATAAGCAAGAAAGTTTGAATTTAACGGTAATAATAATTCCGTACCGGAAGTACCATAAAATATCAACGCGCTGTGGGCGCATTACCATAAATCCTTCATCCGGTTGACAGGGCGTCCACAAACATACGATGCAAAGAACAATGAATCCCATTATTTGCATAGAGACCAACCAACGTAGTTAAATTTGGCTTACGCAATTTTTATTTTCCTTTTTCCTGTTCCGTCGTGTCTGACGGATTTGTTTTGACGATACTTTCAGTCGTAACGCCATTGGTCGAGTGCGTGGCGACAGCCTTCTGGCTGTCCAATCAGGAAACGGCAGCGCTTGTGCTGACGTCGTCGTCACTTCGAAGCAAAGTTAGGTTATGTATTGATATCAATAACCTCCTTTGCTATATTGATCCATATTTCTTTATTTATTTAAAGAATAACGAGTTATAATAAATTTTTTATTATAATTTTTGTGCATCCTTTACTACGACTGTATTACCTTTTGGGTGTTTGATCCCGGCCCGGAATAGCACCTCGCAAATGTGTGCAAGGCGTGGTACAATCCAGTTGCGTAAGTTTATTTATAAAGTAGTGCTAGATGCACGGCTGGTACTTTTAAAGTGTAGAAATAATGTCTAGCATGCGCGAAGGGTTCAGGAAGGGTTGCATGCGTAAATTGCGTAACTCGCGTGGCGATGTACATTACTACTGCAGCGCCACAGACTTCCAGGTGGTAGAACATTGAACGTACCGAAATTTCTTATACTAGCTATTTGAATTTTGAACTTTAACCTTTTGTTATGAAATTTACCTTTTTTTTTACATACTATTATTCACCTAACTCTTAATTGTTCTTCATTTTATTTTCTTTTCTATTTGCTTCGATACTCCTGTCACTTGGAGGACTTATCGAAACTTTAATGTCAACTTTGACACGTGACACACTTCAAAACATATGATATACATATAGGTTGTAACGTTTGTCGATAGTGCAATTTCGTACGCTCCTTATGAGTGTACGAAATGGGAGGCATGTAAATGCTCGGGGCTGGCGTCTTTAAGAATGTAGTCGACACAAGTGGGTAAAGTAAAATAAAATAGCAAAATTTTATTAAATACTCGATAATCGGTACAGAAGTTTTATAATCGGTGTCAATTACTCAGTCGAAATCAGTTGTCGGTATCGTAGGAAACAGGATTGTCTAGGAATCGGCCTATGTTTGTTTTTTATCCCTATCTCTCTCTGACCTTTATGTGAGGTACAGAGGATCTGCCGGTGTTGGTTCTATAGCGCTAGTGGCGCTTTGCCTATCTATTGGCTATGGCACTGTGTGCGACGCAACTACTAACGGCGCGGATAATAGATTGAACAAAATGGCGATAACTAAAGTTTCTAAGGTAGATCACGGTGGTCTCCTCAGAACTTTGACAAATTCTCTACGTTGCGGTCTACTCGGAATAGCGAATACTAAAAATCCGTAGCCCTTCGACAAGATTATTTACGCTGAGTTTTCTGACGCGAATATGCGCTATTTGACGGATTTCTCTTTACGCGGAATATGCCGTGCTTTCGCGATATTCTTCCCGATGAACTTACACTTCGTCGATTCGAATTTTGCGTATCCTTTCTACTAATTCGGATTTTTGACTGACTTCCATTCCCTCCAGCGATGCGAGTTGTTACTTAACGCCTTGTAATCCGATATTGATTAGCGAGAAGCGCTAATCTAACGCTGATACTAACCGCTAATACTAACTTTCCTTGTTTTGACTTTTGGGAGACGTTCTCCATCTATCGGCGCGTGTTTATACTAGCCGCGTGTCCTTGTCGTCCCTTTGTAACGGGTGCGCTCTCAGTACAGGAGTACTGAGAGGGTAATCGTTTTGTCACGTTACAAGGTACATACGTAAGTCTACAAATCGTATATCAGTCTTGTAATGAAACATGACATATTTACGATAAACAGAAACCTGTAATGTATAATGCATTGTATTGTGTTACATATATTTTAGCGCACGGTTACATGATTTAATATTATCAGCTATGAAAAAGAAATTTTGAAAATCTTTTGTCAAATAAATGTTACATTGGAGCAACGCTATGAAAGATATAGGAATCCTATAACGAATATGACAGAAACATTCACAGTCACATTTGTCACATTTGTGAACCGACTGTAGTTATCAATTTTTGAAATGAAATCCTCACCTCATGTAAAACTAATGTTGGCGTATATCATAATAATATAATTTATCAGTTCTCCATTTTCAGGATGCAAAATTATGGTGATATCCATTATCAGTGATAAGATTACAGTTGTAACACGATCAAATTATATGCGACCCAGTGAAGACATTCAGACTGGATGTTAAAAATGATTTTTTTATATTTATTAAACCGACAGTAGTAATCTGCACTTTTAAAAACAGCTTTAGTCACAGGGGGGTATTCAAATACCCCAGATCCAATTTTCCTACATCAAACTTCTCAATAGGTTCAGATATATTTTTAGTCTTTCTATTACAGCCTTAGTCAAAAGTCCATTCCACTCATTTATTATGTCGTCCAATTTACTAATGACTAGTGTTCTGAATAGACACAAGATTATTATCTGTGTCGATACTTAAGTGAGATACGAAAATAGGACACTGGGGTATTTTGATATCCCATGATCGATTGTACCGCGTTAAAATTTAATCACGAATAAGCTTGCTGTCACGATAGAACCTTCACTATATTATGTTATCAGTACAGATTAACGTTACCAACCGAGCTGGATCCTGGAATAAAAACAGTCGTTACTAACTTGACCTAGTACACTAATTCATAGAATCGAATCGGAGCTGTATGATTTAAAAAAAAATTTATTCCCAAGTGAAGAATTGCATCATTTGGTCGTACGTAACGTTAGCCATTTTTATTCTACGTAACATAATATAACATTCTACATAATATTTTATCTATATTTACCTATTCAGGGAGACAGGTTTTCCGTTTCTTGTACTAACAAGTAGCACGTGGCGTCGCATGGAAATTGTATATTTAAAAATATATATTTCAGATATATATTGTTACCACTACACACAGTCCAAAAAAATATATTGAACTTAATTCTTTATGCAGTCTGTACGTATTATATTAATCCATTTAAGAGTGGGTTCTCTGTTCTACTTATTCACGGGTTCTTTTTAAACAGTCTCGGCTGACTTAGCAAGTAGAGCGACTCGAGTCCAAGTCAAGACTCGCTGCATAGTGAAAACTTACCTCTAGCTGGAGGGAGGAAAAATTACAATTATCTTTTTCACAAAATGTTTTTGGTCAAGTATCTAACCATACACTCGGCGTACTAGGCTGGCACAGGAATAGTTTAGCTTTGTTAAACGCCATTTGCAATTGATTTGGTAAATAATTTTTTTCTTAATTTTTTATATATTTTTTTACCATGGCTAATTTTGTATAGAGCTTCTTTGTACCGTACTGTAGCCATGACTATTCCATAGAGGCCAGTCGTAATCGCTACTCCAGTGCCTGATAATTAAGTGTAATTGTCGGGAATTATGTGGTCGTGCTGATTCAGTACTGTCGTCTAAGTTACTTTAGTTGTTGTCCTCGTTGAGGACTCTACACTCTTTCGTTCGATTACGTAAGATCGAAGTGGCAGAACTGGATTGGGTGTAGCTCGAGTCTGTGTAGGTTGGTTATGTTCCGAAATGTACTGTCAGTAGCTACAGCGATCGGCACTGTGTCTTTATTCATCTACACGTGTCCGAAAGAGACGTACTACCTTTGTAGTATCTAGAGAGACGTAACTATCTTTGTCCTCAGTAAGTTTTAGAACACACCTTGTGACTCAGTGAGGAATTAATTAACATTTTTTTCTCAAAGTGCGACGAACTAATTGTTTTTGTCATTGATGCTTTTAAGGTTTTTCACTTTCGTGACGCGGGCAGCTCCTATTATGTCTATTTGACGAAAGTCTACGACCCCGATACAAGTGCTTCTTTTTCTCCAAGGTTTAAGATGCTGGTTTGCGCTAATACAATCGATGCACATCACGTTCGATGAACGTTGACAAATTTGACAATGGAGATCATGCCAGGCTATGCCTTGCATCCGGTGAAAAATGTTATAATTTTTTCTTTATAGTTATTAGAATTCTTTATTAGGTCATTTACCTGTCAAATGTCAAGCTAGGAAGCGATTTTATCGACGTGTGTACTTCTGTACCGACGTATGGTAATACTGTTTTAAATAACAGGAATTGACTAGACTGCCACCGATATCGAAGTACTTTAAATGCGTACTCATAGTTTATTAATATACAGATATACATGTATTTCACTACCGTATATTCCAGTGGAAACACACCTAACTGCATGCTTTGCACTAGTTTCCATTGTTTCTTTTCTTGTATCCGTGATAAAGCGCGCCGGTGAAGTCGCGAAGGTAAGGTAGAAATCTGTACGAACTATTACCATTAGCGTACGTATATTTTGACAAGTGAACTACCGTCAGTGACCTAGCATATACTTTGTCGAACCTGACTCTTCGTGAATTAATTTCTTTTTGTTACATATTCATTAAAATTTTAAGCACTTGTTACACTCAGTATGAAATTCATAGCATTCTCTGTACACTGTATTGAAAATGTTTAATGTAACATTGACAAATATTGAATACACGTCCAAGTGGTTATGTTCCTTTATACATTTGATCGGTATCAGGCTAATCATTTACTGGCTTCATTTGCTTTCTCGTGCACATATCTGCACTTCGACTAAAAGCATACAAAATATAATTCTATCACGGCCACTCGAGTCACCACATTATTAATCATTTATTACTCGACTAATAGGCATTCACGAATCAGCATCTCGAAGTCATAGACGTCGAACGTCATCACAATCCTCTCTTCGGAAACGTATTTCCAAAATAGGACAAAAAACGTTACCCTATTAATCTTCTACCCCATTAGTCTTAAAGATATATTAATCTCCTTTCAAATAATACAACTACGCGGAGTATCCTCGTCATTTTTAAATGCTAATTTAAATCCAACCTCATTTCTTCTCTAATATTAAAATAAAAATCACTAGATACAATTACACAATTCGTCATTTCCAAATTGACCCAGTCTACAAATTACTACCGAACAAACCCGAAACTCTATTCACATTTTCTTTCATTCGACTTTTGTTAAAGCAGCTCTACTCAGCTCTACAGCCATTGACGTGTCTCCATAGAATCAGCTCACAATTATTACCCAACAACAAAATTCGCGACAACCGCTTTTTTTAAAACTTCGTCCGATCTTCGGTTTCTCTCATCGCCAATACCTGATGAAAATTCATATACGTCATACAGAATTATTTAACGTCTCAGACAATTGACATCCCAATGACTTACGACGATTAATAAATTATAAAATTTATCATCCCACGTCCCAACGATTCATCCCTTCATTAAACATATCCATTAGCCTCCAGCTTAAGAGCTGCTTCGTAAGACGGTAGACCTTCGTCGTCCCTTCGGCCACTGTCGTTCATCTTCGTTCCTCCGTAACGGACTTCCGGTTCAATTGGTACCGGAAGTACGTTGCCTGGTGTACCCACGCACTCCTTTTTCTCACTCGGCGAAGGCAAACTTTGAGACTTAAATACAAGACTCTCGTAAGCTGGCGGAGGACCAGGTGTCACTGGTCGTGGCATAGCTGTCAACGTGCTTTCGCTGTCAATGTTCATCGTGGTGCTTCTGTCGTAATACTGAAAAAAAAAGAACACGTGTTATCATTCGTCGCTGATATCGTTTTTTTTTTTCTTTCAGGAAATTTAACATCCAGTCCATAGCCCACTTTAACATTTTTATCGTCTCGTCAGGACGGACGTTCGTTTTTATCGCAGCCACGTCTCGTTAGGGAAGTAGACTCTCATTGAGACAAATCGTATCCGACAAACTTGAACGACAATAATAAAAAAAAAAGAAAGTAAAATGGGTGAGATGGAAAAAAATTCAACAGAAACAAGAGATCTTATTCGTATTTTGTACTACATAACGATCTTGTTTTCTCACAGTACCAACTTGACGACGTAACTCTACCGTATAATGGGGAACCTTTCCATTTTTTTTTATTCGACATCCAACACCCCTTCTAGCCTTCCATTTAGTCCGCGACTGGCTGGAAATCGACCTTGACTACTTTGTAACAATAAAGCAGAACGATAAAAAGTATACATATTTTATATTACATTTACGAACGTCACTTTTGGTCTTATTTATTTATTTTTTTCTTTATTTCCTCTTTATTCCTATTATCTTCTGTAGTCGCGTATTGAAAACTCACCATAGCATGCGATTCCATAGTGAAGACTTCCAGACTGTGTACATCCGGCTCTGCACGCCAATACTGGGAATATTCCTGTGGACGATGTTTACGTATGTTTCTATGACAGCAATAGCAGACCAGTACCACCACCATTACAACTCCACTTAGCATAGCTCTGAAATAAAGAAAGCAAAGGGATATAAGAGAAAGAAAATAAAAAGTCAAAGTCCATTGATCCGTAGGTGTTTCGTGGGCTCTAGAGGAAAAGTGGAAATCGATCGTCTGCTTAACTATTCTATCGATCCAAATGACTTTTCTTACTTTTAACGACGTTTTGCTTGGCTTTCTTTTTATTTTCACTATTGAAACGATACTTCGATCAATTTCTTGTAGCCGCATCCAATCGATATTCACATTTGGTATAGTTGAGTAAATACTCAACTATTAATAGGTCTTTTATGTCCTATTGCGTCTATTAATGGGACTGTACCCATGTTTCTCTTGAGCTGGATAAACTAGTGCAAAAATGTTTAGTCAGTCTTGTAAAAGGTTCGGGGATATAATTTGTTTGCATATACTATAGATAGAATATTTGCACGGTACGTATACGGTAACTATGGTACAGTGTGTGTATACGTTAAGTATATAGTATATGACGTGAGGAAATGTCAAAAGGATCCAAAAAAGAGACTGTACGTCCTTGTAAATGGTAACTAGGATAATGCAGCTGCACTATAGGCGAAACATGACTAAGATAGAGTATAGAAAAAAGGGCGGGAATTGAAATTTTTTTGAAAATGCTAAATAGAAGAAAATTTTAATTTTTTTAAAAATTGTTTTTGTGTCTCATTTCTTTATAAGTGTTACACATTTTAGTAGTCTTTCTGTATTTGTTAATTGATCGTTTCAAAGACTCTTGTCTTCGTACTCGACCTTCTTAGACGTACCCTTAACGAATCTCGGAAGGGACGATTAGAAGGTCTTTAAAGGCGACTCCGGTCGCACGTTCGTTACACACTGAAGTTGTGCGACTTTTTTTTCGAATTCTTGAATATGCTTTGAAATTGCCACCCTTGAGTACTTTCTCGCAACCACAAGGCTTGCCGATGCTTTCTGCCAGCCCTGTTGGCAATGACTTATACACTGACGTTCTTTTTCTACTTCCACATTTGACTAACTCTTTCACCTTAGTCTTTAGACCTGACCCTGGTTACTTCTTTTCATTGGACCCAACTTTAAAGTCGTTCCTATACTAGTCGGCGACTGAAAAACGTTTATACTTTGAACGCCTAGGTCAAGGTCCATTTTGACCCCTAACAGTTTAGCTGTTAAAACCTAGGGGGTTCTTTCGTTTCTCGCATCTGGCAATTCTTGTCCTTGACCAAAATTTGATAGATGTTTATTATACCCAACTTTCCATTAGGTGCGAATTGAGAGAACCTATTTATTTATAACAGTTTTAATTGGCAGCATTTGTTTAACCGTAGTTATGAGTTTATGCAACTGGTGTCCTATCTGTGTACATATGACGTATTTAATGACAGAAAAATTTGTCAGTTGAAAATGATATAATTTGACCTGATAGACTGTTTAGAAAAAGTCTACGTATTAAAAATAATAAATATTTGTACAAAACTCGTGTGCTATTTGTTTATTGATCTTTTGTTCCAATTTCGATCCAATCACCTAGATACATCGAAAACTTATCATAGCGTTTATTTTATGGAAAGATTATTTATAGATAGATGTTACTCACCCACCAAGAAGTATGTTGACATTGCCGTGTAAATCAGTTTCGTAACGGCCCGCTCTCCCGGCGCCACCGTCGCTGTTGGACATGTTGGATTCCTGAATAGCGTAACTGCCACCGGTTAAACTATTATTGTTATGCGAGTACTGTGGCGTTTGCAACGCAGCAAGTACCGCCAATCGTTTCATTGACATTTTAGGCCTCGAATTTTACGAGGTCTCTTAGGCTTCTATGTAAAACGTGTATAATCAAGATGCGCGCGCATCGTGCCGCCATGTTTTCAACATGGCCGCTATTTAACGGTAATTTCAAACCCGATGACGACATTGGACAAGATAGAAAAGTTTTTCTATTTTACACTGTGCTTTCAACGATTTTTCAAGTTCCTCTTTATTTTATTTATATTATATATTATTTTGTATGTCATTTCTTTAAAGCGACAGTTTTAAATCTTTCAATTTATTTTTTTTACTTTTACCATAGTTCTTTGTCGTTGTTGCTGTATCGTTTTTATTATCCGATCAAAATATCCTTTGTACACGATTTACATTGTCCTTTGAATTTATATCACTGTTGCGTTTCCAGCACTTCACTCGACAATTAGTGATGGTTTTTTTCTTCTTCAGGCTTTGTTGTCTCCTTTCTCTTTTACTTTCTATGTTGCCAGCACCTGTGCCTCACGACTCCTTTGTCCCTTGCTGTCTTCTTTCACTACAAACGAATGAATTTTCAAGCATATATTTCTTTTTTGTATTTTTGACCAATCAGCTTAATATATTCTTCTTTTCTCTTTGTCACAGGTCTCGCACGAACGAATTATTTTGAATGAGGCTGTTCGCAAAATCGTCAAAATTGACAGGTGAGTCCATGTATTCAAATTTAAGTCTCAGGTATATTTAATTGACGGGAATATTCAAACAACATATTAAAGTAAAGACGACAATAATAGTACTATCCATAAATCTTGTCTAGTAACGTTTTCAGTAAGAGACCCTAACATTCGTGTCTACCTTGGAATATTCATTTGAAGTTATCAAATACTACCTCTATTTTAGATTACATTGTGAATTGTAAATGGTGCATGGCGGATCCCTAGTATCTCGTGCCGTTCATTCAAGGCAATTGCATCCCATCAACCTACTGAGAGACCAGTTTATTTTAAGAAGATCTGACACTAAGAAAGTTTTGAGAACTTTTTATATCGCAAAAAATATATTAAAAATAATCCATATCATTTTACTTTTAACTAGCATAAAAATATTGACAATTAGAGTACATTAAAATCAGTCAGAAAATAACGAAAAATTGGCGGAAATTTTAAATTTCTCTCTTGCCAATATATCTTGAGTAAATATTCCTGTCGTTCTATGTAAATCATACACGATGAATTTGCAATATCATGAACTTGAAGAAAACTGTTACGAGTACTACAAAGTACATCCTTGAGAACAATACTATTACGTTCTAGTATGTGTAATTCGCCGGTATCACGATAGTTCCGATTGGTACACGTGTCCCGCACTGAGTTTCCAACCCTCCTGGGCGAAGGTAACGTCGTGCCGAGAATCACGAACCAGTTTACTATATTCACGTATATATCTCCCTGTAGCTTCAGTGTCTTCGTTGGATATAGTCGCGATTGCCCTGTACGGGCCCGTGAAACAATCTTCAAATTTAGTCCACAAGAGTGTCACATGGTATTTTCAAGAAAGTTACCATTCAAAATGCGACCGAGTGTCCTGTCGATAAGGTAGATTGCACGATTTTTTTATTTACAATATTACTCATCCTTACATAATATCACATCGAATCAATCGTTTCATTCGAAAGACTAGAAAATTCACTCCGAAATTTTTCACAATTTTTTTCACTGTCACTCAAGCTTTTCTTTTATATCTATCGTTACTGGCTTCTCGAGGCGCGCTTTTCGAACGCGCGATCCTCCCGAACTCCCGTACTTACTACTCTGTCTGACTGAAAGCGCCAAGTGGAAAGGATCAGTGTCTAGTCAGCCCACTGACTCGTACGACACTGTGTGTGATGGTCATTCTGCGCTTCGTTGCCTGGTTACTCTGTTGGCTAACACTGCGCCCTTACGGCAGACTCGTGGAAGCTTCAGCTGCACAGGATTTAATATACGTTCGACGTAGTCCTATTATTTATATTATTTCTTCAATTCTAATTTCTATTAGCAGATTTAGATACTGAAAGACCGAGAGGCGTTGAATCGCAACGTTAGATTCTAAGGACTAAAAATTATGAAACTGCATTACCATAGGACTATACGAGACTGACTGTATAAGTCCTAGAGCGACAGTTAGGACTTGCGTCATCACTATTTTACCCCCTCTACAATTACAAAACTGATTACTCCTGCATCCTGAATGTCGTCCAATAATCAAGTTTGTTCCGCTTTGGTTTTTTATAAATTATTACAGTACCATAAGGCACTCAAAGTACTGTATACTTTACTATATGGTGTATGAACGATTATTGTACTTCATGACGCAATAGACAAATGTCACTGGGAAACATCAGGAATTAAACGGAACTGGACTGTTTTAATCCGTTCCTTATTTTTATATCGCACACCCTCTAATTCTTTATATCCAGATAAATCCGTTGAATCAATGTTGTTGTTTTTTTTAATAAAAAGTCGCAATTCCCTCTCTCCCAGCAACACCTAACCCAATTAGCAGTAATTTTTTTTATCCGTCACGAAATTAGAAACCAACCCTAAGTCACGCGATGTGTAATATCCTTTGGGAGTGACAGGGGACAATGTTACTCGTGGCACTTGACACTTTTGTCTCCCTTTGTTGTCTATGCTGACTTCACATACGGTTTTTAACCAGCAATCGTTTCAGTTCGTAGTTTGCTTGCTGTATCCGATAATAACTGGCTGGTTTTACATCATTCACCATTATATGCGTTAGTGCAGTTTCATCCGGTGGTTTAAAGGATTTAAAAAAATACCTCGGTACAGTAGATTCCGTTTTTATCGAAATTCGTTATTTAATACAATAATCACAATAAATACTTAGCTATTCAAAAGGCGATTCTACAATTCATTAAATAATCTTTTATTTGATTTACGATAAGTCTTAAAAACACGTGTAGTTTTTTTTTTCAGTGCAAACGTGACCTTATAATTCTTACGACAAGATACAGTCTTGTCATTAAATTCGCTTGTGGCAAGGTGACTAGATCTATATTTATACTAAACTACAATTACCATTAGTATAAAGTACACACTTATTGTCTTTCTGATTATCGATGTCTCTCTTATTTACAATTTTGTCATAGTAAAAAAGAAGTTGGAAAATTAAAGAAAAAAAACATGGTCCACTCTTTTCCATTGATTCAAGAGATTTAAATCTTTATTGCAGAAAACGAAAAAGAAATATTTTTAATACCATTGTGGACGTGGCCTAAAATCGCATGTTCATCACGGCACACCCCCAAGGCTCCAACCCTATAGTTCGAGGATAACGATATCAGTGTATTCTGAAGCTCTTAACAGTAACTATCCACCACCGAGTCTTTCCGATTGGTCGATACCAACTAAAGCTCATCTCCGATTGGCTTCCACGTGGAATCAGGTTACACAGTGTGTTGAGCTTTCTTGTTTGTCCTGTGTAAACCTGGTCGGAGACTTTGGTATCGTTACGTTCGATACTTGGGATCGGCCTGGAACACGAGTGACGTATCCAAGAATAGCAGTGCTGAAAATGAGCTGTGTTAATGGGGCGGCGGTTAATAAAAAGAAAAAGCCAGTAAAAAAAGCTACATACATATATCAGACCAAATTTGAGCAATCACACGAGCAGATATAAAGAAAACATCGAAAAATCAATTATAATTTCAAATTATATCATTTCAAATTTAAAAAGAGAAGATTAAAATTTTCACATTTAAATGAAAATATGCTCGTCTTTAATGACCGATCCTTCCACTTCATCAGTCATCCACCAAAATGTCGACGACTCAATGTATTTTTTCTACAAACCGGAAGTCGCCTCGAGTGCTCGCTAAAATCCTTCGATCGATCCCCCTCGGCACTCTTACAAACGAAATACGAATCAGTAGATTAATACTGAAAACTTTCTAATCTCAAATAAACCGAGTAGGCAAAGCAAAGAGGGCGATTTATAAATGAAACTGAGATAACTAAGAGAAAAGAATCTCGAAGATAAAAGAAAAGTTATACAAACGTCCTAGTCCCAACGAAATACCCCGTGACCTTTTTCTGTAAAGGTCAATCATTCAGAAAAAAAATCGTAATTCACCTGGGATCGATACTGACATATTCTACACATGCTATATGGTACATATGTTTCTCTCTACTATCCCGACCATGTAATACACACGTATTTCTAATATACCCATTATGCGGTAGACGCTTTATAGGTTATCGTCACAAGCTACGATTTACTTATCTACGTCATTCATAGGTAGACGAATATCAATGATCTATGTATGGTACTGTATATTTATACTGATAATGTATACGTACATCATACCCTACTGTATTATTTATATGTATATAATGTAGATACGCGATCGGCGTTCACCCACGTAAAATCACGTTAAATCACCATGTGGATAACGCGTCAGATTATTCGAAGTATAACATTAAGGATACGCGAGTTTGACTGTAATGCCGATAATAATAATAATACCTAGAGTTGTACAATTATTTAATTGGTAATTTATTGTGTTTAATTATCATTACAGGATCGCGAGAATGGCAGGTGGCGTCCCTAGCGGAAAGATGAGGCGAGTCCTCGTCTTTCTCGTACTAATAACTGGGGTCCTCCTGATAGCAATGTACGCCCATGCACCGACTCTAGTCTCCTTGCAGCCATTTACTGCACGAAGGTCAGTCGCCATAGGGTATCGTTACGATACATTAACAATTCTGTTACTCGGCTGGTATGGTTGGTAATGCATACGAAGAAGGGGAAAGAATTGTATGAAATTATAATTTGACTAATTTTTCTAATATTTGGTTAGACTGAGGAAACTAGATTTTTGTAGTCGTCTAGCATGAGATAATGTTTTTTGTCTTTTTATTTATTACAAATTTTATAAATTTGCAACTGCATGCATACGAGGACAGTTTGGTAACATTAGACGATTTTTATAGGTTTTATTTTTGTTTAATTTTTTTTTTCAATTTCATGCTGAAAATTATTCAGGCTTGTGTTAATCGTATTGAATGTTTCCACAAGAGGCAATAGTGATGATAAGGGATGATTTTTTTGTTGATGAGAGAATTTCAAGGGGTACAAATTATTTATACATAGAGAATTAATATGCGGATTGATTTTAGCTAATAATACGTGATACGCTTTGTGAATAATTTATGGTCTTTTCCTAACAATGTACTGTTAAGACAACTTGCAAGTTATTTTTCATGTTCAATAATTAAGTGTACAGCACGTGCAACTTCATCTCATGCAATGATTAAATTTTCTATTAATTTTCTTAATTCTCAATATCTTTCGTATACTCGATTGATATTATTCTTTTCCTCGTCGTCAATTCACCACGTGATCGTCCCGTTCACGCTATACAACCATAACCTCCTCGACCAGTTTCAAGGAATTACGTCAGCACTTGGTCACCTTCTTGGGCGATAATCGAAGCGCCGAGATTCCTGGCGTTCAGCTTTACGAATTCTTGAACGATTCTAGGTAAATGGTTAAAAATTGAAAAACCCAAAAAAAACATTTATAGGTTTTCATTTCTTATAAAAACACTTTAAGACCAATGACGTTTCTTAGAGCTTCGAATTTTTTTATACGTTTTATCGTATCCCCGTATTCTGTATCTTTTATATGTATTCTTGTTCGTAAATGGTTGATATGAATTTTAGAAAAGAAAAAAAATACTCTATATGTAGATAGCCAAAGCAGGTTTTTGACGACCCGATGCGACTCTTGACTGTATTTTCAGATTTTCAAAAATGTTCACGTGCTCCGATATGAATTCGTAGAGCGCATGAATTTGGTAATAATTTTGAAACTTTTTTTTCTTAATTTCATTATTTATCTTTTTTCGTATAATTTTGTTACTTCTCAACTGAATGATGTATACATATGCATATACATATATATATTTTTTCATTCACAAATCCTCCCTACTATAATTTTTGGCTTTCGTTTTGGAAAAAAATATAACTTGTCGAAAGTAACTTTCCAAAAGACCAAAATGCAAGGTGATCTACAAGAACGTCAGATCTCTGCGTCCATAATTACAGTAATTTATAATAACTTGCACGTTATCATTATTGTCACTAATTATTATTGACCACGCGTAAAACTTAATCTAATATCGATTTCTTTACTCTTATCACAATTAATTAGTACCATTTAAACCTAACCTAGCAATTTGGTAGAATATTTAAATGACCCTAGTAACGACGTCGAATATTCCCAATTCTTGATGCTTTTTCAAAATAAAAACTTGCTTTACTAAAAAAATTCTATATACGATCATTAATTAATTTTTTTCTCTTATACAATACAGAACCTTCCAAAGCCCCTGGTCTTGGGCTTGCGTAGCAGGACGATGCGAGAGGAGAGCAGTTAGGTCTTCCAGGATATCCTTAGCTACCTGTACAGCCCTCTGTGGCGGAAGTACCCGTTTGATCTGGCCAAGACCAACCGGAAACATTATCCTTGGAGATGACAGCACCGTCTTTCATCTTCAACAAGTCGCCATGATAACAGTAAACACGAGTGATCAGAGTGTAAAAAATCTTTTAGAGCACGCCAAAGTCATTTTCCTAAGTAAGAATAATTCTCCACTATAATGTTCTGCCCAAGGGGACACTTTATCTTGCTATTATAAAAGAAAAATCTAATCAATAAACCACGAATAACCAACAGATTTCAATTGATCGTTTCAGATAACATTAAAAGTCTCATCAAGGTGCCAAATTCTAAAGGCAGAGCAGGCGTGGACAATTTTGTCATCTATCTCAGTGCACCCGGTACCCAGGGTGGCGCAAAACTTACTCTGGAGACGGACGAGTCTTATAAACTTGAGGTTTTACCAAAGGGGAAGCTTCTAGAGGCCAGGATAACTGCAAAGAGTTTCTATGGAGTTCGTCATGGCTTGGAAACCCTGAGCCAGATGATCTGGTGGGACGAGACTGCAGGACGTCAGGGTGCACTGCGTGTGATTTCACAAGCTATCATCGAGGACAAGCCTATGTTTGCCTATCGTGGTTTAGTTGTGGACACTGGACGACAATTTTTTCCTATAGAAGAGCTGAAGAGAGTCGTCGATGGGATGGCTGCGTCCAAACTCAATACATTTCATTGGCATCTGACAGACTCCCAAAGTTTTCCTTTTGACTCCGTTCAGTTTCCGGAAATGGCACGGTGGGGTGCCTACAGTGGGGATCAGGTTTACACATCCGAAGACGTGAAAGAGTTTGTAGAGTACTCCAGGGTGCGGGGTGTAAGGGTACTAATAGAAATTGATTCTCCTGCTCATGCAGGTGCTGGATGGCAATGGGGTAAGTTGAAAGATTTATGATTTTTAATTATTTATTTGGAAACGTCATAGGTCTTATACTTTACACCGTTCTGGTTCCAGGTGCAGAACATGGATATGGAGAACTAGCCTTGTGCGTGGACCAACAACCATGGTCATCTTATTGTGGTGAACCTAATTGTGGTCAACTGAATCCCATCAATGAGCATTCCTACAGAATCTTGGAAGGTCTCTACAGAGAGCTTCTGGATCTGACAGAGGTCCGAGATATCATTCATTTAGGTGGCGATGAGGTTAATATGGATTGTTGGGCACAGTACAGTAACATAACAGCAGCTATGCAAGCCCAGAATATATCAGATCATCATGTCCTTTGGGCAGAATTTGAAAATAAACTTTATCGAAGGCTGATCAAGGCAAATCGTGATGAGACACCCAAGGCAGTAATACTCTGGAGTTCACCACTCACAAAGAGGCCATATATTAACACATACTTCGATCCAAAAACATTTGTGGTACAAAGCTGGGGTGGCAGCAACTGGCCAGAGACACCAGATCTCCTTGAGGATGGCTTTAGGGTGATCCTATCCCACGTAGATGCCTGGTACCTTGACTGTGGGTTTGGTAAATGGCGAGAAACCGGTGAAGCTGCCTGCGGGGAGTATCGTACTTGGCAAACAGTGTACAATCACAGGCCATGGCAGGTGTATGCCCAGCAACAAATAAGCCTTGTCCTTGGTGGTGAGGCTGCCATTTGGAACGAGCAAACCGGTCAAGCTTCTTTGGGACCTCGACTATGGCCCAGGGCGTCAGCTTTTGCTGAGAGGTTATGGTGAGCATTGTCAAAATGTTTACTACAATATATTAGCACCGTGACACTGTTAATATTTATATTTTTTTACCTTCGCCAGGAGTGATCTGCCGACCAACGGTTACTCCACAGAGGAGAACGTCTACACGCGTCTGGCGGCGCACGTGGAGCTTCTCTTGGCAAGAGGACTCAAGACGGAAGCTGTATGGCCGCAATGGTGTTCCCAGAATCCTGGCAAGTGCCTCTGACCGAGCACCATATGGAATGTCCTGATGGATGGGCATTAATTGAGTGTGACAAACAAAAATCCTGCCCCGTGGAAGATACCGAAGTCAGTATTCTAGAATGCAAGCCTCTAGAATCAATCAAGACTAGGAAGTTTTTCGATTGTTCTCTTCGGAGCAACATGGTAGCTGGTCTTTGTCAAGATTACAGTGAGAAAGTAACAAAAAGTCAGATAATGGAGCGTTTGGACTTTCTAGGTAGGTAAATTAGATAGAAGAATTACGGGATAGGCTCTCGTACGCGAGCGCTCGACTATGACGTTTACAAGAGGAAAAAGTGGGTAGATAACAGAAACAAAGAATTCTCTAGGTCCCAAAGGGAAAAGTAAAAGTATGTCCTCTGTCGTAGCGTCTCTCGTTGTACATAAATACCATCTTCTTGGAGTGCATTACAATTCGTATGGTTATTGTCATAAAACCGAATATGGAAGATATTTAAAAACTCGCTAGTTACCACCACAGGATCCAAGAAGGGGCACTTTTAGCGGGAGCTTCATTTTATAAGTTACAAACAAGTAATACAAAATGGTGGCGTCAAGTAGAGTGGTTTATAGTTGCAGCCATAGAGATTCCTTCGCTTTAGCATGTAAGGAACAGCCCTTAGTGACGTATCTGATTAATATTTGTCCCATTAGACAAAATATTTTAGAAATATTTTCCAACAGGGCGTTGCGACAGCGTGTTGCCCATTCGCGAAGGAAACGATATATCGACGTGTGTATAGTGAAAGTGTATCACTTCCGTGTGCATGCTTGGTATATGGTGTGTGTTATGCATGTAAGATTACCTAGAATTTACAGTGCGGTATCGTTTGTGAAGTCTTGTGTGAAAAATAGTAACAGAAAATGAAGACAGTATCTATTTGAAATGACACGATATACATATGTAAATTATATAAGCACATTAGCGGCCGTCCATGTCTTTTTTAGTTACTTTTCGTTCAAAGTGCCTTTGAGGTTCTTGTTTTTGTCGCTTATTTCCAAAACTGCGGTGCGCGTGTGTGCTCTTGTACGAGTGTTGTGTGTGTATGCACATTATACGTTGCGTGTATGTTCCTAGAGAGAAACAAAAGTAGCGTATCGAGAGTGCAGTTCAACGAGACCGTACTGCAGCTCGGTAGACGCACTTAGAGAAGTGTATAACAGTCAAGTGTATAAAAATGAATTTAGAAAATGATACGAATTTGAAATGATGGATTAGCGATTAGAAAGACTTTCTATCTCTTGGAATTTTTTTTTTAAATAATTGTTTGAATCAAACCTGAGATTGTTTTATGTGTGGGGCATTTCTTGAAAAGAACTTTTTTGTTGCCCTCTACAAAATCTAATGAGCGCTGTAACGTTCCTTGATAGAATTCAAGACGGCCTGCAATTATACTGCAATAAAGAAGCTTTCGAGCCAAGGGCACGCGTGATATATTAAAATATTAAATTTATGATTAATTAAGGTTATTAATTTAGTAAGAAAAAGAGAAATAAAGTTATAACAAGGCGCGTTCACTGAGGTAAAAAAGTTTAAACACAAAGGGCACGCGCAACGTAGGGAATTTAAAAAAAAAGAACACCCAAACGAGTTTAGGGAAAGCAGGGATGATGGATCAATGTAAATATTATACAATAATAAGCAACGGACTAATGAAGGATGAGTCCTAATGCGTACTTATTAATACTTATTGACATCGATGGCTGTAAGTGGATGTAATTCTGAACAAGTGCTTTTGAAAGTTTCAATGCGTTAAGTTCGAGATCTATAGGGCACGGACATATTTAAATAAATAGTAAACACGTCTGAGACGTTTAGGTTTCATAAAGGGAAACTTATCTGTCTTTTTTGTATAATATATGGTTTCTTTTTGAAAAAAAAAAAATAAAAAAATAAACGAAGTATGGATTGTTCTCCGACGTTCGAATGCATTCGTAACTACAAACGAGTTTTATGAATAGGCGTACTTAAAAATAAGTGACAAACAAATAATTACACGGACGTTACGTCGGAACCACTGACTTGGCAATAGTGTCACATCACGCGTTTACATTTTGCAATAATTCACCGAGTGACATTGCAAGATAAGTGCTATAAATAATTTTCATGGTACAGTGGCGTTTGTTATAGCTTAATTGAAATTTGAATCTGAACATTGGGTATTCCGATACTATTGTAAAATGAAATCACATCAAAGCATGTATGAGAATTGATGCATGATGATAGAACTATTACGATTTAGAAGAGACAGAGCTAATATTATAAAATACTGGAGGATGTATAACGTAGTATTTTATGACCAAACAGATCGTGAAACAAAAAAGTATTATTCTCGCGTTTAGAAGTTATCGGCAGACCACAGACCTATTTGGTACGGTCGAAGTTATACGGTGCAGTTCTGTATCAGCTTATACTTTTGTTGTATATGTAGTTACATGTAATTAATTTGAAATGAAGAAAACAAGCGCCTTTTTGTCAAAATATCACCTCCAGGCATTCTTATGGATACATATGTATTCACTGATATTGAAATAGTCAATGTATTAATAGCCGTTCAATGACGTCACGACCTATTTCCTAGGGAAAAAATATTACTCTGTTACGAAATGTGAATTATAAAGGTTTAATATAAAGTGAATTTTAATACAAGGGGGTTTTTTCCATTAGATATTTTCCCGCATGGTGATTGATTTTAAGCGATATTAGATGTGTCTTTATTTACTATAGTAAAAAGGCTACAAGAGAATCCCGTAAATAAAATGTTTGACTCGAGGTACTAAAGTATTTTATTTGGCAGAATGAACGCAATACATTTAATTAATGTATTTGTATAATTGATACAAAACAGTATCAAGCTACTTGTCAACATGTTTTCCTGTTTTTAACGACAGACAATAGAATTTTATGTTTTCATTTTCTTCCATCTAAGGGAGAACAATATCTTTTCCTCTTTTTTTTCTTTTACAATCCCATTAGCTCTTTATCATTTCTTCTACATTATCTTCACTCCCGTCTAGGCACTCTCAACCTCAAGACACTCAGAAATCGATACAACCATTACTAGAAGGTACGAGCAATATTTCTAAAGAAATAAATGGCTGTTACTCTTCTAGTATTGCACTAGTCAGCGGTTTTAATTCTTTTCTCTTTGTACTGAACAAATTAATGTCTAATCAGTCAACCTCTAGGTATTCCTAGATGTAGAACATTTTTTAAATTTATTTTATCCTCGTTAATGATCATCGAGCAAAATCAATTAATTATTGTTTCATATCTATCTGTATATATCTATCCTGCTAGTACATTTTATTTTTTTCTTCATTAAAAGAAGATACTCATTCCCTTTCTTTTTCGAATAGCAAATTTCAAATTATATAAATCTTGTACCGGCTTTTTATTTTTCATCGATGAAGCAACAAAGTTGAAGTTGCTTCAAATTGTTTAGAATTAAGTAAGAAAATATTGAATTAGTTAAAAATTCACAATACAATAAACGTCAATGAAACAATAAACGATTTGTTCTCGATCGACAGTATTGCATAATAGTGGAAAGTAATTCGGTATTAATTTATAACATGAAGACATTTGAATGCCTTAGTATAAAACTTAATACCTTGCGACTTTGAAATAGAAAGTCAACAAATTTCTGGATGTTTCTCGACATTTTCTTTATATCGAATCTGAAGACATCAGAGGAGTAGGTTTATGTGCTTGTAATTCCCGATTGAAAAATTCCTTTAAAATACGAGTCCGTACGAGATCATCCTCAATTCCTGTTCAGTTATCCAATAAGCTTCTGATTATTGCAACTTAAGGGCATTTTGAATTATCGCAACGACACAATGAAATTCATGTTTTACGATGTATTTCGACTAATGGCAAAATTGCATGAATGTTCATATAAAAATAATTCGCATTAACCAGCAGTCACGTTAAAAAGAAAAGCTATGAGTAAATTACTCGCTTCAACATTGCATAATTCAATTACAAAAGAAAAGGAAAAGTCATCTTTTCCCGTTAAAGAACAACAAGACGTAAAACTCACTGGCTAAAACCATAACGAATCTCAATTTTCATTAAATAAGAAGAACAGGTGAAAACTAAAATATGTAGAATAAAAGAATACAATCATCGACGGATGCAAAATTACTCGACAAGTCCACAGAAACGGCTGGTGGAACTTTCAAAAGTTAAAGAACTTCTCATTGAGAAATATGTCTTTGAATGATCACTAATTGCAATCATTCGTTTCACGATGAAAACATTTGTTGTGTAGAATTGACTAGGTTAACCTCAATCTGACTCTTCGACATCAGATGACTGTGCACCCGGGAGAGGCGAAGGTATAACAAGTTCGTCCTCAGCCTCTTCCTCCGCAAGTAAATAATCATCAACCTCACGAACTTCCTCCTCGCGAGCGGGTTCTGGCGGTGTAAGAACATCCTGACCATGTTGCTTCAGATGATCCTTCAATGCAAAGGCACGACCATAGGATGCACCACAGATGTAACAACTAAACTTGAGGTTATTGTCTTTCTTGTGAGTCTGAATATGAGCACGGGCTGCATATAACGATGCAAAAGGTCTAGAGCATTCTGTGCATCGGAAAGGTTTTGTATGACTGTTCTTGTGCCCCGCAAGCTGCACTCTTGTCTTGAAGGTTTTGGGACAGTACGGACAAGTATATGCTCTTTCCTCGCCATGAGTGAGCAAGTGATGATTGTAAACCGATGAAGCTTTGAATCGTTTGCCACAGTGTTGACAAGCATAAGGTCTTACACCAGTATGTGTTCTCATGTGTAATGTTAAGCAATAAGACACTCGAAAAGTTTTGCCGCAAACCTAGAATTAATTATATGAAGGTATGCATCGATCAATAAATCTTACAAAGAAAATAATATCTCAAGCAAAGTACTCACTTCGCAGGCATGTGGTTTCTCTCCAGTATGAATACGCTCGTGCTTAACTTTCTCATGAGGTCTAGTAAATCTTCTGCCACAGTGTTGGCACTGATATGGTTTTTCTTTATCAATATCACCACCACCGCTTTCTACAGCAGCTGCTTCCGCCGCTGCATCTACTGGGGATGCATTAATATCTCTAGCGGGAGGTGTGGGCGAATGAGAACGATTAGCATCCGAATGGACAGCTGCATGCATAGCAAGGCTGTCTGCGGAGTCAAATTTTCTATTGCATACACTACAAGTAACAGAATCGCCAGTGTGTAGAGCCATGTGAGCATCTCTGTAAGATTCCGACAATGTTTTCCCTGCGCAAATAATTTCACTTTATTGTACAGTACAAGGATAATTATTCTATAAAATAAAAAATCTTTTATATTACTCACCACATTCTAGGCAGGTAAACGTAGCACTGTGAGTACCTTCAGGAGCATCTACATGTCGCGACCTCACTGGCGCATGCATCCTTGAGTGAAGTCGTAGACTCTTATGGGAAGAAAACTCTGTACCACATGCAGAGCAAAGGAAGACTCTTTGACCACCATTACTGTCGACTTCGTGCACTTTTGAATGCACCTGCAACGCGCGTGCAGTTGCAAACGCCTGATCGCACCTATCACACCGATTAGTACCACGAAGGCACGCGTGGACGCGAAAATCCCCAAGCTTTGGAAATTGCTCCAAGCACTGGTTACAACGGTACATCCTTACTGGTGCTGCCGCTACCGTTTTGTCGCGTACCTGAAAACCAATAATGGTTAACGGATGCAGAAGACGTCTTCTCGCAGTGGGTTGAAACTGATGTAAATGTAACATGAAGGTAATTATGATTTGTACCTTGACACCTTCAGCGTTAGAGAAGAATTTCTCTATCATTGGTGCTTTGGAGGAACGACTTCCGCTCATTGGACGGTCCCAAAATCTTTCTATCTGCACAACCTTTCTGGTGTAGAGTCTTCCTTCACTGTCGACGCATTCTTCGGTGCGTAGAGTGTTCATTGTTTGCCGTTGACGAGGCGGTATGACTGCGGTTGGTTCTTCAAGAACGGCTGGCTCAACTGAAGCTGCGATACTGTCTAGTTGCTGTTCAGCCATTTCGAGAACAACTTCCTGTCCATCGTGGTATTGCTTTATATGTTCCAGGACGGAATTGAAACTCATTCCACAACTGCTGCAACTATAGAGTGCTTCGGATTCTATCTATGAAACAATGAGGAAGTATCACCTGATGCTTTAAGAAACTTGAAAATTGATTACTTCATTGCAGAATATAAAAAGAAAATTACCTATATTTTTAGTCTCTTAATTACCTCACAAAGTTCCTGCTTGACTTCAAGAAGCCCAGTATCATTCAGTTCTTGGACGTCGTTTACATGGTCCATGCCCATCAAAGTCTCATCCTCTTCATTGAGGAGATCTGAATTGTCTGGTAAAATGGACATCATATCTTTTCTCTCTGACTTAATTCCATTGCCTGCAGATGTCAGATTAGCCAGTGAATCTCCAGAAGTATCCTTTTCTTCAGAAGGCTCATTAATTGGAGAGAGCTTCTCCATGTTTTGTATGGATGACGTTGGTACCTCAAGCTCCTCTGATTCTGTATCCATTTTTTCTACTACTTCGATTTGGCCTAATAATATCAAATACAAAAATTACGTAAATAAAGAATATGGAACCTATGCTACTTTGGAACTTACCATTTTCATCTACTTGTATTGTACGAGAACCACCAACTATCATTATTTTTCCATCGTTTACTGCTGCTAAAAATCCTTGATCAATCTGCTCAACACTAGCTTCCTGCAACAGGAACAAAATTGTAATTGTATACGTACAGTGAACTATAATTGTACAGTTTGACTCCCAGCTAAATTTTAATAATTTTTGTAATAAGTATCTAAACAAACCATTAAAACTTCTGTCTCTTCCTTTGACTCGTCAACTTCTGACTCTGCTTCAAATTGTTCTACCTCTAGCTCTGGTTCTAATTCAGGATCGACTTCAGCAACTAAATGTATTGCAGCCTCTGTACCATGACCACAACCATCTAAATGCTGAATAAGAGCCATTACAGAGTCCAATCTCTCAGAACAACGAGGGCAGTATAAGTTGTTTGTCATGCTTAGCAAGTGACTTTTTAATGTCTGTGAGTTGTCGAAACTCTCCCCGCAACACATGGGACAAAGGAGACTCAGCGATCCCATGATTTTCTCAATAAAGTACAACACACCGTAGAACTTCCTTCGAATCTTAGAACTATCTTCTCTAAGCTATTTCTGCACTCTTGTTCCAACGACTAAGTGTTTGACACTGAACTTGGAATATCACCGGGTTACGTGTGAGAACCCTAACCTGAGATATCATTCCATGAATATACTACAAAATATTGAAAACATATCCAATCACTCATAGTCGACATTTCGTTAATTCTTACTAGGAGACTTCCATGTGACGCATGGAACACTATACACCAAATGTCTTTTTTCTGCTTTTGATAAATTTCAATTGATCTTCGATCCCAGCAATAACAATTCCATTGGAGACGAACTTCAGCGCAAACAAATGCCGAGCACAACAATCATGAAGTTAGGGAAATGATAAGTGAGCCGCGAAGTCGGCCATTGCAGTACGATTATAACACGAGACTACTGGTATCGAGTTATTATGCATTTTTCATTATATAATTACAACATAAAAATCATTTTAGCGAATATAAACAAATTAAACGATAATATTGATATTATTTAAAAAATATTTTCTATTACTGGAATTTACATTAAATTCCATATAATGAATTATTCGAATTTCAAGTACCACATGACTCATTTGTTATCTAAGTTATATTGAATATAACATAATTCTTTCACATAGGCAATACAAAACTCCCTTAAAATACCTAAATAGTTCGGTAACTTGTTCAAAAAGGTAACATGAAATTTGTCTTATATGAATAAATTACAATACATATTACAGGCTTATACCTTGCAGTAGATATGTATGTAGTTCAAAATTTTTTCACTTCAAGGGGCAGCACCATACAAATATATATTTGATGTCACATTTAACAAATTTTTGAAACTCGTTAAAAATTGGAATTGATTTAGTGCTGCTGAATACCGTATACATTCCAAAAGGTATACAATTTATGATTGACTGAAATAAGTAAGAGTTAAGGAAAGAGGAAAGTAATTGGTAGCATTACTTTCAAATGGTTGTAGTATTGTTCCTTGAGGAAATAATAGAAATGCTGGGAAAAAAATAAAATGATTATAAAAAAATGCTTGTAGGTAAGATCCAATTTGATCTTGCAGTAACTTCATAAAACTTCACATAATTTTGTCTTATTACAAATTATTATTTGAATCAAAAGGAACCTTTGTTCTTATACTCTTTTGAATATATCTAATCTGACTTTAGTGAACAGATTTCTAAATCTCATTGTAGCACTCCTTGGTGGACTTTGGAAAGAAAAGAATCTATTGAAAGTCAGGCAAAGGAGAATAATACTTTTGGACATAATGACTGAGGTAAAAATATTAGACGGTAGTTTTTCTACTCAACTGGCTACACACATTGGACCAAACATAGACGGTGATCCTCTGTGGACTGCACGTTTTCTTGCTACTCAAGCTGAAGCTGTCTTTGCAACTCATCTTGATTTCTTGCGAGCTGGTGCTGATATAATACAAACCAACACGTATCAAGCGTCTATCAGTGGCTTTGTACAGCATTTGGGGATCAGTAAAGAAGAGAGTCTTAAATTGATATACAGTGCCGTAGATCTATCTAAGAGAGCTGTAAAAACATACCTTGAAGAGATAAAAGGTAATGACAATGTAGTCAACCCAGAGCCACAAATTATTGGTTCGTGTGGTCCCTATGGAGCCTCCTTGCACGATGCCTCTGAATACACTGGATCTTATGCTCAAGATGTTACTGCTGAATTCATCGCTGAGTGGCATAAACCACGTATAGAAGCATTAATCAAGGGTGGAATAGACTTACTTGCTCTGGAGACAATACCTTACAAACTTGAAGCTGAAGCATTGATCGATCTATTAAAAAGAGATTTTCCTAATGTAAAGGCCTGGCTATCCTTTTCATGTCGTGAGGATGGAAAAAGTATTGCTGACGGTAGCAACTTTCAAGAAGTTGCATTGAGCTGCTACAAGAGGGCATTACCCAATCAATTAGTTGCAGTTGGTGTTAATTGTCTTGCACCACATCTTGTCACATCAATGATTAAGGGAATTAACGATAATTCTGGTATGAATCATGTTCCCCTGGTTGTTTATCCAAATAGTGGAGAAAAATACTCAGTTAGCGAAGGATGGAAGAAGGAAAATGATTGTAATCCGCTGGAGAAATTTATTCATGAATGGTTGGATCTTGGAGTTAAGTATATTGGAGGATGTTGCAGGACATCTGCCAAAGATATAGTCACTATACGGGAACACGTAAAAAGTTGGCAGTCCGAGGTAAATGCCAAAAAACGTTAAACCACAAACATAAAACTTCAAACATCTATTTTGTATTTTCTTATCTATACAAGAATAAAAATATACATATATAACGTTATACGAACGATATCTGAATACTATGAAACAACCAAAGTGTACCATGTTCGAATGCATGAGGTATGAATAATCATACCTCCGCTGCACGGCGAGCACCTTGTGCATTAATTGATGACCACCAAATGTTGTAATTAGACTACCTATCGTCGGTTAGTGTTTTTGCTTCGAACGGGACCATGCCGAGCAAAATCGGTTTAGAATTATAAGTTTTATCACGTAAAATGTGTTTCGACACGATACCCCTGTATCCATATCTCAGCCAATCATAGCCTTTGGTGCTCGCCGTGCAGCGGAGGTATGACTCTTCATACCTCGTGCATTAATTGATGACCACCAAATGTTTTACTTAGACTACCAATCATCGGCTAGCGTTCTTGCATTAATTAATTCTTCCGAAGGGAGAATCTGTTGAGAAATATCTGTTTTATCGACCGTAAATGTGTGTTCCTACACGCATATCCAGTCAATGCTGGACACCTCAATCGTTTTTTTAATTTTTTATGAAAACTAACGACCACCAAACATTTTAATTATGATATTCGTTACCACCAAACGATTACGCATCGATTGAGCACCTAAAAAACTTAATTCATTGAAAAAAAAAAAATTTTGGCTAACTTCACGGTCAAATTTTGATTATTTGATTATAAAAGAATGATTGACCACCAAATGTTTTTATTAGGCCACCAATGACCACCAAACGACCACCAATCGATTTGGTATGATAAAAAGTTAAAAAGTAAAATTGCCCGGCTAACTTCACTGAGATAAGCTGTTCTTAATGTTCAACAGATTTTTATCGAAATTCATTATTCTTACTTGCTTCCAACCACAATTTCGCGCTTGTAATACGATACGCTCAGTTGGTGGTTGTAGGCAGGAGTAATTGGAATAATCGAAATTCTCTCAGATAAGATAAGCGAGCAATCGGACAAGATGCGAACGCTTATCGAGCACACACTAAACGGGGGTCTATTTTATATGCATACATATGTGTAAAATGTTACGATGATATGTATCACTATAGTAATGTTTGATTGGACGAGAAGAGCATAAATGAGGCCTTAGGCGCAACCAGAATGAAAACTATTGGTCAAGTAATGAACGCGTGTCGTACTATACATTTTGAAAATTAACCGACTGGGTGTATACAATGTATTCCTAACGAGCTTTGTGGTTTTGTGCTCCTTTGAGGAAGAATTATACTTCATATAATCAGAGATCGATCGTCATTCTTATATATCAAGGAATATTACTGTTAGGCGTTAACATGAATCCGACGTAAGTTTTTAACATCTTAATATTAAGATTAACAATGGTTACGATAATATTTTTGAGAAGCTCAATTCTATACTAGTAAAAGAATAATTATTAAAGAGGAAAATAGAAGAGAACGAAGTAGTTGAAAATTTGTTATCTGCTTTCTACCGCCAATATAGCATCTTATGGGATAATAAATGTTTCCAGGAGAGGAAAGCAACCAGGATCGACACGCAAACCAGCAACTCGTCAAAGATTTCAAAATTCTGCGTCGAAGGAGCCTGTTCATGTTTATTGTCGTTTGAGGCCTATGCAATATCCTACGGATGTTTCGTGCATGAGAGTTATTTCTGACACAACTATAAACATTAGTCCTCCTGAATCAGCCAGTAACTTGCGGAATGGTACTGCAAAAGAAATACAAACAATATTTAGCCGGGTCTTTACTGCAGATGTTTCTCAGAGAGAAGTATTCCGTGTAGTTGCTCTTCCTCTGGTAGAAAATTTAATCCAGGGAAGGAATGGTCTACTGTTTGCTTATGGCGTCACTGGCAGTGGCAAAACATATACAATGATGGGAGATGCACGGGATGGTGGAATAATGCCTCGATGTCTTGACGTTTTGTTCAATAGCATTGCTAATTATCAGGCTAAAAAATTTGTATTCAAGCCAGACAAACTCAATGGTTTCGATGTGCAAAGTGACGCAGATGCTATGTTAGATCGTCAAAATGAGTTGCATACTGGTCTTATGAATCAACGTAATGGAAAAAATGGCAAAGTGTAATACTTTTATATACTTGCGAGTATAAAGTCTTAACATATAATTTCGTTTAATATATTTTCTTTGTAGATGTAAACTTGACAGTGATGGAGAAACCAATACTCCCATTAGAGAAACTGACGAGTCATGTATTCTCTCAGTAGATCAGGACAACGTATATGCTGTGTTCGTTACATATGTGGAAATTTATAATAACAGTGTATACGATCTCCTGGATGATGAGGATGTCAGATCAAAGTGAGTACTTTGGAATATTTTATTTCGGTATACGAGTAATAGTTTCATTTCTTAAAATTTTGCAGGCCTCTGCAGAGTAAAATTGTCCGTGAGGATGCATACAAAAACATGTATGTCCACGCTGTAACAGAAATTGAAGTTAAAAGTGCTGATGAAGCTTTCGATGTGTTTTATCGGGGACAAAGAAGACGTCGTGTTGCTCACACAGCACTGAATACTGAATCAAGCCGATCGCATAGTGTCTTTACTATACGACTCGTTCAGGTAAGACATTTTACTCTACGATCCTAACGTATGTATTCTAAGTAAAAACATTTTTACCATTTCCATAGGCTCCACTGGACTCTCAAGGCGAGCAGGTCGTTCAAGATAAACGTGTCGTCTGTATAAGTCAACTGTCCCTAGTTGATTTGGCTGGGAGTGAACGTACAAATCGTACAAAGAATACAGGACAGCGTCTTCGCGAAGCAGGAAACATTAATAATTCCCTCATGACACTTCGATCCTGCTTAGAGATCCTAAGAGAGAATCAATCTCAGGGTACTAATAAGATTGTGCCTTATCGAGACTCCAAATTGACTCATTTGTTCAAAAATTACTTTGACGGCGAAGGTCAAGTCAGAATGATCGTCTGTGTTAATCCTAGAGCAGAAGATTACGACGAAACGATTGTAAATAATTTATTAAGACAATCCATTCTCCAAGCTGTAACTTATGAAGATAATCCATTCATGTATTTGTGTTTCTTACAGCAAGTAATGAAGTTTGCAGAAATGACCCAGGAAGTACAAGTATCAAAGCCTTCAGCATCAAAGATAGATTTGGGTTACACACCTGGCCGGAGATACGCCAACAAGGTGAGAAATATTAATTATACTATTTGAACAGTATATACATATTTTTACATTTACATATTCCTACTTTGAATTTTGTTTAGATATTCAAAGAAGCTCGTGCTAGATTAGAAAAGCAGGGTCAACCGATGGCTGCTGAACTTGATGTTGACCTAGGTTTAGTCTACAGTCTTGGTGGACCATTTCCAGAGCTGGAGCTCAATGGACCACATAATGATCAAATAATTACTGAACTCATGCGCTTTTTGGAACAACGCATAGAGAAGAGAAATATCTTGCGTGCAGATTTACAAAAAAAGCGTAAATTTCTCAAACAATTTGTTCCATGTCCCTTTAATTTATTGTGAGATTGCTCTCTTAAAAAATTTTTTTTTCCAGAGGATGACTTCAGAAAGATGCTGGTTACCGCTGAGCAAGAACTTTTGGCGCTTAAAATTGAAAATGCATCTCTAAACGCAGCCAATGCACAAGAGAAAAAGAAGGTGAGTTAGATTTAAATATCTCATTAGTAAATAAACCTGTAAAGATTAAAATATTGCGTGCAATATTATTTGTTTTCATAGATAACAGCCTTAGAGAATCATTTGTATAAGACGGACTCTCAGATAGACAGTCTGCTTAGGAAATTGAATGGTGCAAACGAAACGATTAGAAGTCTCCAACGGGAAGTAAGTTCTCGATAAAGTTAAAACCCAAATAAATATTCTAATAAAATTCCTCTTAATAGCTTCGTGAAAAAGATATGCTTCTGAATCAACGTATGATCGAGAAGCAACGAACGAAACAAAAGTACAATACCAAAATACAAGAAGAAACAGACAAGATATACAGAGAGCTTCAAATGAAGCATCGTCAGGAGCAGCAATATCTTCAGGTAAACTCGAACGAAATCCCGTCTACCTGAGCTATTATAACAGGTGTTATTAGCTTGATAAAAAAAACAATCTTGTTCCTTGTCTACTTCTAGAGCAAAATGAAGGACAAGGAGAATAAGTTAAAACTTGTTAAGAAAATTTTGGTGGATGAGAACGGAAGTGTACCGTCAACAGCCTTATCCAGGAATTCACCACCACCGCCCTCCACTGCGGGTGACACTGATAATACAGCCAGTTGCAGAACACCTGCCGGTACAGATTCGCGGTCGAGAAGGGTAATATGCATCTCCATATTCCTATTGCTACTGGAGAACTGCAATTCAAAAATATTAATTATAACATACTCCCGTCATGGCAGGACAAAATTGCTGTAGTAAATCTAAGACATAGAAGATCACAAAGTGCAGACAGGTGGGTGGATCATCGACCTGGTGCCCTTGTACCTGTAGGAACTATATTGCAGCCTCTAATGCACCGAAGACGCAGTGTATCCCGACTGAGTGATCCCAAGGAAATCACAGAAGGTGCCTCCAAGTATTGCCTAATAGCCCAGGAACAGGACACCGATGGTGAACTCGAGACTAAGTTATACAAGGTATCTGAAAACGTATAAAATGTTTTTCTAATGTTATATTACAATATTTAACGAATAACCTTGCCATTTCTGTTAACAGGGAGACATCTTGCCTACAAGTGGTGGTGGTGCTCAGGTAGTTTTCAACGACGTGGAGTGTCTCAAGCAAATATCCCCCACTGTTAACAGAAAAAGAAGTGGTCGAAATAGTATCCAGTCCGAAGGCCCAGAAAACATTTCTCCAGTTAAACAGATGCATTCAAAAAGACCTCGAGTCTGAAAACACTGGGATATGCGTGTCCTACTTGCATAAGAAAAATACTATGAGAATTTATCTTTTATAATGAACGTGTAACGTTCATCGAGTCAAATAGAATTTGCTGTTTATTTATTATTTAAACATTTATCACCATATTCAAGACAAAACAAGAATTCTCAGAAAGTATCTTTGGAGTGGTAAGTCATAATAAATCGGGAGTATCAATTTACAAATTGTTACATTTATTTTTATTTCGTTCCTCGTCTGCATAGGTCAGCTCTTAAACAGTAACATTTGCACATATATTATATATTATATTATACTTCTTCAGTTGAATTTCATCGATTATAAATCAATCCGTGATTCTTTGTCTCGTTAGGAAAAAGAAAACGGACATCAGTTATCAACAGAAATATTTTTCTCGTCTCTCTCAACTACTTTCTTTCTATTCTCTTTCTCTCTCCATATATTTATGCACAAATACATGCCAAGCTGGTCCATAGGTGCAGCATAACAGTACGCGCAAAAAAGTGACAGTAAAAAGAAAGTGCCAAAAGAGTTTAGCTGAGAATTTTTTTTTGACAATGCACTCGCTATTTCCTTTTCCACCTTCGCATCCTCGATATACAGACAAAAATCTCCTACATTGGCGTGTAAAGATTGTGTAAAAAAGCGCAATGCAACGACTCGTCACAGTTTATAGTTTGTGGAAACATACGACCTTTCTCCTTTGCTTTCAGCAAAAATATTCCTGCCCGCTAATAACTTGATACATTTATTTTATACCCTTATGGTATTCTCCTTTTCATTCTATTAAGCCAATAGTTGTATTTTCCATTGTCGCGGTATGCTGTTGTTCGAAAGTGCAGAGAACATCGTGATACTTACATAATATAAAAAAGTCTTGAGCTTACGCGTCGCGAGTAGATGACGTCCAGACATACGCACCTTGTGAATACTTCTCGTGTACATATATCATCTAAGAATATCTTTCATAAATAATAATAATAATAATATATATACACGTATTGTATAAATCAATGAAAAAAAATATATAATGTGCGTCGTCCTCATCGTATGAGAAATTCGCAGGCGAGCAAGTCAGCTTAATCGTCTGACTGCCAAAACGAGAGAAAAAAGAAAACATGAAATCACTAAGTCAAATCAACAATCAGTGAATAGAGTCGATGCATCAAAACCACCTATACGTGTCCCCTGGTGGAATAATGAATTCCTGGCATTTGTTAGAAGTAACGTTAAGTCAACTTTTCTCGCGGCGTAGAAGACGAGTTAGGGGATAAGGGGTGAATATGAAATCAGGGGTTAATAAGATAGAAGAGAACGAAGATCACGAGCCGAGTATACGTCGCGACGCTGCCGATTATCGGACGATTTGACAGCGGCTTCCACTTCTTTTCTACTCTTTCTTCAAATATCTCTATCTCTCTCATTCGTACATTCTTCTGATTATCATTATCCCATTATCATTCTTTCAGTTTGACGCTCTCTCTTTCGTTCACACACACTCTTATACTCACGACTTCTACTCTATCGCTTTGCTCATAAACTCTATGAATCGTTTGCCATATTGTTCCGGATCGCAGGTTGATATCCCGTCAACGTTCGCGCCGTACTTAACAGTTTTGGCTGCTTTAGCTGCCTGCTTGCGCACTCCGTAATGCGTCAAGACATCGATAATTGCTAGGAAGTAGATTTCCTTCGTAGGTGCACCTGATAAGAGAAAACCGATGTGCATATGTAGATTAGATTTATTTAAAGAAATCTTGGAGGTACTGTAGTTCTTATAGTTATTTTACCTTCTGAACTTGGTATGGCGTATATGTCTAGTTCAGGTATTATAGCATCTTCATACTGGAGACTGGCATCGCGCATCAAAGCTGCATGTGGAGATTCTGGTGGAGTAGCCATCACTCCGACGCCGCTCCAACCCCACACTCGACTGCAGCTTCCATGTTATTCAGATTTATTTATGTCTTATTGCTTCTTGGTAAGGTAATAGTATATGAAATATATTGTTCTTACTCTCCCATTGGTCCACGAGTATCTAGACCACTTCCAGATTCACTGTCATCTTCGTCATCATGGTTGTCTTCATCTTCTTCTCTTTCAGCACGTTCTCTGTTTTCCTGTTCGGCCCTTGCACAGTCGTGCAAGCCAAGAAGCAGAGAATAATCCATAAGATGCAGTCGTGTAAGAAACTGAAAACCCATGAAACAATCACTTTGTTGTTCTCAGAAGAGTTTAAGGATTGTTAAAGAATACTAACGTCCACGTCTGCAGTCAATGTCTCAATAAGCTTAGCTTTGGCTTCCTCTCCGATATAGATTTTTGTACCCTCCTTGACAAAATCATTATCTTTGTAGGTTGGGAGATCCTTCTCTTTTTCCTTATCTGAAGCTTCTCTGTCCACAGTCGAACCCTTGAGGTCGAACTTCTTGTGTGTAGTAAGATGATTTGAAAATACATTTCTACTGGCAACTACGTAGTGCTCAACTCCATCCACAGTGAGACGGTACATTCCCAGATATTGAGGTAACAAGGTCTTTCCATGTCGCTCCACAATATACTAAATAATTCAGCAAGAAAAAGAATATGCTAATCGAATGGCTAATGCGATAATTATATAATGAATTGATTGGATCATTATAGTTACCGGATGGTAATGTTTCAAAAAGGAGTGCATTCTCTCCACCTCCTCGCTAGTCAAGGTCTTTATGATGAATAGTTTATCATAGGATTGATAAAACTTGGCGCAACTCTTTCCTGAGGAGTCATCTAATATTGGTTGAGATCTGTAATATAGAGAATAGATTCTTTTGAGATATCACGTTGATAAATATTAGTCAGTTATTTACTAAACTCATTGGATGATAAATAATGACTGAGCAACGTGTTCTGCAAGCAATGTACACTAAGGGATACTTTTAATCTTGTGCCAGGTAACCTGGTGACAAATATATAGTGTGTAGGCTATGTGAAATCGTTTCTTCAGAGACGTTCATTTGCCTGGGTGCGTGAAAGCCGTATTGGCCGATAATAATTATATAGTATTGTATTTATTTTTTAATACGTATATTGCGTTAGTAAATGCTTGCGTGCATGGTAGAGGGATTTATTGGATAGCAAAACCCCACAAAAAAATCTCAACAACGGAGTTGGGTAACCGTTCCGGGCAGGACTCCTGTGATAGAGTTGGGTCAAGTGATTTGATGATCAGGTTGAATTGGGTCGCGTTAGCCACAAACGTCACGCACAAAGTCGTAGTCTGAAGAAGATAGTCTACCTCAATCGCTTGGGCTTAAAACTGTAGGTGCGCCGTGGCTTATTAAGGACAGGAACTCGCGAAACGGCAGGAGGATCGGATAAGGTTATTGAAGGAACGGTAGCAGAGCGTCGAACCAACTGACGACTCCTTCCAGTGATCGCTGCCAAATCCTTATGCCGTTTAGCTTGCGAAGGATTAAACGTCCGACATCTAACGGCAAGAATTCTTATATTATGAAAAAGGCCTGCAGTTTAAAGGCGACAACTTCTTATTCCTTGTAATCCGGATTAATTATAATGATCGACGAGTTTCTCACTAGATAAGATATTGCAATATGTTACGGTAGGCACCAAGCCACCATCCGATTCCCTTTTGAGAATCAAATGGAGTATTTCTCTCTTTCTCACCTTGTCATAGACTCCTTGTAATCCTGATCATCGATTCCAAATCTCTCGCGTAAATTCCTGAAGACCAATGGACAATATTCCTTGATTTTGAAGTGAGACGGCATGTTCTCTCTAGAAGAAGCATAGTTACTTGTTACGAATACCATATCGAGAGTGGATGGTATCATGCCAAATCTATTGGTACTGACTGATCGCGACTAATCGCGCAAAGGTCTTCCTTGATTCTATTATTAAAAACAGTGATAGAGTTTAAGATGTGGCATTAAATGTTATATTTAGAATTGGCCATATGTCTCATGTTTCTCTTTACAAAATGTATATCAAGAAGACAGACTCTATATTACTATTCTCGTTATAACTAGACTTACTTATTGAACAGGTGATTGTCTACTTTTAATTTACTGTATGCCCTAAAGTCATCAGGTAACAGCATCACTGGTATGTTGACGTGACTGAGTTCGTTTATCTGTAACACGAAGAATTCAAATAAAGTTCAATATGTATCAGACTGTACATCAACATAATTCAAAGATTAAACAAAGTACTCAGTGCAACAACATAAAGAGTTGGAAATTTTCATCGCAGTCCATCTAACAGCACTCAGAGGCAAAGTTCTGATCAGTAAAAGAAACAGAAAAGAAGATACAACGGCAAAATTGAATAAATGACATTTGCACTGACACATTATAAAATCTCTAACTGTTATCGCTCACCGTGTGGTTGACACCCCACATGAAGACGCTCAAAAGAGGTTCGTTTGCACGAAAGAGCTTGACTTTCTGATGCTTAACACGAAAGTGTTTTTTCTTAAGCTTGCTAAGCCCGCTAGACATTTGCGGCGCACTGGACATGTTTATATATCAATGGCTCTCGCTCGTTCTCAATAGTCCTATTTCGATTAAGCTGTGTGGCCCGAATACGTCGTATAAGTTAGAATCCGCGTCGTCCTCGTCTTCAGGCCACCCTCATCCTGAGAGACCTTATTTTCGTCACAGACTCAGGCGATTTGCCGAGTTCTCAAATAATACCCAAAGGCAATGATGTTCTTCCTATCAGGCACTCAAGTTCACCTCACTCTCCCGCTATGAGCCTCGCACTAGCGCGGTTCATCGGCTACTGAACAGTCCCTTTAAAAATGGTGGACGCCTAAAACCAGAACTCCTTCCCAGTAGGAACTTTTACCCGGCCACAGCCCATGCGCCACCTATTTTACCTGCAACTATCTCTCCACCCTTACTTATGGAGCTTATCCTTAGCTGTCTTAAGCCGGGAAAAACTAAATAAGTATGAAAAAAGATGATTACTCGATCCTTTCTCATTTATATAAATGCTAATCCGCACAATTATCCCAATAATCTGAACAATCAGAAATTCATTGACAAATTAACTAGACACTGACACTCTGCCATCAGATAGAAACATTGTATTAACTGTGATGATGATTAGAGAAATTATAGATATAAAAAGAAATACCACCGCAATTAGGATTGCTCTGGGTGGGTCTTTGAGTGTAACAGAATCGATAACTCCTACTAAGAGTACCAGGGAATATGCATTAGTTTTTCAACGTACAGTAGGTCCCTTGTGTATTGATGACAGATCTGTTTAATTATTCTAAGTCATTACAGTGCTATGTATCGAGGTCTACAAATGACGTAAGGCCCTTGGTCAATACTCGTGATGGGTTGCACTGATTTTTATCCGTTTATAAGTACATATGAATGAGATGATAGCCAACGACTGCGACTAAACTGCGACATTGTGACGTCGCTCACTCGGGCAAGTTTTAAATCGCAGCGATCGCGAATTGAGGACGCTGCTTCACGTGGGTATATATCAAGGACTGTGTTTCCATCGGAGTCTAGCGAGAGGTGAATTACATTGAATGTATATCTATAGTTTACTAATTATATAGATATACAATATATGTATACTATCAACTTGACTCCGGTGGAAATCAGTGGTGATCAGTGGAAGTATAGCCGAGGTGCCGTGGGATATTGTGTGAAAAATCGGGTTGAAGCAGTTTACACCCGCGTGTTACGGAAAAATGGAATCTTCGACGAATGCATACCCCAAGAAAAATATGCAAAACACCTATGAAGATGAAGAGGAGAGGAAGCACTTCCTGAGGATTGTATCGGCGTTTAAATATTACAAGTAAGTCTCACAGTATATTGCTCATTAAGTCATATTTGTATTGTTATCCTCAGTGCAATTTTTTAATCTTCTGTGCGTTTGATTACTGTATTTGTAATCCTTCCTGTGTACCAGAACATAATAATTAGAAATTGGTCTGTGACATTTATCTCATATTATTTTGTGCACAGGCCTCATTCCTTGCAGCGGGTCAAGAAGACGGAGACTTACCTGTTGTCTCTACCATCACACCATCAGAAACTACTCTCCAATTACAGGGAACACTTGCAAGAAGTGAAAAGATGTATTGAAAATAATGATGATATCATTAAGCTGATCATAAAAGATGTCACTCATATTTTTGAGAATGTCAGCCCTACCAGCGCCCAAACAGACACTGTAAGGTTATACATGTTATATTGTTCCCCATATATCTTTGCTTCCACCCCTGAGGGCTTATGTCAATAATTTAGACTTTAAGCAAAGACTTCGACTACCTCTTGGTCCACATCGACTCCCTCATGGCTCTGATATTCCTTAGCACACGAAAAGTTTGGGGACCTGATTGCAGATGCTTAATACACGACCTGTAATGGCTGATCAAGAGAAGGTCCAAGCTACGATCAAACAGTTGGTTCGCGATTGGAGCGAAAAAGGAGCTGAGGAAAGACGTGCCTGTTATCAGCCAATCATAGAAGAAATTGTGCGACAGTTCCCTTTGGACTTTTGGTACATATTACATTAACAATCATGTATTTCAGAGTGCTCCAACAATCAGTAATATCAACTTTTAGTACACCATCAGAAGTTCAAGTTTTAGTACCTGGGGCAGGTTTAGGACGACTCGCATATGAAATTGCACGATGTGGTTACACTTGCCAAGGAAATGAATTTTCCCTCTTCATGCTCTTTGCATCCCACTTCGTACTCAACAAGTAAGTGATATAATTGATTTACAACGTGATAGAATTCGAAACAATTGGGCAACAATAAAACAGTCTCATTAACGTTACCCATTATAGCAATTACTAGATTCTGAAGAGGCTATAAGCCTTTCTGGCTGTATACGATATAACTAAATTCGTAACGGATGAAATCCGAGTCCACATTCGCATCGTACAGACGTAGCGTGTACCTTGCAGATGCAGAGAAAGGGACATCTATAAAGTTCATCCTTGGGTTCATCAGTACATGAACAATCTATTGTCCGAGCATCAGACTCAGGCAGTATTTTTCCCAGATGTTAGTCCCAGCGATCTTCCTGAAAATGCTCAGTTTTCCATGACAGCCGGAGACTTCCTAGAGGTTATCGTCGCTCCTAAATTATTGCATCGATCATCTTACACAGTAGGCATCAACCTGAAGATTGTCTGTATCCATTCAATTTCTTCCTTATGCATCTCAGGTATACACTGAAGACAATCATTGGGACTGCGTCGCGACATGCTTCTTCATAGATTGTGCCAACAATGTCGTACAGTTTATCGAAACGATTTATAAAATTTTAAAACCAGGAGGCATCTGGATAAATCTAGGACCATTACTTTATCATTTTAGCGACATGCCAATGGAGGATTCGATAGAGCCTAGTTACGAAGTTGTGCGTGAAGTTATCAAGGGTTTTGGTTTTAAATTAGAAGTAAGAACTTTATAATTCTATAAAAAATCCTATACGATATTCAAGTTTCTCTCTTCCTTATTGAAAATTTAATTTAATATTTAATTGAGCTCATATATTATACTGACTTTTGATATTTTAGAAGGAGGAGACTCACGTTAGGACGCGCTATGCCCAAAATATCAACAGCATGTTGCAATGCGAATATAACAGCGTCTATTTCGTCTGCCGGAAGCCGAAGAGAGCAACACGGCCAGCGGAGCCGCACGACCAGACAAATTCTAATATAAGTATTCCAGCACAAAGTCAGTCCCATTCTGAAAGTAACGGGACGATTCAGGAACAGGAGAATTAATAAGATCTTTGGTTAGAATGCTCCACACAGTGGAGGCAAAGCGAAAGTTTCGTTATGGAAACCTTTAATAGGCAATGACTTCTGGTGTTACACGGAATTATATGAGAGGAGCGAACAATTATTTCCATTTGTAATGATGGCTCTCTGTGTTAGCCATGCACTTCCAACTTTTTTTATCCCTCCTAAGAAATAGTCAATGAGGAAAGAAGAACGATGAAATAACTCGGAGGGAATTATTTATCATTCAGTAAATAACAAAGGGAAGAAAAAAATATATATATTATAATAGGAAGCGATGTACCTGCCGACTGAAGTTTTACGAAGCCCATCGTTAACGAGGAATTCATATACGATTGTGACACAGCACAAAATATTAAAGATGCATCTTTGTTTACATTACTGTCTTCTTATTGAAGACTCGCACAAAAATTATTCTTGAGAAATAGGAAGTAAAATGAATATTAAGCAACAATTAGTTTTAGAGATATTAAATTTCTCAAGGGAATTTCTGTTATGTCCATTACCTGAGAGGAAGAGCTTCACTGGGCTTCGCTGAGCTACGGCTTGCCTTGTAATGAAAACACATACATCTCGAATGTATATTAGATTAACTATATATTGTTGTAATTAATATAATTTTGTATCAAAAAATGTTAACGACGCCAAGTCGGCAAGATATATACAATTCTCTTTCTTTTCTTTCATGTTAGAGACGTACTTCAATGCGACTCACCTGTTGTCCTACAAACTTTTATTGAGATACTGTACAAATAATAGAGCTATTTGACTAGGTTCTATCTGTTGCATTTTACTGTACGTTAAAAACTGCCTTCGCAGCCGTACTAGCTGTGAGGAGTCACTAGAATTTTCCAATGTTAATTGGCAATTTGGTATTTTAACGTTGCTCTCGATTCCCAATCGTTTTGCTGACAAAATTGCCTTAACCAGATATGAAAATGAAAATGAAAACAATCAGGCTCTTCTTGATCTTTAAGAGAATAGTTCAAATATCTTGGATCTAACTTACATTCACAACTTCCTGTGTTATCCTGTCCAGTTCATAGAGATAATTTGCAGATGATAACGGTGGCTGTAAGTCAAATGATAATTTCATAATAATGAAATATGGTATTAATTATCTTATGAAAAGAACACAAATGAAATACTGACACACTGAGTGCTTAAATTTGGTTTTGGTGCCTTGGCTTCATAAAGTACACTATAGATATCCCCAAATTTTAATTCATCTTCTGGTAATACTGCAAACAATGGTGAATCCCATCTGTTTCTACTGTCGGGTGCTTCGTACCTGACATATTCGTCTTTTGAGATACTATGATCACAGACCATTGAATTCTATTAATACCTGTTTATAAGGGCATCAAATATTTCATTGGAATATCGTTCTTCCTGTGGTCGTTTTTCATTCCACAAGCGTGCATGTTCAATGGGTAAGTCACAGTGTACTGTACACTGAGGTGTTTTGTATAATTTTGACATGCAGTAAATCTCATAGCGGTAACCCTTTATATAATTACTTCCATCTACAATAAGAACGTCCTCAGGATTCAGAAGTCGTTGGGAATGAGACTTAACATCAGCTCGTACACTCTTTTCTTTTTTAGAATCTGAAATAGGATATATTAGTTCAATAAAACAGTCTTTTGGGGTGATTTCCTGAATTGACTATGGGAAGATCGAAATATTAATAAGCATCATTTAATAATTTTAAATATCATTAGGCGACTGACCAGCATAGAATGTATTTCTATCATATCCAGCCTTGATTATAGCATCTATTTCACTGATAACCTCAACCTTCTTCCCTCGACTATCTTCAAAGTACTTCTTCAATTCCAGAGCCCTGGTGCTCTTTCCACTACAGGGAATACCTGTGATAATTATCAGAGGCATAATTCAATTTTTTGCCACGCGTTTTACCCTGAAAACAGACGTACATACATCACACAGATTCCATTAACAATATCTGCAGACTGCTGCAGACATGTTCCGAAGCGCCATCTTCAAGCTCCACAGGAACTCGCAGGGATAATATAGCTACTCCCGTTAATTTGAAAGCAAACGTACGCTTTCTCCGTATTCTTTATATAATAAAGTAGGTACAATAATATTTTATTTCAATCATCAAACTCATTTGCCAAAGCATCATCTTCAAATTAGTCGTTAGTTACCTGCTCTTCCTCCCCTTAACAGAAGTCTTGAAAAACAACAGTTAAAATTGTATGATTTAACTTCCTTTGTTCAGTATTGTTGATTTTTAATATTTAACAATATCAATAACATGCCTTTGTCATGATTAATGTTACTCATGTGAAATTTATCCAATTATTAGCAACACTTAAGTTTAAATTGAACGTTACTGTGCTGATACTAACTGGTTTCAAGTTCCATCTCCACCGCAAAGCCGGTCTTTCATTTCTTTTTCTCTTTTGAATCCCTGAGCTCGAGGAGTTCAAAGTGAAAGGCGAGCGTAACATAGTCGTTCCTGCTGTCACAGTGCGTGACAATGATCCTTTCTGCATTTCTCGTGGTATTGTTACCATTTTTAACACTTAACATTCCTGAAGCGCATACTTTTCGCGGTAAGTTATTAATTTGTTTTGCTATCAAAGCAACATTTATTATTCCATAGACATGATATGGATATGACTTTTGTTATCTTACATATAATGGCATTGCAACACTTAAGAGAAAGTCTCTTGGAACCTGTACAAAAACAGTTAGAATATATTGAGGAAGGATATAAATGCGTTAACATATTATTGCTTCCCCGGCTGTAGATACAAACTTTTCTTCCTTCCTTTTATAAATTCTTGCTCCTTAGCTTGATAATTGTATACATATTCAGTTCGGGAGCAGAATATTTTAAAATTCGGGTCTTTGAACGCTCGGCATTTCATGGTAACACATTTAGCATAAAGTTGAACTGAAAATACACGACCTTGATGAATAATCTACATTTACCTAGAAATACATATATTGTGACAAATGTTGGAAACTGAAGGTGCAACATGTCTTATATACGTTCAATATCGCAATGAGAACATAAAACATTTGAATCTCGTTAGGCGAAACTTTATTTTGGAAATTTTGAATTTTAGATGGGTCCAAGAGGCAAGCCGACAAGGTTGTCGTCTGTTATATGGCCTCCTGGGCCACACATAGACCCACAAAGGGTAAATTCACCGTGAACGATGTTCGTGCTGATCTATGTACTCACTTGATTTATACTTTTGCTGGTTTAAATGCGACTACCTGGACTATCAAGAGTCTAGATCCTTGGATGGATTTAAAACAAAACCATGACGTGGGAACGTACAAGAAAGTTACTGCATTGCGCATACGTTATCCAGGATTGAAAGTCACCCTGGCTATAGGGGGTTGGAACGAAGGCAGTGAAAATTTTTCGGCTCTTGTTGCTTCGCCTGAAAAGAGAAACATCTTTTCGAAACATGTTATAGAATATTTACAGTACGACGTGCTTTGTAAATAGTATGATTATTTAGTAGTAAATCAAATATTTTTTTATATTTGTAACAATATTTTAGGATGTACGGTTTTGATGGGCTAGACTTAGATTGGGAATTTCCCGGTCGTCGTGGAGGAAGTGATAAGGATAAAGAAAACTTTTCGTATTTTGTCAGGGTAAGAAAATATTGGTTTTTTTTTTTAATAAAAGAGAATTCACCACGATATTTTTCTTAACAGGAACTAAAGAATGCATTCGAGCGTCATGGGCTATTGCTGACTGCGGCTATTAGTGGTGATAGGAACAGTATGCAGACAAGTTATGATATTCCAGAAATATCTAAATATTTAGATTATATACACGTGATGGCTTATGATTATCACACCGCTTTAGACAAGCAAGTTCTTCCTAATGCACCTGTCTCCAGCAATGATACTCTTAACCTGGTAAACTCTCAGCTTCCTTATTCCATACATTATTCGCCTGTGAAATTCATGCAATTTCTTATATTCTATTATAGAAAGACGCTATACAATATCTCTTATCAGAAGGTGCACCTTCAGAAAAAATCGTTCTAGGTATACCAATGTATGGCAGGACATTTAGCTTGACTAAGCTACCCAATACTCCTGATGAAAGTCCTGTGGGTCTACCCGCCTTAGAAAAAGGGTTTCCAGGACCATATACTCGCGAAAACGGTTTTATGGGATATAACGAAGTAAGAGAACTTATAAAGTATAAATATAAAAATATATAATTGTATCTAATCGGTAAATTTGTCTTATAGATCTGTGAAGAACTACTTAATCCGTCTAAAGGCTGGAGGAGTGGATGGGATGATCCAACTGGCACTCCTTATGCAATCAAGGATAATAATGTCATTCTATATGACAATCCTAGAAGTATCAGAGAAAAGGTTGATGTGATAAATAAAATGGGTCTAGCTGGCGCTATGGTCTGGAGCATGGACACAGATGATTTTCATGGAAACTGTGCAGCTCTACATGATTTCTTAGAGCCACAATCAAGTCGCGATTATCCTCTCTTGAAGACGATCAACATGGCCCTGGGTAACACAGTTCGTACTTACGATGAGAAAAAGAAGAAGAATCATGTCCTACATTCTAAAATTTCATCCGCAGGAACAATTTATGTTAGTGGATTTATTATTATATCTATGTCTCTATTTACCTTCCTATCGTAAATATTATAACATTTAAATTTTTGTTGAACATTAAAAGAATTCAATTCAAGATTGAATTCAGGGCTGAGGAAATTGTCGTCTCAAGTCTTAATTATATTTTTTCATAATATCATATCTCAAAATTTCATTTACTCTACGCAAAATTCCTTTGAGGTTAATTTTGTAAGATTATATACTTTTAAATGTACTTGGTATTTGCGATTGTAGCGCTCAACGTCCTTCCTGCGCATGTGTCTTACCTGTAGCTTTTACATGTGCTACAGCACTATAGATTTTACTTAGTAAAGGTAATATGAACGTATGCGGTACCAAGAAGACCGGTATCTGATAGCTTGCAAGAGCAAAACAATATTACTGGTAATTCTACACTGCGAGTAATACTGCAGTGTTCACCAGTACCAGTATTAACGTATCTGTAAGAGGAACTAAAAGTGTTTAGTGATGTTCTCACGTCGGCTACTTTCTCTAATAATAAATACTCAGCATATTTCCAGAGAATTGCATGTTTCAAAATCACTGTAAGCAGAATGTAATATAATCGAATGCGTATTTATATTGATTCGTATCCTCATTTCATTATGACTTTATAGCTTAACAGCTGTCATAATAAATGGAAAAGCAATTGCTGAGGAGATGCGAAGGGAACTCAAGTCTTCTGTCGATGCTTGGGTAGCATGTGATAAGAGACAACCAAAACTAATAGCAATATTAGTGGGAGATGATCAAGCAAGTAAAACCTATGTTGGAAATAAAGTTCGAGCTGCTGCAGCCATAGGTATTATTGTCCATAGACTTTTTTTTCATCTCTCAGACATCACAATTTTTTGTCAGGTATTCTAAGCGAAACGATCTTCTTTGGAAATGATATAAGTCAAACAGAGTTGATTGAGAAGATTAAGTGTTTGAATAATGATGATTCTGTCGATGGGATCATAGTTCAATTACCACTGCCAATAGGTATTGAGGAAAAGGAAATTTGTTGTGCTGTGGCACCATCCAAAGATGTGGATGGATTCCATATTGAAAATATGGGAAAACTTACTTTGGATAGAATAGGAATAGCACCAGCTACTGCATTGGGTGTCAAAGAATTAATTTTAAGAAGTAAAATAGATACCATTGGTAAAAATGCTGTAATTGTTGGTCGGTCTAAGCATGTTGGACTACCGATTGCCTTACTGCTTCATGCAGATGGTAAAGGTGAAACTGGAGCTCTGGATATGACTACAACGATTTGCCACAGATTTACGCCACACGAGCAAATGAAGAATTTCACTAAATCTGCAGATGTGATTGTCATGGCTGCAGGAGTTCCTGGTTTACTTACCAAGGATATGGTGAAACCTGGGGCATGTGTTATTGATGTTGGTATTAATAGAATAAAAGACAATACTGGAGGATCCAGGCTGGTTGGGGATGTTGATTTTGAGTCTGTGAAAAAAGTTGCTGGATACATTACTCCAGTACCTGGTGGTGTTGGCCCTATGACAGTGACTATGTTAATGAAGAACACTTTCCTGGCTTCAAAAAGAAATCAGGGTGAACGGTAGTTTTTATCTAGAATAGGGAGATAAATGTTCCACTGAACTTATGTATGTGACTTGTATTACATTATTCACTTGAAATAGTATATTTTAAAAAATAGTATTAATAAATGTATAATTTTTGTTTACAAATGATGAGAAAAGCAACGAGATTTTTATTTTCAGAATCTTATTTAAATATTCTAATCCAATAATGTATGGTAGAATTTCAGTTAAATGTACTTTGTGAGATAATCTATAATAAATAAATAGTGGTCTGCCTTGGCTATTTGGTATAGGTTAAAAGTTTCAGTTGCTCTTGAGAAAACTGTTTAAACGGCAGTAGTAAAGTAAGATACACCAGCGAAAATACTAACCATAGATAAAATTAATGTAATTCTGATATGTGATATTAGAGGTATGAGATTATACATTAAAGACTATTATAAAAAAAAACCCCTTAGATAATGGCTCTTTTATCGCGAATAAATTGTGTCATTAGAGCAGGAACCGGAGTAACCTTAAAAATATTCAGAATGGAATCAAATCAAATTTTGAGCCGCACAGTTTCTGATTTACAAAATACAAAACGACCAAAGGTTCTTGTAACATTTCCACATATTCCTGAAATAGGAATTGAGCTACTGAAAAATAAGTAGGTATCGAATTAACAGATGCAGCTTTGGAGCAGCATACTACATATATTGTTACACTTGTAGATGTGATTTAATAATATGGGATAAGCCAGTTGCAATACCCCGTGAAGAATTGATGAAAAAAATAGTAGGGGTGGATGGTGTATACTGCCTGCTGACTGATAAAATTGATAATGAGATATTGGAAGTCGCAGGACCTCAATTAAAAGTAGTAGGCACCATGTCAGTGGGATATAATCATTTAGATTTGAAAGCTCTTAAAGCTAGAAATATTCATGTTGGATATACTCCTGGAATTTTAACTAATGCAACTGCTGAATTAACTATAGCTTTAGTTTTGGCTACATCTAGAAGATTGTTCGAAGCAAATGCTGCAATGCTTAGGTGAGCAACTAGTCCAGTATTTTGAAATCTATTATTATAGAATATTTGAGTGAAATCCATAATTTTTTACAGAGGAGAATGGACTGCGTGGTCTCCAACCTGGATGTGTGGACCAGGATTAAAAGGATCTACTGTTGGTATAGTAGGACTGGGAAGAATAGGAATTAAAGTAGCTGAATGCTTAGCTAGTTTTGATGTTAAAAAGATTATATATACTAGTAGAACTGAAAAAAAAGAAGCTGCTGCATTTTGTGGACAGAAAGTTACTTTCAATGAACTATTGCATCAAAGTGACTTTATTGTGGTGACAACAGCACTCACACCTGAGACTACGAATTTATTTAATGAAGAAGCCTTTGCCAAAATGAAAAAAACATCCGTTTTTATTAATACTAGTCGTGGAGAAGTTGTAGATCAAGATGCTCTTATTCAAGCACTGAAAAATAAAACTATATGGGCAGCTGGTCTAGATGTTATGGTTCCTGAACCTATACCATTAGACAGTGAATTACTTAAACTAAGTAATTGTGGTAAGTAAATCATTATTCTATCATTAATATTTCCTACAGAGGTTTTTTTTACAGTTATCCTACCTCATCTTGGAAGTGCTAATATCGAAACCAGAACTAAAATGGCTAAAATGACTGCTGAAAATATATTAGCTGTTTTACGTGGTGCACCTGAGGAAATGCCTTCCCCTCTTAATATTGAATAAACATATTACCTAATCATTTAATTTAAAGTGAAAGAAACAAGCCATACTTCATTACATTAACTAAAATGTATATTCAATAGGTGTCTAATAAAAACAATAATAAAAATAAGAAATTAATGCTTTTGCTAAACACAATAGTATGTCAAAGAGTTACTATAAAATATAAATTTGCTTCTTACTTTCTGTTATATTCTTAAATTTTTCCTGAAGAAACCTCCACCTGGTTTTTACAGTTGCATTTACCCTCCAATTAATCAGTGTGTATTAAGTTTTTTATAACTTTTTTTCCAGATCTCAGAAATTGTTCACAACTCGTAAGTTCATGTATGTCTGTTCTGCACTGTGAAACAGAATGAGCAGTTAAAAATTTTAAAAAATCGGTACTTAAATAATAAACGTTCTACTACATTAGTCTACAACTCTACATCTTCATCTATTTTATTTGTTCAAGGTAAATAGAATTATAATACTTCGATAAATAGTTATTAATGTAGGAACAGTTTCCTTCTCTAAATTAATATTTATGATTTAGAATTTTGCTTTCAATTATATTTAATCTTATTTAAATATTATGCAAAAGTTACCTATCTCGCTCAAATTCTTGAACTTACGTGCGCAGTCCAGCGCAGTCCGCCAACATGGCAACCACTCTTGTTAACTATCGCCGGTATAAACGTGGCTCCAAGCAACTCAACCTTCCATGTTGACTATAAGTCCTGCTGAAATTTATTAATATATTTAACTTATAAAGAAATTACATCCTTTTATTATTTATTCAGGTTAGTGAAATTATTTTTACCTTGCCAGTTTATTGTATTTTGTGTAGTTGTCAATTCTTTGACAGGAAGCCAAGAATAATTCTATAATTTTCGATACTTCTTTATTTTAAATATAATTCTTCGGTATATTGTATTTTAAGAGATACAGATTACCATAGTCATTACAACAGTATTGTTCTTTATTCGTTTTTAAATAAATTCAGTGGAGGTGGAGAAAGAAAAGATGGAGAAATGTAAAAAATTTTAGATGAACTTCAAAGAGTGTGTTGTTGTTGGTTGAATTGAGTGAACATGAGAGTTTTAAACTATTCCATATTCTTATGAATAATGTTACTCTTACAGATAGGGATAAATCCAAATAAAGAAGGAATAAGTAGAATTCAATGATAATTTTGTATAAATATGTATAAAGCTCTACGAGTCCTTGATACTGTAGATGAATGATATTTATATACATTCTCTTTTACAGGTAAACTACATCCGAGAAAAGATGAAGTGGCCATCAATCAGTTTAATCATTTCTGTTATATTTTTGGGGTACATTGCACATTCTATTTATACTATTTCTCTCTTATTTGTACCACCATCCTGTGAATCTGGAAAAACATGTCTGACTTCCTATTTGAGTACAAAACCAGATTTGCAATTACATATGTTCACTTCTACGATGGGACGGCCATTACAAAAAGAAGTTGTTCCTGTATACTCTGTGTCACATTTTGATTATTCCCAGGAACAAAGCATGTAAGTGATTACCTTTTCTAATTCTCTATTTAGCAACAGGATTATATGATAAATGACAGTATAATACATATTTAATATTTAAAGCCCTATCAATCTAGAAATTCCAAAAAGAACACAACAAAATGGTACTCTCTTTTTGCACATAATGGTACTTCCCAAATCTTCCAAATATAACAACTCTTTCAACGATCTTCAAAAGGTACTATTTTATTACATCAATTTTATTACAATTCGAATAAAAATTATCTTTCTTTATAGGATCCATTCATGGTGTACACTAGAATAAAAATGACTCAGTATGCCATTCCTCAGGCGGCAGTATTCAAGTTACTTGGTGAAAAAGATCGAGTGGAGCGTAAGAGAAAAGAGAGTTATGTTAAGCCAGTCTCCCATCTAAAGACTCGCGTTACATTCACAATAATGACGGACGACATTCGGCTACCTGCCAATAATCTACCCCTTGAGCTCTCAAGGGATATAAGGTGTGTATCGATTACGGGTATAGACTCTACTTATAGTATGTTAAATCTTTATTGATTTGACCGATTTCCAGAGTAACTCGAGAGGGAATGTTTCTGCCCATTATTAACTACGATTTCCTACAAACAAGGCACAAGGATCTCGTGCGGATTATTCCAGAAAATCGTACTATCGACGTTAAAGTAAAATACAGTCCAGTATCCTTGGGAAAACTGAGATTAGTGCTCCATGTCGAGGCAGCTATGTATGGCTTGAAGAGCTTAGGCTTCTCGGATAAGGACGTTAACGAGGTTAAAGGTATCTTCGCTGATACAAATCTTTACCTCTTGGCTGGAACCATCTTCATAGCAGCGATGCACGTATGACAAATTATTGTGATATCTGAATGCAGATTGTTTAAAGTTGTAATCATAATGCACGTCCTTGCAGCTTCTCTTTGACTTCTTGGCGTTCAAGAATGATGTAAGCTTTTGGAGAAGCAAGAATAATCTTGCTGGACTCAGTGTGAGAACTGTTCTGTGGAGAGCTTTCAGTCAGGCTATAATTTTTTTTTATCTTCTGGACGAGGGTTCGTCTCTACTTGTCCTCATCCCAGCAGGAGTTGGAACAGTGATTGAGGTACTAAATAAACCGATCCTCGTACACATAAATTATTTAATAAATTGCTTACGACTATCGTTTCCTCTTTGCATCTTAGTTGTGGAAGTCTAAGAAGATCCTACGGGCTGAATTCGTAAAAGGTCCTGGTATAATTCCAAGGATTAGGTTTAATCCCACGGAGAAGAATTCAGCAGAGGCGCGGACACGTGAATTCGACGCAGAAAGTATGCGTTATCTCAGCTATTTATTGTACCCACTAGTAATAGCAGGTGCTTCCTATTCCCTGTTGTACCAACCACACAAAAGGTAACTAAAAGGAACAAAACAATTTTTATTAGTGGTCAATAACAAAGTTGGTTCAACAATATTGATGCTCTGTTGTAGCTGGTACTCGTGGTGCATAAATTCTCTAGTAAATGGTGTCTATGCCTTTGGCTTCCTGTTCATGCTGCCGCAACTGTTTGTAAATTACAAACTAAAGTCTGTCGCTCATTTACCCTGGCGAGCTTTTATGTACAAAGCCTTTAATACATTCATCGACGACATCTTTGCGTTCATCATAACAATGCCAACGGCCCATAGGGTCGCCTGTTTTCGTGATGATGCCGTGTTCCTGATTTATCTTTACCAGAGATGGTGAGTACTCATCAATAGGATAGTTGTAAATCCTTGGTTCTAATCGTTCGTGAAATTGGTAGGTTGTATCCCGTAGACAAGAGTCGTACCGATGACTCTGTCCCGATAAGCGAGGAACTTCGTGGCAATACGACATCCTCCAAGAAGAAAGATTAAATATTTTTATGCACATTCTAGACAACACATACTGTCGAAGAATCGTCTTGAAGACATCTAATGCGACAAAGGTTGTCTTTTAGGCATCTTATCCCATTAACGCCCAAGCCCTTCGTGTCAGAGATATTGTCAAACTCAATACGACATCAGGAGTCTTTGGGATCACTGATTACGAATTCGAGCTCAGAATTCAAAAATTGAAAATGAATCCAAATCAATGGCGTTACCTATCAAAATTTTATGCGATCGGTACGAAAATAAGGTTTTGGTGTGTTGTTTTTTTCGTGTAGCTATGTTTTTTCAAAATTTTTAAGCGACAATACGGCTTTGATCTCAATGTGAAAAATCAAGACGTGGCCGCTAATAGGTTAAAGATAAATTTAGGATTTATACTCTATGCGCGCTGTTATTTATTTAATGATCGTTATAGAATTACTTATCCAAACGAAGAATAAGCATGTATAGCTAGAATTGCATTCGTCAAAGATGTTTTTGCGCCTTAAGGTATTACGAATACTCCAGTAAATCCTCGAGTTATACGGTCAATTCGTTCTGAAGGTTTCAAAGTGAAAATCCGTGTAAATTCAATGCTTCTTACATACGATGTTTTTTGACATATACATATGTTGGTTTCAAAGGATAATTAAGGTTTTAAATCTAAACCTCGTCATTTGAATCCATATATACAGGGTCTCCCAAAATTACCTTAACACCGGAAAGTGGATGATGGCTGGAGGTTCTCCGAGCACCCTCTCGCAAACTGTTTGTCAAAATTCGCAATAGTTTTTAAATGGGAAGCAGTTAAGATGCACCAATCAGGACTAAGGAGTTTTGCGGGTCATGGCAGCGTGGTGGGAAGTACAGTCGTGGAAGCTGCTTCAAACGGATCGCGCAATTAGCAATTGTTTACTTACTTTCTCCTTTGGTATTGACTGATGTATTGGTAGAAGAGGGTTTTCGGAGGATGCAGTCTAAAAAGAAACGTACTGCGAACACGTACGATAAAGAACTCTTGTATTAAAAGTCACAGCAGGATACCCTTCCACAACACATTTTATCTGTGAACAGATTATAAATTTTATGACATTGTATATCTAACAGAAATTGGGTCAATTATAAAAATCTAATAATAGTACAATATAATAATAGAAGTAATTTAACATTGTTGAAACAGCTGTAAAAATCGTTCATTGAGTCTGTGAAATAACATAAGTTAAGATTGATTAATAAGAGTCCCCTTTGCAATTTTTTTATTTCATTACTTAATATAAGTACAATATCAAGCTTAAGAGAGCAAGAGATCATAGTTCACAACATGCTAAGTTATATACCAAACCACTACACAAACACACTGAATTGTATGTCATTATTATTACAAAATCATTCTCAGTTTACTAGTATGATTTCATTCCTAGGATAGTATACACTATTAGTAATTTCACGACTATCATGAAGATACCTTAACTAATAATACTATCTTTGATATCTTATCTTTGGGACGTGTTTGTTCAATATTTAAATTGGAAAAAATTTATTGGACTTCGATATTGTAAGATTACTTGCAGCTGAAGGTAAGTAATCTATAATCCTAAATGGAATGATAAACAGAAAAATTGTACAATGATAAGATTAGTTTAATACTTTTGTCTAGATATTACCAATGGCTCACTTCATTATATAGTACAATTCAGTAACGTTAGGTGAGTGATTTTAAAACTTTTAGTAAATAAATAGTGCTAATTCGTACTAAACATATATTATATTATCATTCATATGGACTAAAACCAATACATATTTGTTTATTAAGCGAAGATAGAGTTGTCCTTGATTGGCAATTTCTAAGAAAATGGTAGTTACAGCTCGTCACTGTATATGATTGAAAATTACGTTTAGGCTTTTATTGAGATGGAGTGGATCGTGCTGGCTATACTGCTTGTTACATTATTTGTTTGCCCAATATGGTTTTATCTTTGGCTGAATAAACTCTTAAAGAGACAATGGATTGAAGAATATAGTCACTACTCGGTACCAGGTGATTAGAATAATTTATATATTTTTTTTTTTACTGTTATTTATTTGCTTTTTATTTATTCTTGTTCTATTTATTGACAGATTTTCATTTTACATTGAAACGCTGGTGGGCTAGTTTATGTATTGCTAGAAAAAAGTCAAAGCAGGATGCTTTGTCAAAGATGAACAAGGAATACATATATGACAAGAAGCTTCCTGATAATTTAGAAGATCTTCAAGTTCTTCATGAAGAGGATGTAAGAAATATTTATTCTTCTTATAATTTCTTTTTCAATTCATTAATTTGTAATTACAGAGCTCAGACTCTTTCTTGTTCTATGCTACGGATCAAAAAAGAAATTCTCTTTTCTTGAAATTGACAAGGAGAAGACACAGAATTTCAGAATTGTGGCTACAACTGATACTAGCTGATGGTCGAATTTATCAGTTACCAAGTATGTATAGTACTTTCATAATTATTGTTTAACCGATGTATAAGAACTGCAAGATACTCTTTTACAGATCATCCCGATACTGTGATTAGTAATAATGTAAGTAAAAAATGGTGTTGTGCTGGTCTAAAGATTGTTTCATTAGAGTCTTGGAGAAGATGGAGAATTACTTTCAATGGTCTCATGAGGAATGGAATTCGACGTAACGTCAATGACAATATGGGAAAAATTGAACATATTCGATTTAACTTCATGTAAGCACTTGTACCAGATCAGTTAAATTATTTTGATATCGCTGAAGTAACTGCAGATTTATTAAACACATGTTTTCAGATTTATTGCTGGCTCCAAACCTTCTTTTTGGCCTGATGACTGGAGTACTAGTTTGCAAGCTGACGCACTCGCCAGGGAACCGTGGAAAAATCCTGAATGGATACATATGATGTGATTTTATCTAATATCTGTAATAGCTGTTAGTACGGTTTTTTTTAAGCTGTCTATTTTCATAAAAGTTGTGTAGGCTCTGGCGGATTCGACCAATGGGGTTCTCTAGTCGGTCATGTTACTTTTGAAGATTCTACCCAAACAGAATTATATTTGCATGGCTTACGGCAAAGACGATGGGGTAAACACAAGGCCGCACGTTTTCATAGGACAGTTAGTTTCTTTGGAATAACTAGAACTGGTATTAGCTTTTGTTTTGGAGGAAACAGTTTCAAAACTGGTCTGACACAGTAAGTATTGGATTATTATAATAACTACCATTATCCTATTAATGTTAAGAAAATATACCTAAGTCAACAATGATTACAGTCTACAATTTGGTCATATTAAGAACGCCATTGGTTTGTTCAACCAAATAGATTGGATGGATTTTAACTTACCAGACTTTGCCGAAGACAGAGATAATATTCCTACAAAATACACCATCAATTTTCGAGGTCGTTTATATATTTCTATACGGTACTTCATATTTGATACTAAAAGAACTACTTACTATGATACAATATATAATTTCAGCCGGAGGTAAAAAGTATAAAACTGTTGTGGAACGGATATTAAATACTGGAAGTACTTTGTACGGCGGTCGACCCTGGGATTGGGAAGGAAGGATCGTTCCGTTAAAAATAGAACTCAATGGAGTATCAGCAGTAGGAATTGCTAATCTTTGGTATACCTATAATGGCTTTTGTCCTCTACAAGCTGTACCAAGAGTTCGACATCTATTGCCCCCTAATGTCAAGTTGGACCCACACATCTACGTTGTTCGATTTAGTGAGAGAATCTGTCAGAGTGAAATGATTGTCGGTGGGAAAGGATCTTCTCTAGCTTTATTAACTACTGTCAACAGTAAAGAAGTATGTTTTATTAATTAAAAATTATTTATTGTTTTGTTTTACTATCATTTATCTTACAGTTCTCTGTGCCACAAGGTTTCTGTCTCACCGTAGCTGCATTCAAAGCTCAGTTGGAATCTGTACCGGAGATCTCTGAAGCTCTGGATAATCTGAAGATTAATAGCACACAGCAAAAAGATGAAAGCCTCAAGAATGCTTGCGAGAAGTAATAATCAAATTTATTTCATACATTTAATAAATCATTCCTATAACATTACTTTTATTCCAGAATTGTTGCTCTAATTGAAAATACTCCAGTTATTAAATCAGTAGCTGATGCTGTACGAAAGGCTGTAAATGACATAGAAATGGTACAGCCAGTAATTTTGGATGAACTTAAACGTACTTTGAGATTCGCAGTAAGATCAAGTGCTGTTGGTGAAGACAGCGAGGATACTTCAGCTGCTGGACAGAATTCCACGTTCTTGGGTATTCAAGAAAGTGAAAATGTTTTGAAAGCCGTCGCTAAATGTTGGGCGAGTGTTTTTGCTTTTCAAAGTGTTGAATACAGGTAAAGGTGTTAAATTAATTTTTTAGTTTGAAAACTCCGCACCTATGAAAATAATATTTGTTTCCAACAACGAATGTATAAGATGCGACTCCATAGTTATAAAGAGATCTGCCTCAAGGCAAACCTGGTCTTTTGCTACTTCATTCCTGAAGTGTAATCTATACAGATTGTACAGAATATGTTTTTCCTCTTCGTTTGATTCAACTGGATTTAAATAATTATTTCATTTACAGGAGACAACACGGTCTACCAATTAAATCATGTATGGGAGTCTGTGTTCAGATTATGGTGAATGCAGAGACTGCTGGAGTTATGTTTACCAAACATCCAACCACTGGGGACCCACGAAGCATAGTAATCACAGCAAACTACGGTCTTGGTGAAGTATGTCATATATTCTTATAAATAGAAAACTCTGAAGCCATTATAACTATCCTCTAAGATCCGATTCCTCCAACGAACCTCAATACGTAAACTCTGTTTACCTTCAAAATGCAAATACTTAGTTAATCGTGCCGTTAAACCGAGTTTAAAGAATGAACTACGTCATTGGAATCGAACTTAGGTTAATTAATATTTTACAGACTGTAGTATCAGCCATGGTAGAGCCAGATACAATTATCGTTAATCGAACCTGGGACGACAAGCTAACGATAAATGAAATTACGTTGGGAAAGAAAACAAAAAAAATATTGATGTCTGATATCAGTGGTACCAAAGTGGAAGATATATCGGAAACAGAGTCAAAGGAAGTTTGTATTTCCAAAAAGATTGCATTGTGCCTTGCCAAATTAGGTCTACAACTGGAAGCACTTTTTGGTGCACCAAGGGATGTCGAATGGGCCGTTTCTGAAGGAAAAATCTTTTTGTTACAAGCAAGACCCATTACTACTCTGGATGGGTGGTCAGACTTTGAAATTATTCATGAGCTGGACAGTAATGTTCCTAGTGACATAGACGTACTGAGTTTTGCCAATATTGGAGAAGTTTTACCAGGTGTTACTTCTCCACTGTCATTAAGTACTATTTGTAGAATTCTTAATGGTTGTGTTGGACAGAAAGCATTATGTCAACCAAATGTCTACTATGAATCTACAGTATGTGTTACTGCAATGCGATGTATCTTTAATTATACGAACGTACGTAATATATATAAATTATTAATTTTGCGCTTTTAATACGTTTTATAATTGAATGAATTTTCAATAGACAATGTTGATTCGACCGGAAAAGACAATCACAGCGACTAACAAAACTATAGATATCGCAATATGTGGAAAAATCTTAACCACGCCGGAAGTACATCAATACGCTGTTGAGAGAAACGGAACTATAAGTGTCTTTTACCGAATTTATATGATTTATAGCTTAGTTTGCGATATGTGGCACATGAAATCCACGATGAAGAAGGCTGCAGAGGTTCATGAAAAATTCAATATTGATTTTGATCGTTTCTACACCGCTATTCATCTTTATCAAGAGATCACTGATAGTTTTGAAAACCTATTAAAGGTACTGTAAATACAGTAACGTCCAATTGAAGTGCAACACTTGATTTTTTTACATTTCTGTGAAAGTATGACAGATTTCGAAAAACCAAAGACATATTTTTTAGGAAATTTCCTTCCCGTTCGAATGGTAAAGGTTTTATCCCAATCGGATACAAAATGGCCGAATGGCAGGGGTTGGAGTGAAAAAGTGCATTTTGGAACTTTTTGAAAAATTCGAGATCTAGTAGTTCCGAAAGGAAATTTATATTTCTAATTATGGCAGGAGGGAGAGCATCCTTCGACATTAAAAAAACGACCCCATTGAACCCCTGTAGGATCACTCTAGGGGGAGCTACACCCCCTTGAAGTGAAAACACTTAATTGGCCATAACTTCCGAACGCGCCGGCAAATCTGGTCCAGTTTCTGCGTGATATCATTTTTAATGATACTGCAGATTCTCACTATATTATTGTTCTCGGAGATGATCCCGTGACAGAGATCTCGAGATTTCGCAAGCCCACCCGAAGCTTCCCCACCATTTTTCATTAGGAAAGCGATGAAATAGAAGGTTCGTTTTCATCCACGTTGTAGCTGAGATTTTAGCGATTAAAACGCGCTTTTAAACATCCAAATACGAGTACGCTAAGGGGTTAAATTATCCGTTTGAAAAAACGCCTAAATTTTGCGAGTTCCGCTCGAGGCGCTCGGGGGTCCATTGCTTGGCGCGCGTGGTAGGGTAGTAGTCCCCCGAGCGCCTCGAGCGGAACTCGCAAAATTTAGGCGTTTTTTCAAACGGATAATTTAACCCCTTAGCGTACTCGTATTTGGATGTTTAAAAGCGCGTTTTAATCGCTAAAATCTCAGCTACAACGTGGATGAAAACGAACCTTCTATTTCATCGCTTTCCTAATGAAAAATGGTGGGGAAGCTTCGGGTGGGCTTGCGAAATCTCGAGATCTCTGTCACGGGATCATCTCCGAGAACAATAATATAGTGAGAATCTGCAGTATCATTAAAAATGATATCACGCAGAAACTGGACCAGATTGGCCGGCGCGTTCGGAAGTTATGGCCAATTAAGTGTTTTCACTTCAAGGGGGTGTAGCTCCCTCTAGAGTGATCCTACAGGGGTTCAATGGGGTCTTTTTTTTAATGCCGAAGGATGCTCTCCCTCGTGCCTTAATTAGAAATATAAATTTCCTTTCGGAACTATTAGATCTCGAATTTTTCAAAAAGTTCCAAAATGTACTTTTTCACTCCAACCCCTGCCATTCGGCCATTTTGTATCCGATTGGGATAAAACCTTTACCATTCGAACGGGAAGGAAATTTCCTAAAAAATATGTCTTTGGTTTTTCGAAATCTGTCATACTTTCACAGAAATGTAAAAAAATTCAAGTGTTACACTTCAATTGGACGTTACTGTATATTATGTATAAAATTCTTTCATGATATATTATTGCTCATTGTTCTTTTCTTTTATGGCCTTCAGGTAGCTTTGTTTCATAGCGAAATTTCGGGGGTCGCTGTATTCTCCCAAATGTTCCTCATATCGATATTGATGGAAGGGCAGGAAGAACTAAATGACAATCATTATTCAGATATAGCTTTACTATTAAGTACATCTAGTGACGTAATAAGCGCACAGGTGCCTAAAATTTTGAAAGAAATAGCTGAATCGATAAAGGCTTCTGGGAAAGCTGAAGAATTTATTAGCATTCATGCGTCCCACGGTAGAGATTGGCTCAAAGTAAATTGTCCAAGCACTTCGGTCCTGTTTGAGGATTTCCTCAAGAAACATGGTCATAGGTGTGTCAAAGAATTTGACCTTTTAATAGAGACCTGGAGTATGAAGCCAGAAAAAACACTAATGGCTCTGCAGGTATTTTACAAAAATAATGTTCAAATAAATTAAAATTTTATCCACGTTTATTTATTTCTGCTTCTTTGTATAGGCCGTTTTAAAAATACCTAGCGGTGGTAACGTTCCGGAAGAACTGACACTTGAGGAAACGATTGAGAAATTAAAAAGTCCAAAGAAATCAGCCACCAAGTGGATTCTAAAGAAAGTAATTCCTTACTGCAGAAATATTGTGATGTGTAGAGAACAAACAAAATCCCATCTGGTGTCCGTATTGCATAAAATCAGATTAGCTTACTGCAAACTTTCACAACTGATGACCCAAGAGTGTCTTATTCCTGATCGGAATATTTTATTCTTCTTGACTCACCAGGAAATTGGACGACTCCTTCGATCTCCTGATCCTGTTCTATTGAGAAAGTAAGAACCTTAGCATGAAGCAAAATACTTCTAAATATTAATTTATGTTCTTTTAGAGCTATTAAAAGAAGAAGACTGTTTCCACAACTTGAAAAACTGTCATATCCAGAGACAATCATTGGTATTCCAACTCCTTTACCAGTACGTACAGTTTAAAAAAATTCTAAAGGTTGAAATACATGCAAATACAATATATTATACAAATGAATTTTAGGTTAATTCGAATCCTGTGATTCATGAAGGAGCTGTTAAAGTTAAAGGAACATCCATAAGCAATGGATCAGTCCTTGGTAGAGCCTGTGTTATCACAGATTTATCAGAAGCTTCTAATATATGTCCAGGAGACATTTTAATAACAAGATCGACTGACATTGGCTGGAGTCCCTATTTTCCTTTAATAGGTGGCGTTGTTACAGAGCTTGGAGGGCTTATTAGTCACGGAGCAGTAGTCGCCAGGGAATACGGACTTCCTTGTTTGGTTGGAGCCACTGAGGCTACACAAATTTTTCACACGGGTAATTAAAACCCATTGCTATCATCTAAATAGATTCAAATATCTTTATTTAATTTTTCTTCGTACAGGGGATACGGTGCTACTAGCTGGGAATACAGGAATATTGCAACTAGTGCAACACGTCTAATATTAGGATTTATACAGCCATATGTTTTATATAATTAAAATAGATTTTACGCCCTATAAGATATTACTTATATTTCCCATATAATTTTCACAGTCTAGTCAGTATGTTCATGTTGAGCATTACTTTCTCGCCATGTATTTTGTATCAACTCTACGAATTGTCTCCACCATCGACTCTGCGACGTAAAATAAAGTGCGCATACAGCTATAAATGCCCAGGATAACACCAGACAATAATCAGTCTCGTTAGATGGTGTGCTAGGAACCGGACCATTGAAAACTGCTGATGTTAGGTACATTGATCCTTTAGGTTCCAACGTTGTAAAGTACGAAATAAATCTTGCAAACGCCTCCAATGTGTATACCGTACCATTGAATTTAACAACAGGTTTTCCGTTGTGTACAAGTATTAATGTAGGCACTCCAACGATTCCATACTGTGCGTTGAAGCTAAATAATAAGAAAATTAAGCATCGCATTATAAATAGAGTAATTGGTATTAATTATTATGGCTACATACTTTGGGTATTTTATAGCATCAATAGCCACTGTCTTCAAAGGTGAAAAGAAATTTGGTAATACATTAAAATGTGGAGCAGCAAGACTACTAAAGACACACCATCGAGCATAAAATAATACTAGAACACAAGTTCCTGGTACTTGTCTTCCCTCTTTGCTATTTTTTGTTCTGTTTGATGGGCCTGGTTCCAGGATCAATAATTCCATTAATCTAGTAGCATTAACTAGCTATAAAAAGAAATGCAGAATGTCATATAAATATTAGATACCTTCTAAAGTAAAGTCTTCTAATGAAATATGCTTCAATATGGCTTTTGGTTCCAAGTTTATGTTTCTATACATTCATAGCAAAAATGTGAATTGGAGAAGTAAACTTTACCTCAACAGATGAATATTTTTTATCTACGAGGCAGTTGACTTTCGTAACATTTGGACTAGCACTTTCTGGTATTGTGCTATTGGCATCTGACAGATTTCCTTCAGCTTGTGGTTCTGTTGTATCAATCTCTTCATTTTCGATTACAGATTCTCCTGTATTATTGATAAGCTCAGTATCGCTATCCTTACTTATAGCTTTGACTTCCAAAGATTGTATACCGTCCAATAATGGTGACAAACTTTCCTCGCACAAGCAGAATGATAGAATTGACACTGCAATTTATACATAAATCATTGGGAAATTAATTAATTAATTATTGCGTGCAATATTTTCCTAGAATGAACTATTAATTACCTAAAACGATTGGAGGTAAGCTGAACTTTTTAGGATGCATGATTTTCTGAGCGTAACCTTAAATCAAAATGTCAATAATCAATTGTACAAGATTAATTTCTTGTCATGCATCGTCGTACAATTAAACGTGTGTCATACCTGTTTACATCTCAAATGCGATCAAACAAGGTTATTAATAAATATCACGGAAATCAAACTGACAGATAGAATTCCACAGAATATTCATAACATGGAGACTAGAGTATTTAGTTCACGATTTTGTATACCTTCCTTCCTTCCTTTCCTTATGGCTGACTCCTCCAATGAGGAGATGTGCCAGTAACTAGTCCTAAAGTCGGGTTGGAAAGATTATGCTGGACTCTAGACGTAGAGTGCGTAGAGTCTTCTTTGATTAGCCAATCGAATCAGTAAGGCGACACGTCCAGTGGACGAGCATAAGCCATAACTTTTATGAGTAGTATGTAGGTGGCGTTAGTGATGTTCCGCGTTGTATGTATTATACAGATTGAAGATGAGTGGAGGTAGTTTAAAGAGATCTTCTATGTTTAAGCGTAGTATGTAGATGGCGTTAGTGATGTTCCATTGAATGAACCAGCTGACAATGTGAGCAGTTGTATATATTATACAGATTGAAGATGTATGGAGGCAGTTTAAAGAGATCTTCTATGTAGATGTGTGGAGGTAGTTTAAAGAGATCTTCTATGTAGAGAGCAATCAAGAATGCATCCAAGAAGACAACAACAGTGCAGTGTCGTTTGGGAAGATTTTTGTATACAAGATCGTGATCTACTCACCATGGTCAGAGATGAGTGGGGAGATGTACAACGCTCCGGTTTTAGGCGATACCAAAAGCATGGCGCCTAATCGTAGCGGCGAGTCCAGGAGTAGGATTCCGTGATCATCGCCTCTGTCGATGTTACAGATTTCGCGTAGCCGCGCGGGTCATGATCATCGTTCCAGCCGATATTGCAGTCAGCGAAAATGAATGGA